AGTTTACCTTTTTTAATGAATTGTAAAATATTCATTAAGGCTTCATGTATGACTTTTGTCTTTGAGTAAGCTTTCTGTGTATCAGAAGTGTTTGAATCAATAATGCGTTTTAGTCTATTGGCGAAAGCTTTCGAAAAGACCTTGTAAACATTAGATAGGAGACTAATGGGGCGCCAGTTTTTAATCATTGAGCAGTCGCCTTTCTTTGGAATAAGTTTAATACTAGCAGTTCTTAAGTTTGGGTATAATTCCTCTTTTTCTACCATAACTTCGAAGCCTTTGGTAACAGGGTGTCCAATTAAAGGCCATAAAAATTTGAGTACAGCGTACGTGAAACCGTCTAAACCTGGACTAGAACCTATCTTTGTTTCTTCTAATGCTTTTGTAAGCTCATAGTGTGTGATTGGAACATTGTCCCTCTCTGAATCTAAGTTAGATAATTTTTTCGACTGAACGTAATCGCTGTTCATAATCTCAGGAGTAAGAAATTCTTCAAGATTTAAGCTTTTTTCTGGAACTTTGCTATAAATGCCTTTAAAGAAGTCACATATATCAGAATTACGTTCTTCATCATTATCATAATCTACTATAACCCCCTGTTCGTCCCTTTTTTTAAGTTGGTTTAAAGAGTCGTTGCCTTTTTGTGCTTTAGCTAGCATGCAAAAAGATTTAGTTGGTTTCTCAAAATTCATAGAGTGCCATAGCTTAGTTCTGGCGCAGTTCCGAAGATTTAAGTCATCATCAAAGTTTAAAATTTTTTGCTCGAGATAAAGTTGTTCGAGATAAAGATTGGAATTAATATCTAAATTCTTATTTTGTAGTACTGAAACTCTTTTTCTCATATCTTTAAGTAAGGAATTTATGGTTTTTTTATGTGCACGCTGGTGTGACATAATACAATTATGAAGATTGTTCATTAAGGTCTCAAGAAATTTGTCATATTGAATTATTATTGGTCTGATAACAATAAAAAGATTAAACTAAAGCATAAAACGTAATGAACAAGCACAAAATAAAATGGCGCTGAAACATCAAAAGCCAACAAAGCAGAAAAAATAAGTAATCATATTTTGTTTCATATTCTACCTTTTTCTTCTAAATTCCTTCCATTAACTAGGTCTATCATAAATCTTTTCCTATTTGCTGATTTCTTATTTTCTCTTCTTTAGGTTTTGGAATATGTTTAATTAATCATTAATCATTAATTCTTCCCCACATCAAGGTTATAATGCAAGGAAAGTTATTTCAGAGGTGTAAGCATCTTTTGTACTGAAGTGTTCTGTCTCTGGGCGGTAATGTAAACACAAGACGGATGTCGAAGCCTTCCATGGGATCCATCTTTCACATAAAAAATCAATTATGACATATTCTAGTCATATAAAACTATAATGTGAATTATCAAAATTAAGAAAATTTAATGCTTTTATCCTCCTCGCATACTAAACGAACACTGATGCATCTATTCTTGTTTACAAATTCCGCCCAGAGAGAACTGGTTTCAATATGTACGCAGAGTATACGCAACTGCATTTAACTTTCCTTGCATTATAACCTTGCCCCACATTCACTATGATTAATACATATCAATGGCCCCCATGGTTTTGAAGGTTATTCAAAGTAAAATATTTTGACTGAACCTAATTTGCATGATTTCGACTATTTTCCAATTTTAGGCATTTTTTGGGTCCATTGTGTGTGTTCAGATTTTGACCCCCCACCCTTTACTATTATAGAAGTCATGTCTATTCTTGTGATGTTGTGCTTTTCGTTAAAGTTAGATGTCAATGCATGCAACATAGAATTAAGATACCATTAACAGAAGAAAAAATAAAATTCAATTAAAATCTATTTTTAACCTTTTTTATACTTTTCATCCAATAACTCATTATCTTTCCAAAGGTTTAAAACCAAGTGCCTAAATCTTACCTCATGAAAATCCTTGATATTGAACTTATCTCCTAGTTGTGTCTCAGCTAGAGCTCTGAGCTCTCTAATCTTCATCTGACCGATCTTGTATCCAGTAGCTTGCCCAGGCCAGGTCACATACCGGTTAACCTATTAATTAAAGGGATTGTTTATCTATTTGAAAAACTGAACAAATATCCAACTGGAAAAAGATACAAATAAAGTCGATTTTACTGCTCAATGGTATTCTTCACAAAACCTATTTTACTTGATAAATTTGGGAATTGGAGATATTTTTAAAAAACTGTGATCAATTCATTTAATGGACTTAATTTCAATGTAACATTGATTAACAATTCAAGTATAGAGCAACATAGATGATTCACAACATTACCCAATAATTTTAAATAAAATTTTTTTTGAAAATGAATAGGTAACATCAACTTATGTATTTGATTGCAAAATTGGGGTATTTTCGGAAAAGTTAAACAGTCCCATAAAAGGATATTTATATCAATGCATGTAACCAGTCAAATCAAAAATCACCAAAAGATTCACCAAATAAATTGGAATTTGTTAAAAAATTATATCAATGCAACCTTTAATAACCAGTCGATTACGGAGTTGCATTAGTGATTCACAAAATAAATTGAAACACTTCGATGCACAAAAACCTCCAAGTCGTAAACCTATTTAGCCTGACGTCTGGTTTAACGNTTATTGTGGTACAAATCTATAACATTTGATAAGTTTTTGGAAAGCCCTTGGGCTTCATAATCTGCAAAAAAAAAATGGAAAATTTACAAATATTCAAATATGTATTGCGAAATCTAGTTATAAAGCAAAAAATGTGCCAAAAAAAATTGTGCAAATTACAACAAATTAAACATTTTTAAAAAGCCCATGACCCAGCGAATTCAAATAAGCAAAAACAATTGCAAAATTCGTAAAACTTAGATGTGTATTTAAAAAAAACTGAAAATGTGTAAATTCTTCTTAAAGGCGCCTGTGAAAAAATCTGTGCAAAGTTTCTTTGAAAAAATTGTGCAATCTGCTTACTTTTGTTATAGGCTTTCCAAAGAGCTATAAAATGTTGAAATCCATTAACTGGATAAAGGTCTAAATATAGATTTAGTCTGGTACAATAAAGGCATTAAGGCAGCTTCCTAGCTCAAATACTTTTTGAGTTATCGCTTAAAAAACGATAGGAAGGGGGGGGGGGGGGTCAAATTGACCCCCACCCCTCCCCCAGGCCAGAAAGGTTTAAAACAAGTTCTTTATGAAAACAAATACGAAGGTTTCTGCAGTAATCTTCTAGTTAAACTTAGTTAGCATGAGTTTATCTTACTGAAGAACAGTGAAAAGTAATTTCCAACTAAATGCAGAACAAACTTTTTCATGGTAAATGAAAATATAAACAGTATAAATAAAACCTTAAAGGGACTGTTCACTAATTATGACAGCGGAGGAACAATTCAAAACTGTGCAAACACAAAGGCATATCCGATTGAAACAGGTACTGTTTAAACTCGTTTCTGGGTCACAATGCGGAATACATTGTCGTTTCCTGTCTTAAAGGGACATAATTTTGATACAAATCACATTTCTAGAAATACCAAAATTTAAATTTATTAATTTATAGATTAGAAAACAAGGATATCTCCAAAGTTTTGTCTCAAACAAAAGTTTAAAGAGTTCTGTTTAGAATCAGGAATTCAACTCTTTTAGAGGAGAATCCCTTTAAGTGTGTAGAAGAATAAATGTACCTCTCCCTTGATATTGTCTAGTGTAGCTGCTGAATGGGTCAGCATATACTCTACTGCCTTCTCCTGACTCCAACCCAGAGCATGCATACCTGGCAATCATAATACTGAGAATGAGAATAATAAAAAATAGACAATGACAATGACAAAGACAAAAACAAAAACAAAAACAAAAACAAAAACAATAACAAAAACAATAACAATAACAAAAACAATAACAATAACAATAACAATAACAATATCTATAAAAATAATAACAATAATAATAATAATAATAAAAAAATCTAATTTTAAAAAGAAATTTCGATGTAAAAAAAAATCGATATTAGAAAAAAAATTCGATTTTTTTTAGCCTTTGTTACCCACCGGGGTACTCAAGAGTTCCCTGAAAAAATGTTGGCCCATTCGGTCCAACAGGAACAACAACAACAATAATAATAAGGATAATGATAATTGATTAAAGTACTGACCCGTATCAACAACAAGTCGACATGCACGAAATATCTCCTCACTAAGATGCCCATACCTAATATGAAAAAACAAAATTGCAAAAATTTAAATAAATAAGAACAAACTCAATAGAACTAAGGAAAGATTTTGCTTACATTTTACTGTGACACATTATGACAACTTTGTAATACTTTTATTAAATACAATAGCAAGGGTCGGTGAGTCGGTAGTCCGCACACCCCCACCGGGCTGTAGAGTGTAGAATGCCAACAAAACCCCTATCCAGCGTCCTTAGTTCTCTTTATTTATCTATATTTATATAAACATCAAACTTATCCCAACAAACAAAACCCCCTATCCAGGGTCCTTAGTTCTCTTTATTTATCTTCTTCCATAAACATTAAACTTATCCCAGCAAACAAAACTGGATTGACATACTAGTTAAAAACTTATTCAAACTCTCAACTAAGAAAATCGGATTTTTCTCGAGTATATATCGACCATTTCCTCCCATCCATCCCGAACAATTGCATACAAATATGGTCAAATATTCGAGTCTGTCAAAAGGTGAACTAAAAATGTCGTGATTTGGACAAAAAGACAACGTGAACAAATTTTGTCGTGAAAAAGTCCAGTTTTGTTTGGTGGGATGGCACCTGTCTAATGGGTTAGAATACAATCCCATATCAAATCCCAGAGTCTCGCAGTACAAACCCCAACCCTAAAATGAATTTAATTTATGGATTAAACCTTTTAAGTGGAGTTACAGTGTGTCCCTAAATACATGACAATTTTAAGAATAACAAATAAAGTATAGAACATGAGTTAAGAGGTTTGCAAATGAACTAGTTTTCTTCACTGTTTTCAAGGTATTTTGCCTTTTTTCAAAAATATTATGTATTTTCCAATTTTGAATGGTCAATTTATTGTGACACACTGTAAGAGTATCGAATAAGACGAATCAGCATGGCATAAAATAACGCAAAACTAAAGAAGTCAACAACAAACAGCTTTTACACATCAAGCATTTTAATCCATTCTCCGAGAGATTTAATAATTTTTCATACTTTTACTCTTTTTTCTTTCCAGTGTGGTTGAAAGGGACTGGTACTGTATTCCTCTTCACCTCCCTTCTCCCACCCCTCTTTCTCTCTAAATATCTACCTCTACGTATGCAGTGTTGATGGGAAATCTTGTTGGAGTTTGTGAATATACTCTATCCTCCATGGATTTACGGAATTCAGGCCACCCAGCTCTCTCAAGCGTATACGAACCCTAAACAAAGTTCAAATATGCCCAAACTTTATTCTCAATTCAGTTTTCAATTAAATAAGTTTTTAGGTTAAATGTATTTCCTCAAAACACAGCTTTTCCCCAGTTTAGAATAATACCTAGAGAGAAACCTTTCCAGTGTCCAGTTTAGAATCGTACCTAGAGATTTATAGATAAGAAAAATACCCAGAGAGAAACCTTTCCAGTTCTGATACTAGTGTATAGGACTATACCTGGAGATTTTGTCCTGGGTTAGATTCATGAAGGCTGAGACTGATCATCTCATATCTAGGTAAGCTCTGATACTAGTGTATAGGACTATACCTGGAGATGGTGTCCTGGGTTGGATTCATTAAGGCTGAGACTGATCATCTCATATCTAGGTTAGCTCTGATACTAGCGTATACGACTATACCTGGAGATGGTGTCCTGGGTTAGATTCATGAAGGCTGAGACTGATCATCTCATATCTAGGTAAGCGCTGATACTAGTGTATAGGACTATACCTGGAGATGGTGTCCTGGGTTGGATTCATGAAGGCTGAGACTGATCATCTCATATCAAGGTTAGCTCTGATACTAGCGTATACGACTATACCTGTAGATGATGTCCTGGGTTGGATTCATGAAGGCTGAGACTGATCATCTCATATCTAGGTAAGCGCTGATACTAGTGTATAGGACTATACCTGGAGATGGTGTCCTGGGTTAGATTCATGAAGGCTGAGACTGATCATCTCATATCTAGGTTAGCTCTGATACTAGAGTATACGACTATACCTGGAGATGGTGTCCTGGGTTGGATTCATGAAGGCTGAGACTGATCATCTCATATCTAGGTTGGCTCTGGTACTTATGAGTGTTCACGTAAAGACGTCCGGGCCTGGAACCATCAACAGTGCCTATCATTTTAAAGTAGAATAAAAAACATTGTTTTTTTTTCCGAAATGTTTTCCTACTGTCTTCAGTCCCTTTTTTCAATCAATACTGTAAAATCAGCTGACTTGCTATTTCACGATCTGTGATTGGTTGGAGAGACGATTTCTGGCGTCTGATTGGTCGGATTTTAAGAGAGGGATAAGCACCAACTGAATTTAATAAATTTGCGGGGTCGCTGAACTCAAGCTGAACTGCCTATTTGAATAACCAATTCAAATCCTTCCTGAATCAAAACCTTTGAATCGGTGGTTCAAATTTCAAATTCATTAAATTAAGTCCGCTTCGGACTACCAAACCAAACATACGAATTCCCGCTTACATGGAGAAATCAACTTTATATAAATAGTTCCGATCTGGGAGGATATTTCTTTTAACATGATTGACTGGGATTGTGAAATGTGAATATTAAAAATGGATTCTATATTTATACAAACTGAGATAGGATATCAAACGAAACAATGTCTGAATTTAATTAAATTTGGATTTGAAAAGATTGAAATTGAATTATTAGAACCCATTCTCACACTCTAACATATAGTCCGACACAATTAGAATAAAACTACTTGGAGAGAGGGACAGGGTTTACCAATATTCTACTGCTTATTTTTAGGACTGCTCAGGAACAGGTTTTATTGTAAACAATAACAAAGATTGTAAATAAAGCTTGGCCTTCCTGATTAGAGCAGGAGAGGCCTGGCAAATTAATGTTTACTAAATTTTGTTTGTTTACAATGAAACTGTCCTAATACGTCACAGTAGAATGTAAACAAGCTATAAATGTAAATTCAATGTAAATTTTAGAATTTCAAGAAAAAAATGATTAAATCCCAGCCGGAATAATTTGTTAGTAAAAATGTTTCAGTTAGTTGAAACGTCAAATTTACAAACAGAATAAAGTTAAATCTTGAATTCATCAATTTTAATTTACAAAAATGGTTTCAAGTTTCTTTCAGAATATAGTTTAAATAAAAAGAATAAAATGTTTAAACAGTAGAAAATACTATAGTTTTACTTTTCTTCAGAACATTTCAATCTTCTATTGGGCATTTCGTTTTTTCTTATTTATGGTTTAATTTAACTGATCTGAATTTTTATCTAACCTTTCACAACATGTCTCTATCCTTTTTCTTACCTTTTCTAACCTTTTCCTACCTTCTTTAACCTTTTGCCAACTTCTCTAACCTTTCCCACCTTCTCTAACCTTTTCCCCACCTTCTCTAACCTTTTCCACCTTCTTTAACCTTTTCCCCACCTTCTCTAACCTTTTTCCCACCTTCTCTAACCTTTTTACCCACCTTCTCTAACCTTTTTACCCACCTTCTCTAACCTTTCCCACCTTCTCTAACCTTTCCCCACCTTCTCTAACCTTTTCTCCACCTTCTCTAACCTTTTCCCCACCTTCTCTAACCTTTCCCCACCTTCTCTAACCTTTCCCCACCTTCTCTAACCTTTTCCCACCTTCTCTAACCTTTCCCCACCTTCTCTAACCTTTTCCCACCTTCTCTAACTGTTCCCAATTTCTCTAACATATTTCTTTTCTTCTGCATCCCTCTTAACCATTAAACCTTAGCTTCATTCGACCATTTTACCATTCCCAAACCAGCTTTCTTTGCAAAAAAATCCCACTTCTTTTAATTACTTATCGCCCTTAGACTAGAAAATGATTTTAACATTTGCACTTCTACCTGCTATATAATAGGCAGCAGGGGCATCAGGGGTACTTGCTGGAGTCTAGAAACATGGTTTAAAGGGACTGTAAGCGTATATTCATGTCACCCTCCGTGTAAAGATAGCAATGCCAGATTCATAACAGCTTTTATCTGATCAATAATGTGGAAGATATTGTCCCTTTGCTAAGTGTTTAATTCTGATAATTCCTTTATGTTTAACTGCTGGAGAAATGCGCAAACCATAGATATATTTGTCATACTTGCTCAGACAAGGCATTTAAGAGTATTATTGTGAATCTGGCTTTGCTATCTTTGCATGGGAGATCATTTAGAATTACGGTTACAATCTCTTTTAGTAATATTTTAAAGCTTAAAGGATGTAAGATGTAATTTCATTGAAAGAATTACATGCCGCCCGTCAAATTGCAACCTTTGAAAAAATGATGAAGATATCCTTGGTTATTTATCTAAAACCTAATGCTTGCTGTTTTTTATTAAACTGGGTTCAAGATTTGATATCTTTTTCGTCAGTTCACAGATAAAATATTTTAGAGATGGATTAGGCGTGTAACTTCTTAAATGTCCTTGTGGAGATCACATATATAATTTCAACTGTCCTTTAAGGAATAAAAGGTAAATGAATGGGAAAATGGAATTTCCACTCATGTTTCTATCTTTCATTTCGTTTAATCAAGAAAAAATAAAATTCTCTTAAAAAAAGGCATCAAAACGGGATTATTTTTCAACTGAAACCAAATGCATAATTTCCCAAGAAGACTGACCTCTCTTATCTCCATCTTAGTTTTAGGTTTAGAATGGAAGAGTAGAAGAATATGTTTATCAATCTTGTTCTCGATAATATCCTTGAAGGTGTCAAGCAGCTCCTGGGGAGAGTTGAAGAAGTTGCTCTTATCTGTCCTACAATCATGGATGCAGTGCATAGGATCCGCAACATTATGGCTTCCCAAATCCGGATCAAAGGGGCAAAATGAAATGGATCCTAAACACTGCTCGGAATTACATATCTAAATATAAATTTGGCTTGTCTATCTGTTAGTTTGTTTCCAATAAATGTTAAAACGGCTGAACCGATAAGGCCCAAGTTTTGTGTGGGACCTCACGTGACCCCACGTATGCAGTTCTTAACCTTTGAGCATGAGCATGAGCATGAGCATGACAATGACCATGACCATGAAGATGACCGCGAACATGGCCATGAACATGAACATAACCATGTCCATGAACATGACCATGAATATGACCATGAACATGACCATGAACATGAACATGACCATGAACATGACCATGATTATGACCATGAACATGACCATGAACATGACTATGATAACACGAACACGAACACGAACACAAACATGACCATGAACATGACCATGAACATGACCATGATCACGACCATGATCACGACCATGATCACGAACACGAACACGAACACGAACACGAACACGAACACGAACACGAGCATGAACACGAACACGAACACGAACACGAACACGAACACGAACACGGAACATGAACATGACCATGACCATGAACATGACCATGATCATGACCATGATCACGACTATGATCACGAACACGAACACGAACACGAACACGGAACACGGAACACGGAACACGGAACACGGAACACGGAACACGAACATGAACATGAACATGATCATGACCATGAACATGACCATGATCACGAACACGAACACGAACACGAACACGAACACGAGCATGAGCATGAACATGAACACGAACATGAACACGAACACGAACATGAACATGAACATGAACATGAACATGAACATGAACATGAACATGAACATGAACATGAACATGAACATGAACATGAACATGAACATGAACATGACCATGACCATGACCATGACCATGACCATGACCATGACCATGACCATGACCATGACCATGACCATGACCATGACCATGACCATGACCATGACCATGATCATGATCATGATCATGACCATGAACATGACCGTGATAACGACCATGATAACGACCATGATCACGAACACGAACACGAACACTAACACTAACACTAACACTAGCACGAACATGAGCATGAGCATGAGCATGAACATGAACATGAGCATGAGCATGAGCATGAGCATGAGCATGAGCATGAGCATGAGCATGAGCATGAGCATGAGCATGAACATGAACATGAACATGAACATGAACATGAACATAACAAACCTTTAAACATGAACATTAACATAAATATTAACTATTTAAATATTTAATATTAATTAAATAATCTTATCATTAAATCTATGGTTTCCAGGGTTTTTATAGGCCCCAATGGGTTCTGAGAAACCCCTGTAATCATATGAACCTGCAGATATGAAAACTGAATGTGCCTAAAAATGCTATAGAAATTAATCAACACATTTTTCCTTACAACTTACCAGTAGCAATACCCTCTTCACACTAATCCTAATTGACTTTCGTTAAAGGAATAAATTTATCCAGTCAGCTCTGCATCTTTAAATTCCTGCGGAATTAACTAAACCCTCTCCTCTTACTCAAATTTCTAATTTTCTAATCCTTAAATTTTCAACTTAAATAATGGTGGCAACATTAGAGTAATTAGTCCCATTTTTAGTATCTGGTTGCAACATAAATAGGATTAGAAAATTACTAGTTGAGATGAGTAATCAGCTCCTTTATCAGTATCAGGTTGCAACGTTAAAAGGATTAGAAAATTACTAGTTGAGATGAGTAATCAGTTCCTTTATCAGTATATGGTGGCAACGTTAAAAGGATTAGAAAATTATAGTTTGGGATGAGTAATCAGTTCCTTTATCAGTATCTGGTTGCAACGTTAAAAGGATTAGAAAATTACTAGTTGAGATGAGTAATCAGTTCCTTTATCAGTATCTGGTTGTAAAGTTAATAGGATTAGAAAATTACTAGCTGAGATGAGTAATCAGTTCATTTATCAGTATATGGTGGCAACGTTAAAAGGATTAGAAAATTACTAGTTGAGATGAGTAATCAGTTCCTTTATCAGTATATGGTGGCAACGTTAAAAGGATTAGAAAATTACTAGTTGAGATGAGTAATCAGTTCCTTTATCAGTATCTGGTTGTAAAGTTAATAGGATTAGAAAATTACTAGCTGAGATGAGTAATCAGTTCCTTTATCAGTATCGGTGGAAACATAAATAAGAGTAGAAATTTATAGTTAGAGACTAATTATCAGTTCTATTTCCAGTATCTGGTGGCATCGTTATAAGAATTACAAAATTACTGGTTGAGATGAGAAATCAGTCCCTTTTTCAGTATCTGTGGTAACATTAATAGGATTAGAAGATTTCAGGTGACCAATTTAACTAGTTGAGATGAGTAATCAGTTCCTTTATCAGTATCGGTGGTAACATAAATAAAATTAGAAAAGTATAGTATGAGACTAGTTATCAGTCCTATTTCCAGTACCTGGTGGCAATGTTATAAGGATTACAAAATTATAGTTAAGGACAAAAAATCAGTCCCTCTGTCAGTACCTAAGCTTCTCCATGAACTGAGGCAAGGTGAGGTTGAGTCCCATTTCCTTGATTACTTCCCTCATCTCCTCCTCAATCTTCCCAACCTCGTCCAACCCCTTCTGATGGATCTCCTCGGCGGTCAGGTTGGTCGAGGTGTGGAAGGCCAAGCATGCCTTGTAATACTCAGCTGAAAACAATACTTTAAGAACAAGATTAATGATCAGGATCAGGATCAGGAGCAGGGGAGGATCAGGATAAAAGATAAAAATAAAAATAAAAATGATCTCGACACTCGACACGTTGATCGGTAAACAAAAGTGTATTACCTGAAATGCTAGAAGCTCCTATCTCTGGTCGGGTTGCAGAAGCGTACTCAGTCGACACAAAGTTGGCCAATGTCAGAAATCCAGCTTGCACGGAGGATTCAATGGCAGAGAGAGCTTCAGCCTAGAAATATTTTTTATTTCTATTTTTTTCCTTTACGATAGAAATTTAATATCCCAAAAAAGACTTCATGAATTCTGAATGAAACCACATAATTCCATTTATCTATTTATAAATAATGCACTGAAACAATTAGGAAGAAAATAATATTCGAATGTGAAAAAAACATTTACATATTTAATGTAACGCACACAAAACAAGCAAATAGCTGAAAATGAAAATTATATTACAAAAATAATCTTGATTTAAGCTTTATGCATTTGTGTTGAAAAAAAAATTAAGATTGATTGGAAAACTTTCTTGAAACAAGCCGACTTTAAACAAGTTATCACATTTTTTTTTAATAAATCTTAACTCCGCAATGGACAGGTGAATTTGAAGTGCATAAAAGGTCAGTCTATGTTAGTCTATATGACCCTCTCGGCATAAAAGGTCAGTCTATGTTAGTCTATATGACCCTCTAGGCATAAAGAGACATATGTCCATGATTCACAGCGATACCTTAAAACCTTAATCTGATAAATATTGTGTAAGATTTCCGAGTGTTGAATTCTGATAATTTCTTCAGTGTGCTTGAAGCAAGAAATGCACAGGTCACATTTAAGATTTTAAATAATCAATTTTCCATTAACAAATACTTAATAGTGAACAGTCTCTTTTAAGAATTATTTTCCCAATCTCTAATGTTTTTAATTAGTTGGTTTGCAGAGGATTAGGGATTACTGAAGGGATCAACTTCACATTATAGTTCTGACCTCAAAGCTAAATGTGAGCAGGACTATAAAAACCTTCTACCTAATATATTCTGGTAAAATACTAAAAGAATAAAAATACTATTCACATCATACATCAAATAAAACTTGGAGAAAATAATATTCAAGCTACTACACTTGGTGCTTTAGTAAAAATATTATTTCAATAAAAAGTTTTTACAAGGATACCTGTAGTCGCTTGTTTTCCTGGTCCGTGAAGTTTAAAGTCTGAAAGGGTTTATAGAAAACAGTTTCCCTAAAAACAAACAAATATAGTATAATTTTGTAATTGCTACCAAATTTTTTATATTTTAAATTTTAGACATCTAATGTAATACTAAAAAACTAAGAGCAGCTGAGAGATTTCCTCTAAAATATTGAAATAATTATCTTTATTAATCTAAAATTGAAATGTTTGCAGAATAACGTCAGAAAGAATCTTCTGTCTAGATCATGAATAAAAGTTAATATTTGAGCCCAATCCTAGCACAAGATCATACCCCCCCCCCCACCATTAAAAAACATTCAAAAATGATACTTTACTTAGATAAAGGCGAAACAATTTTTTGGCGGAATCTCTAAGGCTAGGACCGACTAAAAAAATATTTTTAAATGTTTTTTTTTCAGAGAGATAGGGGTTCCAGAAATTGAAGACCAAATCTTCTTTTTAAATTAATATTTGTCAGTTAAAAGTACTGTTCCTCCACCCCATGCATGGAAACTGCACGGTAGGTTCGTTTGGCTCAGCTACATTTTGCCTAGTCACAATTTGCCTAGTCACATTTTGCCTAGTCACATTTTGCCTAGTTCACTTTTGCCTAGGTAACATTTTGCCTATGTAACTTTTTGCCTAGTTCAAGTTTGCCTAGTAACATTTTGCCTAGGGTAACATTTTGCCTAGGTAACGCAAGAGCATGTTTTTTGCCTAGTCAATAATCTTTTATAAAAAACAAATTTTGTCAAGAATTAAACATTTTTTTAAAAGTTTAACCAGATAAATTTTAATGAATTAAAATTAATGAATTGAATTGTATTCTGTACAGCAATTTTAACATTCCTGTCACTCTACAAAAGATAAAATATGGTTATGCATCAGATATATATATATATATATATTTTTTAAATACATTTTACATAATCATGGAGTATACATAGGAATACACATAGGAATACACAGGTGATCTTTATTTATCATTTTTTATCTTCTGCTGGTCATGTGCAAGGGTTTGGATATAATCAGCTTTCGGCATGGTATGGAAAGCTTCTACAACAAATTTCACCCTCTGTCTGGAGTCCTTTGATCTCTGCTTTCCTTGAACATTGGCATACTTCTCAATCACAGCCTTTTCTGTGGTCTTAGCTTTCGTCTTCAGCAGCTTGTTGGTATGGCCATGAGTTGGGAGTACATCCCCTACCAGGATTCCAGTAGATATCCTCGTTGTTAGGGTTGCAGTGCATGATCTCTGGGAACAGCGCCAATTCTTGATCTCTGCCCTCTCCCCATTGAAAACATAATAGAAGTTATGCTTATCTCTGTAGTTTGGCTTTACCCGCCTTGTAAGCCCTGCAGTTATCATGGGAGCCATTTTCAATGTGTCTCTCCTTCTGATTGGGTTAAAGGAAACTGAATGATTTTCAAAAATTTGCAAAGTTTTTGCCAAAAAATTTGCGGATTTTTAAAAAGAAATCTCGGATCATTGAAAAAAAATCTCGGATTGATGAAAATTTCTTTGTGAAAAAATTATTGACTAGGCAAAAAATTCGCTCTTTTGTTACTCTAGGCAAAATGTTACCCTAGGCAAAATGTTACTAGGCAAAATGTTACTTAGGCAAACTGTTACCTAGGCAAAATGTGACTAGGCAAAATGTGACTAGGCAAAATGTGACTAGGCAAAATTTGACTAGGCAAATTGTGACTAGGCAAAATGTAGCTGAGCCGTTCGTTTCATTACCTGGGTTCTCCTAGATGAGATCTGCACTGTTCCTCCACCCCCTGCATGGAAACTACATGGTTGGTTCGCTTCATTACCTGGGTTCTCCTAGGTGAGATCTGCACTGTTCCTCCACCCCCTGCATGGAAACTGCATGGTTGGTTCGCTTCATTTCAATTCCTTTCCTCATCATCCCAACTATCTGATCAGCCAGGGTAGAGAACTTGGAGTATCTATACAAGGATAGAGGCCAAAACTTATGAATTTTAATCCGTTTATTAGGAAGTCCGTTCCCTCACCCACTGTCGTAAAGGTGGCGGGGTGCAATTCAACACTTAGGGGCCCCATTTTTTAGGATGCGTTTGGTCCTAACAATTTCATTCAGCCACTAATGGTGGTCATCTACATAGAGCACGAATAAAATTGACCTCCAAATATTCATGACCTCCGCAGGTAAAAATTTAGAATCACTAATAATGGGTCATGTTAGGTTTCGAATCATAGATTTTTTAATGTTCTAATTTAATTCCGAGGCCTCCTTTCAGACCTTAGAATATTCTGAAGGTCGTTGACCGCAAGATAGGTTACTTTTGGAGGTCGAAACCTAAATTCAAGAAAATGGGTCATGGGATAACCCGGATTAAACTAAAATCCTTTAACTAAAAAGTTTACACGTGGATATGTCGATGTGGCTAAGCTATATCCCAACCCTCATGTTTCAAATTAAAAAGACTATACCTTGCAATGATGTTTTCATAGTCCTTAACAGATTCTGGTGGACTCCACTCTAAAAGCTTTTCAAAATCAACCTGCACCCCCTCCATATAGTTCATGGGGTAATAGAAACCTATATTAAAGAACTGTAAGTGAAATTTCAAGTGACCCGTCGTTTAAAGATGACAATGCCCGATTCACAACGGTAACCTTGAAACCTTTATCTAATGAATAATGTGGAAGATATTGTCGCTTTTCAAGGTTTAAAAGTTTTTACTTTTGATAATGGGACTAAATGTTAGTGTAGAATAAGTGCGCAAGTAGTAAAAACCAAAATTAAAAATAATCAGGTTTCAAAACTATAAAGATGGATATTTAATTCAAATTTGTTCTGACAAAAGCATTTGAGGGTATAATGCTGTGAATCGGACATTGCCATATTTCCATGGAGGGTCACTTGAAATTACGCTTACAGTAACAGTTATATTCTTATAGCAGCGGAATAACCTGAAGATCGTCTGTGAAATTTAAAATAAATTGTGACATTCATTTGTCAATTTAAACAAATCATCAATATTCTCTAGATTAACAGATAAAATGTGAAAACTTAAATTCTAGAAATAATTCAGAAGCTAATTTAGTCTTCATAAGATAATTTTTGTTTTCAGTGATTTATTTTTGTGTTATGAAAGTGAGTTTTGTTCTGAATTGAGGATTATACTCAAAAACGGGAAAGTGGGTTTTGTCTCGAAAACGAGACAATGTTTCAAATTCAGGATATGTTCAAAAATGGAAAGCCTAACATTGTCTTGAAAACGGTCAAGAGGTTTATAAAAATGAACGCCTATTATAATTTATTGATATAATTATATAATATAATTTTAATATAATTTAATAATATATTATAAGTTTAAAATTGGGAATTATTGTCCTCGTCATGTTTAATAAAATGTTGGTTATAGTTTTATTATCGACTTTTACTCTGGATATGAGCCGGGATCCCAAAAACCCAATCTTTCAATTTGTGCCCATTTCTAACACTCAGTGTTAGAAATGGGCCAAGTGTTAGTTTTGGAACTAATGTCCCCTGTTATGATAGTAAAAAGAAACTAGAAACCTGATTCTAAAGTTAAAGCAAACCTTCCCCAGATAAGTTTAAGAAAATGTATTAAAAGTTTCTAATATTAGTTTCTTCCCAACATTCTAACAAAATAAGTTTCTCTCAACTTCTCAAAATATAAATAAACACAACTGAAGTTTGTGTTGTACAAAAAAATGATTATTCGAGTATTAGATAAATGAAACAAGCAAAGAATATTTTTTTCCAGAACATTTTTGAAGAAATAACGGGTTGTCGGAGTAATTTCACGGGTGCCCGGCTCTTTTAAAAAAATTAATGCCCCCGATTTACAACATAACCATTCGACTGAGCAAAAACAACGAAGATATTCTTGTTTTTCTATCATAAAACTACAATTTTTTAAATGAGGTTTCTCTAAAAAATTGACGACAAATCGCCACCCCACTCATAGAACCTTATCTAGGTTCTACTCACGGCTGCTGTCTCATCTCCTCCAACCCTCCAGGATGGCACCACTATATGTCTTTAAATTGTGATCTTTGTATTGTCCATGTCTCTTGTCCTTTCTTGTGTCATATCTATAGTGGTGTTTATATTCCAGATAAATGCCAAGAAGATCCTAAAGGCCTTCCTGTGTTATTATTGAATTGATTCCTGGATTCCGGATTGTGGATCCATCTCTCTCTCTCGATCTCCTGGATACCGATCCTGAGCGTTCTCGTTCTCCTGCAGTCCAAGACAGACCAGGCGGTTCATCTACTCCTTTCCTCCTTCTCTGTTCCTTCCCTAGACGTAGCCAGGCGACCCTCGCCTGGACGGGACTAGGAGGACCACTCAGACCGGAGCAGATACACAGGTGTGTTACTTGCGAATGCAACAACGACAACTAGGATATTAATACATCACGTGTTAACGACAATATCTTCTACTTTGCTACTCAGAGAACGGTGTAAAGGGGTACTCTTGTGAATCAGACATTCTTTTAAATATCCTTCAAACTGTAACATGTAGATAGACAACTGTTAATGGACAACTAGGATATAATACATCACATGTTAACGACGATATCTTCTACTTTGTTACTCAGAGAACGGTGTAAAAGGGTACTCTTGTGAATCAGGCATTCTTTTAAATATCCTTCAAACTGGAACATGTAGATAGAAAACTGTAAATGGAGCTCAAGGTATGTTTTTACATTCAAGTTTTTAAATAAATCTGAGATCGCTTTTATCAAAGAAAGTTTAAGGAGAGGTCCCCAAGAACCCCCCATACTCCCAGCCAGAGGAGAGGTCCCTAAGATCCCCCCCAAATCTAAGGAAAGGTCCCTAAGAACCATCCAGCATGAGGAGAGGTCCCTGAGAACCATCCAGTCTGAAGAGAGGTTCCTTAGAACCCCCCAGCCGGAGGAGAGGTCCCTGAGAATCATCCAGCCTGGGGAGAGGTTCCTTAGAACCCCCCAGCCGGAGGAGAGGTCCCTGAGAACCATCCAGCCTGGGGAGAGGTTCCTTAGAACCCCCCAGCCAGAGGAGAGGTCCCTGAGAACCATCCAGCTTGGGGAGAGGTTCCTTAGAACCCCCCAGCCAGAGGAGAGGTACCTGAGAACCATCCAGCCTGCACTGAGGTTCCTTATAACCCCCAGCCGGAGGAGAACCTAGCTTTTGCTTTGAAACTTTAACTTAAAAACATGTAATCCTATACTTTGTCATTTAATGTGAACCCGTTGAAATCTTTAAATGTATAAGTAAAGTATTTATATCTTAAAAGATCCAAGGAGCCAAAATATTACGTATCCAACGGATCCAGATATAAGTACTATGTTAAAGCAAACGAAAAAATAATACAAATCTTTACCAGTAAAGGGAAACCCGGATATGAATGTATCCAGTTCCGCGATGAGAAATCTAAGGTTCAAGTTCTGCTCCGGATCTGCAGTAGAACTGAGCAGTTTCTCTGCTCTACCCTTGAACTCCTCACAGGACTTTAGATCTTCATTAAACCTAGAGACAAGGAAGAAGTAAATCTTTTAAAGGGACTGTAAGCCTAATTTTAAGTGACCCCAAATGCAAAGATGGCAACACCCAATTTACAACGTTACTCTTAAAATCTTAACCTGATTAAAAATGTGGAAGATAACTTCGTTTTCCTGACTCTTAAGTGCTTATTTATGTTTCTTAAATGTTTCTGATTAGCAATAAATGCGCAAGTAACTTACTGAAACATCGCAAATTCGCAAAAAAAAAATTGATATATAATTCATGTTTGATCAAACAAAGGGCATCATTGTAAATCTGGCTTTGTCATCTTTGTATGGAGGGTCATTTGACATTACGCTTACAGTCCGTTGAATAAGGTTTTGATTTCCATTTTTATAAAACACCTAGTTTCTTCTTCTTGGGTTTACTAGGAAAAGCTGAAAAAATTTTTGAAGTTGTAACTGTGCTATTATATCTTTGCAAAAACTGTTAAGCGGTACTGTTTTCTGCTCCAATATATGAATATGCTCCAATATATGAATATGCTCCAATATAAGAATAAGCTCCAATATATGAATATACTCTAATATAAGAATATGCCCCAATATAAGAATATGCTCCAATACATGAATATGCTCCAATATATGAATATGCTCCAATATAAGAATATGCCCCAATACATGAATATGCTCCAATATATGAATATGCTCCAATATATGAATATACTCCATATATATGAATATGCTCCAATATATGAATATGCTCCAATATATGAATATGCTCGAATATATGAATATGCTCCAATATATGAATATACTCCAATATATATGAATATGCTCCGATATATGAATATGCTCCAATAAATGAATATTCTCGAATACATGAATATACTCCAATATTTGAATATGCTCCAATATATGAATATGCTCCAAGTTTACCTGGTTTCTGTAAACTGCTCCAAAATATGGTTATGCTCCATGTTTACCTGGTTTCTGTAAACTGCTCCAAAATATGATTATGCTCCATGTTTCCAACCATTGTACTGAATTCTGGACTTCTCTTTAATCTCCAATCCCAGAACTCCCTGAGTCCATGAAATCAATTTGTAACCATACAGAAAATCCCTTTTACGCCCTAAACTTGTTATACCAACCTTAAACTAAAAGTGAGAAATTATACATTTGCTAGTTTCTAATAAGGTTTGAAATGATCGATAAGATGGATCTAATCTGATTTTTTCCTGAATAGAGTTGATACAGGAGTTGTTTCTGCCATTTTTATGAAACAGCAGTCTGAAAAGAAACAGAGAAATATTACTATTGTAGCGTGACGAATGTCAAGAAAGAACTGAACTTAAAATACAGACAGGGGCGTATTTGGGTAAGGGGGCTTTGGGTGCTCAGCCCCCCCCCCCATCCCTGGATCTGTGAAATCTATGATTTCCAGGGGTTTTGGGGCCCCAACAAAGGTTGCATCCCCCCCCCCTTTTAAACCGAAAAAAAGTATGCTCCCCTCTGAATAAATTCTTGAATACGCCCCTGAATACAGAATCAAGATAATTTTATCAACAACGGAATCACAGACGACATCTATATTAAAAATAGAATAAACTATCTTTTTACAATGTTGAAAAATCTTGAACCTTAGAAGTGTTACAACTCTTAAATCCATCAAACGATATTTTACGGCAGGAATCCAGAGCTGAGATTTTAAAAACTTAAACCCGAGCAAATATAACAGGGAAAACCAAAGTGTAAAAACAGAAAATAAAGAACACATAAAATTGCACTTATTTTACTGTAAGATAAGCACTTTATTCTAAAATGATCGCTATTATTAATAATTTTTCGGTCACAAAAACTAAGTTGACACTTGTGACGTCAGAATACAGGTGTACTCAGAGTGTAAAAATTCTACGTTGCCATCTAAATTGTACTAGAATCTATTTGAACCCGAGTAAAACCCGGACTCGGGCTCAGATAGAACCCAAGTCTGAATTGGTTCTGATTCGACCAATTAGAGATTGCCCAGAAAGCTTTCTCTCCGTAGCAGAAAGATTGCCGGCAGATCAGCTGTGACAAGGAGATGTGAATTCGAAAATTCGAACTTAACGTAGATACATTATTTGCATAGTATGTTGATTTCATACCTTTGATCAAATTTGACACTAAAAATAGTTCGCGAGATTTTAAATGTACAAATATAATAGTTTTTACGAAACTTACGATCATCAGCTGTTGAAGACCTGAGCCTTAAAAAGCGAAAAACCCAAGGTGGTTGGTTTTTACTAAACTCAAGGCCATCCAAAACCCGAGTCTTGACTTGAGCTTTACTTGGGTCTAAGTAGACGTAAAGACCGGGTTTTACTCAGGTTTAAGTTTTTAGAATCTCATCTCAGGTTGTTATTATTAATCTAGGTATCAAAGGAATTAAGTCTTTGTCACAAACTCAGTTTTTCTAATCCCTTTATCATTTCAACCCAATTTCATTAGATATTTCAAACTATTGATTCTGTTAGATCAAATAATATAAGTCTGAAACACCATCAAGTTGCAATGATGTAGAGATTAGAAAATTTGAGTTATGTGGCAACTACTTTATTACTATTTGTAACCGAATATTGGGACAAGTAAAGAAATTTGAGGCTGTCGGAGTATTATTAATTTGTTAACTCTTGCAATATTTGATTGTCTTTATATAAAAATATATTGTTTTTTTATTACTGGCCTAATGAAAAATGTCCTTAAGAGCTTTCAGATTGTATAATTCCAGTAAAGGTTTTAAGCCATAACTAAATCATACAGGGTGTCTCAATAAACATGGAAATTAAGTGACGATTTCCATATCGTCTTTGCTCCACGCGGCATTATTTGGGTGACACTTACTAGTATCTTAGTTGAAACATTCAACACTAAAACTACTAAGTATTGGGATTTCCAAATAATCAATTATCGGACATCAATGAAGATTTTCATGTCGTCTCTTTATTACCATGTTTATTGGGACACCCTGTACAAAGGAGTAAAATGTAAACCCCCCTCATTAGCCGTCATTCGGTAAAGTCTTAAGAAATAAATGATTTTAATAAACGATTTAGTGATGAGAAAATAAGAATCAGTATGTTTCAGTTGCCTTGAAGCACTCAGTTATCCTTCCCAGAGAATGACTAGGAGTTTTGTAAAACGAAATTTATCGAAACTAGATTTTTAAGACTTGGAAAACTGCCAGTTATACCTAACTGTTTATAGGAAAAAAAATTTATTTACTTTTTATCACTCATCACCAAAGGAACATTAAAATGAAGTTAATAATTCCTTGAATCACCAAAGGAGCATTAAAATTAAGTTACTAATTCCTTGAATACATGAAATCAAATGATTTAAACACAGCACACCAAAATTACACAAAATAAAGGATAAATTATAAATTATATAAACAGAATAAAACAAGAATTTGGACGGACAAAATGAATATCTGAACAATTTTTTTACCATTTAGGGGGGGGGGGGGCTCAGATTTGTTAAACCCCCTGAATATCATAGTTTTCATTTTTAAAGAAAGGGATTTGAGCCCCCATTACCCATACCCCTTGTATTTGGATGAATAGTTTGATTTGACTCCTTGATTCAGGAGCATTTCGTAACAGAGGATTTAAACCCTCCGACATTTGAGACAACAGTCTTGCATTTCATTCCACGCCCTACACGCCATTCTCTGCCTTTAGAAGGAACTGCCTGTCCAAAAAAATCATCGTCGGAAAACTTAAAGAAGTTTCCAAAATGTTGTCCAAAATCCTGAAATAAAAAACAACCATTTCAAACAGGATTTTTATTTAAAACATTTAAATTCTAGTAGACCTTGAAAATGTCGTCGTCGTCAAACATGCTGTCAAAGTTGAACTTGAACGGTTTATTCTTCATGGCGTTGTTCATCTTGTAGCCAGGCGGGTGCCCGTACGCCCCACCACCACCACCAGCATTAGGACCACGACCGCGACCTCCAAGATGACCTAGTCGGGACATATCATACCGACGTCGGGACTCTGGACTACATTAATTTTGAGATAATCAAATTCGAAGTCTTACTTATGAAAGATAAAAGGATTTTCCGCTTATAAAAAATTACAAATAAATAATAAAACACATAATCTCTTAAAAGATGTTTGTTCGAAATAATCAAAACTTTCTGTCAAGGTAATAAATCAATAATTTTAAGTTAAAATAATTATCCCATAGGTTCTCAAAACGGGAGGTGCCCGAAGTAACTCCCTTGCAATCTTACCAAAATCAGAAAAAAATTTGCCTTCTCAAGCAATATTTATTAATTGAATTATGTTTTCTACAAAATTTACCAGTCTAAAAGTCGTTCAAGTTCCCAGCAAGCTATAGAAAAGAAAAACATATCTTTGAAATATTATCATTAAATTTGTTTTTGAAGTTGTTATGAATCTTTAAGATTAAAATGAAAGTTTAGAATTACTAAGATTTCTCGTATTCTTCCTTTTGAGTACATCATATGCTTCCTGTATCTGGGTAAACCTAAGTAGAGGCGTATACAGACGGGGGGGGGGGGGGGGGGGGGGGGGGGGGGGGGGCTAAGCCTCTCCTAGGAAAAGTGAAACGTTAGATTTCAAGGGGAAATTAAGTCCCAAACATTAGCTGAACTCCCCCCCCCTTGAATGTCAAATTCCTGCATACGCCCCTGACCTTGAGTAAGCTCCAGGAGCACTGTTCTTATCAGGATGGTATTTTCGCGCCAGGTCACGGAATGCCTATATCATGTTAAAATCATTTTTTTGCGAAACACTTATTCAGCAGTTAGGGTTCCAATAAAAAGTAAAAAAAGGCCAACATCATTTCTACATCCGAACCACATTCTCGTTATTTTCTCATCTGAACCGTCTCCAAAACCTCACCTCATCCATGCGTTTATTCTCTTAAAATCTGGGAAATTCTGGCTGTTTTTAAAAAATCAGACAACGTTAATATTTTGATATTTTAAATTCAATATTCTTTTTATGCCCTAACCTGACTGGTTTCTTTTTAACAACTTCTTCTTATATACCCGTCAAAACTGCAAATGACCCAAATAAACTTTTTATTGATGGAAACTCATATGGTCCCAGTTTAAAAAAATTCCAAGTAAAATTAGAAAAATTTTCGAAATACTTAAATTCCTTGCTTTAGAATAAAAACATTTAAAAACAAAAATATTTTACTGTTGTGAAAATATCCGGAAAATGTAGTGAAAAGCTTTTAAAGATGATAGAAATAAGTATGTTTTTACCCTTGTTGAAATATTGATTTTAGATACTAGTTCTATTTTCTCGGGCACATTTTGATTTCTGGAATTTATTGCTCGTTTCCGGATCAGTATATGAACCAGGGAATATCTCTGTTAAATCAGTATATAAACCAGGGAATATCTCTGTTAAATCAGTATATGAACCAGGGAATATCTCTGTTATATCAGTATATAAACCAGGAAATATCTCTGTTGAATCAGTATATAAACCAGGGAATATCTTTGTTATATCAGTATATAAACCAGGAAATATCTCTGTTATATCAGTATATTAACCAGGGAATATCTCTGTTATATCAGTATATTAACCAGGGAATATCTCTGTTAAATCAGTATATAAACCAGGGAATATCTCTGTTATATCAGTATATAAACCAGGGAATTTCTCTGTTATATCAGTATATTAACCAGGGAATATCTCTGTTAAATCACTATATAAACCAGGAAATAAACCAAACTCGTGGATTTCTAGACCTCAGCCGAGAAAAATATAGATAAATATTTTTTAAATCCAGATAAAAATTAGGAATTATCTTTTGAAAGAAAAAGGTTAAAAAGAAATCGTTCTGAATCGTTAATATAACACATCGGAAAAAAATCCCAAATTGAATGCTTGGAACACTTTTATAGTAAATTGTATGGTTGACTATTTGAAATATTAAAATAAACAACAAAAAAAACGTTTTATGCTTACTTTTTTTATATCCTTTGTGGTGGATTTCTCATCGATATTCAGGATTTTATAATAATTCTTCTCTCCTGTCGCTACCAATACCAGGACTGATCCTATATTAGCTTTAAGATAAAATAGGGGGGTAAACACCCCCCCCCCCCTTCTTCTGATGATGGTCTCCAACTTGGAAAAGGGGGGGGGGTTACTTTCCTTTCTTGATATTCCTGACAATACAAACCTTCTATATTTAGGACGGATCCTATACACTTGAGGATGAAAATAAGGAATGTAACACCTATTTTGACTCCAGGACTGATCCTACATACTTCAATCAAGGTAAGGTAATCCTACCCCTCCCACCAGGACTAATCCTTTATTCTTTAAGATAAAATGAAGAAGTAAACCCACCCTATCCACCACGCCCCAATTAAATCTATAAAGATATTCAATTTTCCAAACCTCAAGTCTTGGAAAATATAGGACTTCTTTTTCATCAAGGGTTACATTCTATTTTTATTTAAAGTGAAATATTGTTTAAGTAACCACGTCCCTTTTTCGTTATCAGGGTGCCTTTTAAAAATGAGTTTAAAAATATCGGCCTTTTGCGGCTTTTTTCATTTTCATCAAGAACATTCTATAATACATGTTAAACAATGAAAAGTGATTTACATTCAGATTTGATTGCCATTTTCTAAGATCTCTTATCCCTTCTGTCAGCTTATTGAGGATGGGTGCTTCAGAGTTACCCACAAAGAATGAGACAGTAAAGACGACCTGAAACTTAAACACATGACTATCTCATAGTTGAATTGAGACTTCTGCCTATTCTGATTTCGTAAAGATGTACGAACAAGAAGAAAAAGAAGAACAAGAAATATAGAAAAGTCAAAATATTTGCATCTGCTATTTTATTATTATTTAAAGAATAATGTTAAAATTTAGAAAAAAAATGTAAATAAAAAATAATTTCGTAAAGAAAGAAACAAGGTTTACAGCTGAAGAAAAGCGTAAATATAAGAAAACAGACGATATAAGCTCAGTACAGTCGTCACTGAAGTTTCATTCTTTGTGGGTATCCCTTCATCATCATTCTCTCTCAACCTTAGTCAATCTTTCTCTTAACAAAACTAAATTAAGTTTTTTCATCTATTGATCTCGCTATTTAAATTAGTCGTAATTATGGCAAATTAATAAAATTAAATATGCATGAAATTTACAAAATCCATGCCAACGAGGCCATGGCTTAATTTTCCGTAATGACTAACAAAACTTTATTATAACACTTTTTGCTATAAAAAAAAAATAATTTGTGACCCGTGATGAAGAAAAACTACATTGCAGAACTGCCCTTTTCCTACAGTGGTGGGCCATTATATCAATTAATGATGACACTTTTAATGAAGAATGCTTTGATTCCTAAGAAGCAATTTTCAAATTACAAGTTTACAAATAAACAAATGAGAAGCTTTATGTACTGCTCTTCAAAAGATTGATAGAAAGTTGTCGTCATTGTATTGATATATACGACAGCGACTAAAGTTTTAAACTTTATCTAGGAATGGTGGATTTTCTTAAAAGTTAAAAAAGGAAACTGCACATAAGAAAACATTGAACAAACCTAACATCAATATTCTGGTCAACTTAAACATTTTATCTGAAATAAAAAAAATGTTTATTGGTCAGTTCCAATTCTTCCAGTACAATCCCAGACGAGTTACTTTTATCTATTTATCTCTCTCTGAGTGATTAGATTTAATTGCCTATAAACATCTTGAATATAAACTTACAGAACTTTCAGTGAAACTTCTTTAGTAACTTTTCAAGAACATTAAAAATACTACACAAAGACTAACTCTGGTTGATTCTAATTCATAATATTTTGTTTGGTTTACGTGAGAGCTCTATTATATTTTATACTCCATGAACTAATCCTCCTCCTACTACTACTCCCTACCCATTATATAATTATAAAATTACCCTCTGCACTCTCTCAATATCATCAAAACAATATATTGACGAGTTTCAGCCATTTTTACCCATTCTACACTCCCTCCAGAACAAACTCGCGATATTTTTAATCATTCTACACTCCCTCCAAAACAAACTTGCGATATTTTTACTCATTCTACACTCCCTCCAAAACAAACTCGCGATATTTTTACTCATTCTACACTCCCTCCAAAACAAACTTGCGATATTTTACTTCTTCTCACTCCCTCCAAAACAAACTTGCGATATTTTTACTTCTTCTACATTCCCTCCAAAACAAACTTGCGATAATTTTACTATTTATCGACTCCAGCCATTTTTACTCTTTCTAAATTAACGGCATGTTTTTTTCTGAACTATATCTACCTTTTTCAATATTTCTTAATCTACCGTTTTCAATATTTCTTAACTTCCGGCCAATTTTACTATTTCTATACCCCCGCCATTTTACTCATCCTTCACTACCACGAAATAGTGTTATGGAATCGCCTCGCCACGGAAATGTCTCAAAAAAAACGGAACCACTCAAATGTCCACATTTTTGAGTTGCTTCCGCGATTTTTTCGTAAATCCCTCAAAACTTAGTTTTAGAGGCGTTTCCTAGCATTTTAAAGGCGTGTCCGCTTTTTGGCTGACACATATTTTTAAGGGATCTTCCAATAATTCAGAGGCGTTTCCGTATTTTTTGGAACCCCATTTTTAGTTGAGGTATTTCCTTTTAATTTTAGGCGTTTCCAAACTCAAAAATTTTAATCTCTATATCTGTGCAACCCGATGTCGTCGATCTTTGATATTTTTTAACTATTAATTCTATGAACTAGGAAAAAGCATACATTTGATTAAGGTTTACACCATCAAGTTTCAAAGAAATAGGGATTAGATAATTTGAGTTTGTGGCAAAAACTTAGTTCCTTTCTTGAACATCTTTCCCTCGTTCAAGTCCCCCCCCCCCCCCCCAATAAATTAAATATGTTTGAGAAGAGCATTAGAGGAAACAACGCAACCATAAATATTGGGAAACGACTCAATAATATTCGGAAATCCCTCAAACTTTTCGAGATTTCCAGAAATATTGCGGAAATTCTTCAAGTCATTTTTGAGGCATTTCCGTGGTGAGGCGTTCCCATAGCATCCACGAAATATAGTCCTTCTAAACTCGTTAGTGAGTCGTTATATCCTTTACGCAATTTTTACGGAGTTCAAACTCTTTTTTACACTCATTCATTACACTCATTACACTTACTGAACAATGTACATATTTATTTTGAAGCTAGAATTTACACAATATTTAGAATTGGAGAAAATATAATTCTTTGATGCATATATTCATCCATTAATAAATATTTCCCTCGTCTATATTCCCTCATTCATACATAAATTATATGCGACACATTGNTCCACTCTTCATTATCATTTAAACTAAACATTGCCCATATTTACACAAAAATATATTCGATTTTCAACAGAAATGGTAAAAAATCGTCATTTTTGCTCTTAAAGGTGGGTTGCGGTCGCGGACCAAATGAACTTTCTTTTTAAATTGAACTTAGGAAATACCCCCCCCTTTTCCTTGCAAATTCTAGAGCTAACTCCATTCCTTGATGTATTTAAAATTCAAATGTAAGAAATAGAAATTGCGAAAATAACAAAAATACAATATACAAAGCATTTTCAACAAAAAAATTTATTCAAACAAAAAGAGTAAGATTCCAAATATTGACGCAACATATAAATGTCAATATTTGTTTAACTGCAAAATCCAATGTTTGAATTTGGTTTAGGAAAACAAAGAAACTTCTGCTTAAATGGTAACATTGTTTTTAGTTTTTGGATTTATTTACTAGTGTTTGTACAGTGTACAGTGTACATATGCAGTACACATTGTACACAGTATAGTGAAATGTACGGAGTACAGTATACATTTGTATACTGTTACACTACACATTTTACGCTATATACTTTGTGGTACAATGTACATCCATATAGTGAATTACACATCATCAAAATTATGATTTTAATAGGATTTAATCTTTCACCACTCTGAGTTTGAAACCAAGCTTGTGTTCCGATTAAGGTTCGAACTCTCCTAGATAAATCTGTTTGTCAGAGCCGACGGAGAGGATGATAGGTTCAATCTTGTGGAAATCCACATCGTTCACTGATCCAAGGTGGCCAGGGAGCTTATACAGTATCTTCCTAAACACAAGCAATCAAGATTTAATTCTAAATAACAGAGACCACGATTTAAAACCCTAGTCTATATTACTCATTCTCGAGTCTAAATTTCTTAGTTTCGAGTCTAAATTTCTTAGTCTCGAGTCTTAATTTCTTAGTCTGGAGTCTTAATTTCTTAGTCTTAAGTCTAAATTCCTTAAACTCGAGTCTAAATTTCTTAGTCTCGAATAAAAATTTCTTAGACTCGAGTCTAAATTACTTAGTTTCAAGTCTAAATTTCTTAATCACGAGTCTAAATTTCTTAGACTCGAGTCTAAGATACTTAGTCTCAAGTCTAAATTTATTAGTCTCGAGTCTAAATTTCTTATTTCTTAGTCCCGACTCTAATTTCCTTGGTCTCAATTTCTAGTGTTTCAAGTTTGACCCGACTTGGTGTGTTTAGTCCAAGTGATTTCTAAATCCTAGATCAAGAAAAATTAGTCTCTACATATCTTTAAGACTAAAGCTTTACTGTAATGTTAATGAAAACTTTTTAGTGCACTTCCATTTAAACAGTGCTTAGGATCCGGATCAATTGGATCCGTAAGACTTTGGCTTCCTGGATCCAGATCCGCAAAAATATGCGGATCCACGGATCCAAATCCAAGGGGCAAAATATCAACCAAAAACTGCAAAAAAATTGTTTAAACTTAAAACCCAAATCTGAACTATTGAAATAAGAGAGATTATAAAAATGTCCTGATTTCTGAATGGTTCATCAAGATGAAGCATAAAAATAAGCGAAAAAATAGACAAATTTGAACATTCTGCTTTGTTAAAGAAATTCAGTAAATTTTAAAGAAAAATCCTGGATCCGGATCCATTTTTTTTTCAGTGCGGATCCAGGATCCGCATCAAAATTAAATGGATCCTAAGCACTGCATTTAAAGAATTTTTGGTCATTTTAACCCACAATGAAAAATAAACAATTAATGATGGATATCTCATTAGTCTCGATGAAACAAACCTTTTAGGGTTTCCGTTGTGAATTAGATATGTCAATCTAAAAAAGAGGGTCACTCGAAATTACGCTTAGAGTCTCTTTATGACAAGGTTATAATACAAGGAAAGTTAATTGCAGCTGCGTATACTCTGCGTACATATTGAAAACAGTTCTCTCTAGGCGGAATTTGTTATGAAGAAAAGATGCATCAGTGTTCGTTTAGTATCCGTGGAGGATAAAAGCATTTAATTTTGATAATTTTGATAATTCACATAATAGTTTCCTTTGACAAGAATATTTCATCGATTTTTTTATGTGAAAGATGGATCCCATGTCAGGCTGTGACATCCGACTTGTGTTTACATTACCGCCCCGACAGTACACTGCAGTACAAAAAATGCGTACACCTCTGAAATAACTTTCCTTGCATGATAACCTTGCTTTAAGACAATTGTTTTCTTAATTAGTTATATCGCAGTCTCAGTATTGCTTCAGAACTAGGAAAGAAATATATATTTGATAAGAAGTTGAGAAAATAAATATTATTCCTGATCTGATGAGGGAAATAGAAATGTGTTGTTTTCGTCTGCTACTGTCAGGTTTAATAAATTCTAAATCCTAGGAAAAAAGCTGGATTCGCTCTTTTCCAAATGTTTTCATTATTAAAGTTTACCCAACAAAAACTTGGAACGCGCTAGAATTTTCATAAGAGAAATTGTTCAGACAAAATATTTCATACAAGAGTATGTTACAACATTTTTTTTTAACAAGAGAAATTGTTAAGATATTTTCAGGGCTCCATATTATTCCATCCAATACGATACCAAATGTTGATTGATTGATATTAGGTGCAGAAATTAGCCATGTTGTTATTGTGAACAATTGGAAGTATGATATCAAGTTGAAGAAAAAATTCCATACTGCAAAATGTATACTGCAAGTGAGTGTTTATTTTTCGGTATATCTTATTTTATTTCTGATTTTGATTACTGATATTTACATCCAAGGTTGTAATGCAAGGAAAGTTATTTCAACAGGTGTGCGCATTTTTTGTTCTGCAGTGTACTGTCTCTGAGCGGTAATGTAAACACAATACGGATGTCGAAGACTGACATGGGATCCATATTTCACATAAAAAAAACAATGAAATATTCTGCTCACAGGAAACTATTATGTGATTTATCAAAATTATCAAAACTGAATGCGTTTAACCTCCTCGGATACTAAACGAACACTGATGCATCTATTCTTGTTTACAAATTCCGCCCAATGAGAACTGGTTTTAATATGAACGCAGAGTATTCCCAACTCCAATTAACTTTCCTTGCATTACAACCTTGTTTACATCTTTCAACACCCGACCCAACTGCAGTTTAAATTTCTATAGTGTAGTACACGTACACGCGTTCACAAGGACACACAGAGTGTATTTTCACGCGCCCAAGTGTACTTTCAACCCGGATCCCATTTGGGATCAGAAATGAAATTATTTGGACCCCTGGATATCTTTCATTTAATAACTTCGGTTAAAATATTTTAAAAGGTATATTCTTANCCCCCCACCCTCTCATAGTATGAAGTTTAAGCAACTAGGAATAGAGCAGATAGCACAAACTGTAAATTCCACCAGAAGTTGGTCTACTGTTTAAAACTAGGACAAGGAAACAGGGAAACACAAGGATAGGAGGACTAGAGATAGGGAATCCAGTTACAAGGAGACCCAGAGATAGGACAACCCAGAAATTAGATGAACTAGGAGATGGAGGGACCTTGAGATAGGGAATCCAGTTACAAGGAGATCCAGAGATAGGACAACCCGGAGATAGAGGAACCCCGAAATGAGAGAAACTAGGAGATGAAGGGACCTTGAGATAGGGAATCCAGTTACAAGGAGACCCAGAGATAGGGCAACCAGGAGATAGGATTACCAGTAGATAGGGGAACCCAGAAATTAGATGAACTAGGAGATGGAGGGACCTTGAGATGAGGAATCCAGTTACAAGGGGACCCAGAGATAGGGGAACCTAGAAATTAGATGAACTAGGATATGAAGGGACCTTGAGATAGGGAATCCAGTTACAAGGGGACCCAGAGAAAGGGTAACCAGGAGATAGGATTACCAGTAGAAAGGGGAGCAAGAAGAGCCCAGAGATCAAAGGAACCTGGATAAAGGGGATCAAGGTACTAGGGGACCCAGAGAAAGCGGATAGGGCAACCAGGGTCCAGGAGATAAGGGATCTAGATACAAGGCAACCCGGAGATAGGAGAATCAGATACAGGGCAACCCAGAGATAGGGAAACCAAATACAAGTTAATCCGGAGATAGGCATTATAAGGAAGAAGAATGAAAAATCTAGAGAACTAGAGGAAAATCAGAACGGTAACTGGTTTGCTTATTGCTAACTAACTAGTTTCTATGTAAGCAATACAAAGATAGTAAACAAGACTTGTTGGTAGGAGGCCTACTCATTATTAAGTGTTTGTTTACAATAAAACCAGTTTAAGAGCTATACCCTACGTCAATTAGATACTACTATATCTAATCTGTGTGTACTTTGTATTAAACTTCCAGCCTCTTAGCACATAAACTACACTTTGGATACTTTAAGTTATTTTCAAAGTTTGTGGAGAATTTTGGAAGAGGGAGGGGGGGGGGGGGGGGGGGAGAGAGAAAATATATATATTATTCATAGGCTCTACTAAAAATAGCTTAATATTTAAATAAGAAAAACTACTCTCGAAAGTAACATAAATTTATAATTATCTCAAACAATTTCAAAACTATCTTTTAGAACAGTGTTTAGGATCCATTTCATTTTGATGCGGATCCGGACCTTGATCCGACCTGTAAAAAATAGGGATCCGGATTTGAAACCGGATCAGGATTCAGCCCTGGAATGAAAATTTCCTTAAGATTTACAGATTTCCTAAAATAGATGAAGAACCAAAATGTTACCTAGACGCGACTTCCCACACGTAGACATTCCTGTCTGAGCTGCCGGCCGACACCATGCTGCCGTCGGGAGACCAGGCGCAGTGGAGGAGGTTCTTCTCGAAGTTATGAGTGTGTCCCTTAAACACCTTGACACATCTCTCACCGACACAGAAAGGACGGATATCCTGAAATCAAAACTTTTAAATCTGATTTTATCGCGCTAAGTCGGTTCATCTCCTCCTTAGCCGTAGCATTAATCTGATCAAAAATAAGAAGATACTTTCGTTTTTCAGACTCGAGATATTTCTCTATTGTTTCTAACAAGCAAGAAATGTGCCAGTCACTTTTGAATGGAAATAAACAAAAACATTGATATACATTTCATACTTGATCAGACAAAGATTTTAAGGGTTCCGTTGTAAATCGGAAATTGAGATATTTCCAAGGAGGGTTCCATGAAATTACACTTATAGTTCCTATAATTAAATCCGACTGGCCCTACTACCTTTTCTTTAAAACATTTTCTAATCGAGTGATTTCCCTAAAATCCAAGGAATCAAACTTAATTTATTCAAACTAAAATGTCACGTAATGAAAATTAAATTTTATGTTAAATATTATGTAATATCATCCATTTCCATAACTTTTAGTTTTCTTGAAATGAAAAAAACCAACGCGGTTACAAACAATTTTCTCAGAATTGCTTGTATCAACAGCAAATACAAATCTTTGTTCCCCAGGTTGTACTATTACACGATGAAAGAGATTTAATTTGTTTTTAATTTTCCTGACAGAAACAATCCCAAGAACTGACGAGGGTCAACCCAAAACGAAATATATTTTCAACAAATGTGGAAGTAACATCTCCTTTTTTACTCTACCGAGGTTTGGTCCATCACCATCACCGAATTTGAAATAGTTTTTTTATATTTACTTCAGAGGAAGTAAAGAGGTTATTGAAGGAATTTCATGTGCTCCCCATATATAAAAAGGGACCTGCCGGTTCACAAGGGTCACTGTAAACCTTTATCTGATCAATACGCATCTACATATTATTGGAGGTTTACCCCTTTAAACATATATTGCCCTGTGTGCAAACCTTGAAATCTGCGCGCACACAGCCTGGCTATATAAACTTTGTGCACATTCTTTTTCTTGTCAGTTACTATGATAGTCTAACTAAAAGATAAGAAATAAAAATGCAAGTTTAAAAATTATATTCTTTACTTTCATTTAATCTTCCAATGTGGAATTATGTGGAAACTAAAGTTATTTTTCTAGCTTTGACAAATGTTTCTGCATAAAAAACTCGCGACCACAATTGAGAATCTATATAATAACAAGACATTCGTATTTATGTTCCCTCTGGCCGGTCAAACGGCTAGACCGAATGAGCTGAATTTTTATGTAGGAACTCAAAGGTAGCCTGTGACAAAGACTAAAAAATTCGATTATTTAAAAAAAAAATTGTACGGGCAACGCCGTCCTTTTAGCTTGTATTTAATAAAATAATGGCAACAAATCCTTATTGATTAATGTTTAATCGTACAAGGCTGGGTGTTATGATTGAATCAGATATGTTTATCTTTACATGGAAGTCATTCACAATCACGTAGCTTTAGGGGAGGTTTACCTTTAGGACCAGTTTTACCTTTGAACATACAGAGCTAGATAAGTGTTGTTAAATTCAAAATTGGCCAACCCCTTATTGTTGTAAGAGATTTTTCCTATAATATTAAGATTTAAAAATAATATAAAGGATGTGAACTGACCCATATTCTAGCTGTGCTGTCCATAGCGTTGGAGAGAACAGTATTTCCATCAGGACTCAGGGATAATCCTTAATATTAATATAGATTGTTTAAAGTTCGTTTTCTCCTCATTTTCAATTTGTTTTTAATTTATTTTTTATTTCGTTTTAAATTTCGTTTAAGTTTCATTTATTTCTATAATTCAATTTGTTTTTAATTTGTTATTTATTTGTTTTCAATTTGTTTTCAATTCGTCTAAAATTTGTTTTTAATTCGTTTTCAATTTGTTTTCAATTTGTTTTCAATTTGTTTTCAATTTGTTTTCAATTTGTTTTCAATTTGTTTTCAATTTGTTTTCAATTTGTTTTCATTTATTTCTATAATTCAATTTGTTTTTAATTTGTTATTTATTTGTTTTCAATTTGTTTTCAATTCGTCTAAAATTTGTTTTTAATTCGTTTTCAATTTGTTTTCAATTTGTTTTCAATTTGTTTTCAATTTGTTTTCAATTTGTTTTCAATTTGTTTTCAATTTGTTTCAATTTGTTTTAAAATTGTTTCAAAATTTTTTTTTTTTTTTAGTTTGAAGGGGCCAAAAAAAGCGCAAATATCAATCTGAGGAAAAAACATGACACCAAAAAGATTTAACCAATCGCTTATAATTTTGACCTTATATCTTTTGGGTAGATCAAAATGTTGCTCAACACAATAAAGAAAAAAATGAATTAGAAAATAAAAAATATAAAAATATTTGATATTCAAACCATACTATCAATACGATCCTGAGTACAGAGTATTGCACAATTAGATTTAAGTAAAATATATTTTCAATGATTTAACAGAAGGTGTTTTGTTATATAGGATGTGGGGGGGGGGGGTACTACACACAATTAACAATTCATATACGAGAATTAAATCTGCAAGAAACCCCCGATTAGGTAATCCAGACCGCCTACTGCTGTATCCGACCCTTACTGCTAAACCAGCCCGGCCTCTTACCTGTAACAGTATCCATATGCCCAGCAATACTGGTCTGCAGTTCAGCTTTACGTAGATCCCAAATCTTGATATCATTATCAATCCCCCCAGAAATAACCTAGATAATAATCTGTAAGAAATTTCTCGATTTATTTGCCAGATTCACAACGGTACTCGTGACACCTTTTTCTAAAAAAGTGATGGAGATATCCTAGTTATAACATTAATTCTAATTTAAGTTTTATTAAAAATTGCCTTGGAATATTTATAAAGCAAAAAATAGGTTAAAAATTTAAAATTTTTTTTTTCATGCTCCAGGAAAACATGAAGGAATTATCAGAATTAAACATTTTTAAACCTAGAAAACAACAAATTCTTCTACAATATTTTTCAGAGAAAAGTTTCAAATGTTCCGAGGTGAATCGGACATTGCCATCTTTGCACGGCGGGTCAATTGAAGCTATGCTTTCAGTCCCTTTATTGCTCCAATTAATTAATGTAAGGCCTTGGGAGTAAGAAAATGATGAATAATTATTTGTAAATTTACCGAGTTGAATTATGTAGGACTAATATTAGCTATGGAATGGAGTATGGATCTTTTATACGCGATAACCATTAAAAGAACTTTCCAAGCAATTTTAAGTGACCATCACATTTTTTTCTGATCAATATGGAAGATTACGACCCTTACCACGCTTTTGAAAAGACAAATTCCTCCATTGTTTCTTGGGCAATAATCCGTCGTATTTTAAGAAAAAAAACTAATAAAGCTAAATATAAGGATATAGTAATCATTTTTGATCATACAAAGCCTTCAAGAGTACTTTTAAAGTTTTCACGGTCCTTTAAATACGTTTTCTGTTCTTTAAGTGTACAAAAGGAGGACAATTTGATAAAAAAAAGCTTGAGAGACGACAACATAGAAAAGCATTTATTGAAGAACCTAATAAGACAATTATTACCAGAGCTAGATGAATATATAATGCAATTACCATATCAAGGAAGAAATAATGGTAGATATAATTAACTTAACATCTGGAGCTATTGTTAGGAATATTTATAATTACAAAAATAACGCACAATGTCAAAGAAATGGACTGTCGGTGCGATTCCAAGTAATACTCAATTTAAACTGACCCTTTTTATTATTATTATTAAAAAAAACTTCTGGGGATATTCTGGTCCCCTATGAAGCCACACCCATCAGTACTTCGCCTAAAGATACGTGTATCATATTGAACCCTGGATGTAAGCGCACCGGGTGTTGGGATGAACGGGAAGCCTAGTCCCTAGGTTGACATCCACCAACCCACCCATCCCCTATTAAGACAAAGGTCCCGTGCCGAGGATGGTTTATTTCTTTGTAATATCATTAATGGCATTTTCAATTATTTGAACTAAGCTTTGTTTATCATTATTATCTAACTAATTGTGTTTCTCTATACAAGTAACTTGCGGATTTCTGCTGCAGAAACAATAGCAGAAAATGTCCGATTTAACAGTTTACAAGCTAGAAAAACGTCAATATCTTCCACATCATTTATCAGATAGATCATAAAGCCTTAGGTACCGTTGTGAATCGTACAATCGTTAATTCAATAAATTGTTCGTTCAATATGAAAAAACTATCGATTTTCAAATGTTTGTTCCAAAAAAATCGTTTGAACAGTAAAAAGCTATCGTTTTTTAAAAAGTTTGTTCCAAAAAATCATTCGTTCATTTAAAAAACGATATTTTTTCCAATTCTTTGGAAAAATTGTTCGTTCGGTAAAAAACGAACGTTTTTTCAATTTCGTTTTTGTATTTTTTTCGGATGTTTTTAAAAATCGATTATTTATACCTTTCTCTGAACGATCATTTCGTTCCTCCATCGTTCGTTTTGTTCATTTTTCACGAAAAATGTCTTTCGTTCAAAAAGAAAACGTTGCCCATCAATAATATCCAGGACGCATTTTGATGAGGCACATTATGGATGCTAATTGAGAACGTACACAAATGTGACATACACACAGGGTTACTGAGATGACTGTACCGAATTTATACTGCCTAATTTGTTATATTCATGATTCCCTGATACTATAAACTTTCTTTTCCCATTTAACAAAAAGGCAATTAAAGACTATATTAAAGACAGAAGAGTTAAATTGACCTTGAAATCGTGTTTCAGGTCGTCTTTACAGACTCATCCTTTGAGAGTAAACCTGTACATCCAGGGTAAATCTAGTACCTGAGTTGAATCTCCATTGAAGCTGACCGCTGTAACCTGGAAATCTGAATTCAGATTGTGAACTGGCAATCTTTGTCTCCTAGATAATCAAGAGATAATTAAAAAAACTTTCAATATAATTAACGTTTAAAGAGATAACTACATATTGTCAAGAGATCTGAAAACTTATAAATATAAAAATATCAAGATTATTAAGAGATAATCAAAAGAATGAAGAGATAACTAGATATAATAATGAGATCTGAAAACTTATAAATATAAAAATATCAAGATTATCAAGAAATAATCAAAAATATGAAGAGATAACTGGATATTGTCAAGAGATCTGAAAACTTATAATTATAAAAATATCAAGATTATTAAAAGATAATCAAAAGAATGAAGAAGATAACTAGATATAATAAAAAGATCTAAAAACTTATAAATATAAAAATATCAAGATTATTAAGAGATAATCAAAAGAATTAAGAGATAACTAGATATTGTCAAGAGATCTGAAAACTTATAAATTTAAAAATATGATTATTAAGAGATAATCAAAAGTTTAAACAGATCAAGAGATCAATAAACTTATCAATATAAAAATATCAAGACTATTAAGAGATAATCAAAAGAATGAAGAGATAACTAGATATTGTCAAGAGATCTGAAAACTTATAAATACAAAATTATCAAGATTATTAAGAGATAATCAAAAGAATGAAGAGATAACTGGATACAATCAAGAGATCTGAAAACTTGTAAATATAAAAATATCAAGATCATTAAGAGATAATCAAAAGAATGAAGAGATAACTAGATATAATAATGAGATCTGAAAACTTGTAAATATAAAAATATCAAGATCATTAAGAGATAATCAAAAGAATGAAGAGATAACTAGATATAATAATGAGATCTGAAAACTTGTAAATATAAAAATATCAAGATTATTAAGAGATAATCAAAAGAATGAAGAGATAACTGGATACAATCAAGAGATCTGAAAACTTATAAATATAAAAATAACAAGATTATTAAGAGATAATCAAAAGATTGTACAGATCAAGAGATCAAAAAACTTCTCGTTTTAAAATATCAAGATTATTTGAAGAATGAGAGGGGGGGGGGTGATGATTACGAAAATATGGAGAAACAAATGAAAAATTTGACATCAACTTGGTAAATTTTTCACCAAAAATCATATATTTTCCCCGACTCAGCGAACATAACCTAATGTTTTTATTCAATTTTGATGAAATTTATCACACCTAATATTTCCCGTCGACTTTATCGCCCTACAACAGGGTGAAAAAGTAACTTTGCTAATAAAATTTCAAATTTCACACACCTAATTTGTCTCATTGTAGGGTGATAAAGTTACTTAATCACCCTACAACAGGGTCATTAAGTAACTTTATCGACATGCTTTTAAATGATTTGAGTAAAACTGAATAAAACTACATATGTTATTGAAATGGGTATCATGCGTGTTAAAAGGTTTTTGCTATGATTTTTAATTTTTCTAGTTTGTTTTCGTTCAAAATAAAAGTACTTTCACACCTCACAACGTTCGTTATGTAAAAACTTTCATTTTGATCTTAAATAAACTAGAAAAAATAAAAATCCCGGCAAAAACTTTTTCGCACTTAATAATACCCATTAAAATGACATATAGATATTGTTTATTTAGCATACTAGAAAAATAAGGTGGGATCGGAGAGAAATTGGTAATCAAAAAGATAAATAATATTAAAGATTTTAAGAAGAAACCTAGGAAAAAAATCTGAAATCTAGGATGTATCAAATATAGAAATTAGATCTGGTTTCAATTTAATTTAACCAATGTAATCAAATTCAGGGATTACTGATTAATCCCGTCTACTGGGAAATCATCAATATTTCTTCAAGGGACTGTTGGAGTTATTTCAATTGGCCTTCCATACAAAAATTGCAATCCCGGATTCACAACGGTGCCCTTGAAACTACTCAATAATGTGGAAGATGTGGTATTTTTTCTAGGTTTAGTGCTAATTCCAATTATTAAAATTAATATATTTTCTGTAGTTGAAATGCCCTTCTGTACAGAAACCACAATTGAAAATTATCATTTTAATTTTCTCAACAGTGATATCTCATTCATTCTTATACAAAGCTTTTTGTGCGTCAGTCATTGGCATCTTTGCATTGGAGGATTACAATTGCAATTCTTTTAACATAAACTTTCTTGAGTAATCTCCCAATTTAAAGATCATATGACGTCCAATCCTTAATATATAGAAAATCTCCCAATTTAAAGATAATATGACGTCCGATCCTTAATGTATAGAAAATCTCCCAATTTAAAGATCATATGACGTCCGATCCTTAATATATAGAAAATCTCCCAATTTAAAGATCATATGACGTCCGATGCTTAACTTATAACATTCATAAACACGGGTTTATCAAAATATCATTTTCATACCAACATAAATTTATTCTTTCAGAGCTTTAGAACTAATTTTTTTTCTGACAAAAAAAGAATACTATTTTAAGAAAACGAAAAAAAATTACAAATTCAAGCCTTATTGTTCCCCTTTACCCAAACTCGAAATTAAAGGGGGGGGAATTCTTAGAAATGCACGTTCCAAAGGCTACAGGCTAAAGTGAAAGCAATAAAATTATAACTTATCCACAAATTTTGGAGTTACAAACCGATTCACAACAGCACCCGTTAAACCTTCGTCTTAACAAAAAAGGTGAAGAGATATCCTTGTTTTTCTCTCAAAAAAGACGATGCCTTCATCATTACTAGTCAGAGAAGTGGTTAAAGATAGCGGTTGTGAATCTGCCTTTAAACTATGTAAATGAGGGATTATTTGATATTAAACAAACAACTTGGCATTAAAATCTTAAAAATCTAAGTTTAGAAACAGAAATTTCTCGAAAACTTAATTTCTATATATCTAGCATGGAAGGTTAATTTCAGGTTTAATATTTAAAATAAATGTGTCTGGACTTGATTAATGTTTTAAATGTACAATAAAGAAAATGAGAGCTGAAAGTTAATTATGTTTTTTTTTTCACATAAAAATAATTTTGTAAGTAAGTAAGTATTTTATTCATCCCCGAAACCGATCGTTATGGACAGTAACTTTAGTCATAATTCGAGTCCAATAGTAGTCTTCCTTCTTAGTTATATTAGATTTCACGATATCCTCTTTCAGATTGCTAACCTATCCCAGATACAAGATGTTTACTAACCTTTATCCCATATACAAGATGTTAACAAACCTATCCCGGATGCAAGATATTTACTAACCTATCCCAGATACAAGATATTTACTAACCTATCCCAGATACAAGATATTTACTAACCTATCCCAAATACAAGATATTTACTAACCTATCCCAGATACAAGATATTTACTAGCCTATCCCAGATACAAGATGTTTACTAACCTATCCCAGATACAAGATGTTTACTAACCTATTCCAGATACAAGATGTTTACTAACCTTCCTAGATAGATATTATATTTACTAACCTATCCCAGATACAAGATATTTACTAACCTATCCCAGATACAAGATGTTTACTAACCTATCCCAGAAACAAGATATTTACTAACATTTCCCAGACTCTAACATGACAATCGTCTCCCCAAGATACAAGATATTTACCAACATATCCCAGACATAAGATTTTTACTAACCTATCCCAGATACAAGATGTTTACTAACCTATTCCAGATACAAGATATTTACTAACCTATCCCATATACAAGATATTTTCTAACATATCCCAGACATAAGATTGTTACTAACCTATCCCAGATACAAGATGTTTACTAGCCTATCCCAGATACAAGATGTTTACTAACCTATCCCAGATACAAGATGTTTACTAACCTATCCAAGATACAAGATGTTTACTACCCTATCCCAGATACAAGATGTTTACTAACCTAGCCCAGATACAAGATGTTTACTAACCTATCCCAGATACAAGATGTTTACTAGCCTATCCCATAAACAAGATGTTTACAAACCTAGCCCAGATACAAGATATTTACTAACCTATCCCATATACAAAATGTTTACAAACCTATCCCAGATAAAAGATATTTACTAACGTATATCCCATATACAAGATGTTTTCTAACCTATCCCAGATATAGATATTTACTAACCTATCCCAGATATAGATATTTACTAACATATCCCAGATATAGATATTTACTAACCTATCCCAGACTCTAACATGACAATCGTCTCCCCCAGATACAAGAAGAGGTTTATCGTTCCTAGCCACAGCTACACTGTTAACCATTCCAGTGTGTCCTTTCATCCGCTTTATACGCTCACCTGTACAAATATATTAATAATCTAAACATATACTTTGCTTCTCTATCTGTTTGCCTATTTGTATCCAATAAACGGCAACGGCTGAACCATTTGGCCCAAATTTTGTGTGGGACCTCAAATGACCCCAGGGAAGTTTTATAAATTCTCAGAATGGGTTTTTATCGAAGTTTATTCAACGAAACATTTCTTTCATTCATACTCTTAATTACAGTTTATACAATACCCACCCATTACCCCACCTTCTTTAATTTTAATCCAGGGAGTTAAGATATCTATTTAAAGTTGGTATGTAATATTTTCGATATTTGTGTAGTGATTTGAAACCTGAGATGGAATTTAAAGAATTTGAGCCGCGGTTTAAATCTGCCAAAACCCGGTTTAAATTCAGCGCCGGATTAAATCTTGAAACTTTTGATACAATTCTAAGTGGAACCAAAACCGCGGCTTGAATTTAAACCGCCGCTGAAATTCTTTAAATTCAGCCACTGGAAACTTAAGACATAGTATCGTTATGAAACCCAGTATCGGAAACCCGAGCTGGGAACTTTAGAATGGATAACCTTAAATCTGAACTTCTTAATCCGAATATCCACTGTGGAAACTTTCCATTTTAGCTCAATCCACTCTTTTTCTCTCTATTTGGATATCCGTACATTGTTTTCTCCAATGAGAGTGCAGGAATAAAGTTCGTAAATTGTATTGACCTATGACAAGCCTTTGAAATGAGAGAAAACCGCAATTTCTAACAAATAAAGAATATGTTGTCGGCCATTTTGTAAATTAATCGGTAGAAAAATATTTAATTACGTTTAGATTCTTCTTTTTTTACCAATTTTAACTAATTTATTAATAAATACAGGGGTGAGAAATTAAGTGAAGGCCCTTCCAGTCAAAAAAACGAACAAATCTGGCAATCCTAGAATCAAATTTGTTGATCTAAATATTTAATTTCGAGACTAACATAATCATAATCTCGAGATTATGTTAGTCTCGAGATTAGCAAATAGAGATGATATAGCATTAATCTCGATATCCACCATTCTAAAGTTCCCAGCTCCGGTTTCATAAATGGGGGTTGACAGTTATGTAGCTAAAAATGTTTTTGTTATAAAAATGGTCTTAAATATGGTCTTATTGGTTTCTTGTTATTCTCTTTTTGTTATCTATTATCTTAAATCAAAATCTACAAAAATGGAACTGGAGTACATGGGATACATAAAAATCAAAATTTACAAAAAAGGAACTGGAGTACATGAGATACATAAAAGGAACTGGAGTACATGGGATAAATAAAAATCAAATATCTACAAAACTGGAAATGAAGTATATGGGATGGATAAAAATCAAAATTTACAAAAATGAAGTGGAGTACGTACATGGGATACATAAAAATCAACACAAAAAAAGAAATAGTGTAAATGGGATATATAAAAATCAAACATCTACAAAAAAGGAACTGGAGTACATGGGATACATAAAAATAACAAAAAATAGTGTAAATGGGATACATAAAAATCAAATATCTACAAAAAGGAACTGGAGTACATGGGATACATAAAAACCAAAATCTACAAAAAGGAACTGGAGTACATGGGATACATAAAAACCAAAATCTACAAAAAGGAACTGGAGTACATGGGATACATAAAAATCAAATCTACAAAAAGGAATGGGAGTACATGGGAAACATAAAAACCAAATTCTACAAAAAGGAACTGGAGTACATGGGATACATAAAAATCAAAATTTACAAAAAGGAACTGGAGTACATGGGATACATAAAAATCAAAATCTACAAAAAGGAACTGGAGTACATGGGATACATAAAAATCAAAATCTACAAACAAGGAACTGGAGTACATGGGATACATAAAAATCAAATCTACAAAAAGGAATGGGAGTACATGGGAAACATAAAAACCAAATTCTACAAAAAGGAAGTGGAGTACATGGGATACATAAAAATCAAAATTTACAAAATGGAACTGGTATAAAAGATCAGACAAATCTTTAAAATTAGGAAGGATTAAAATTAAATTTTAGTCTGACTCTGATGATGATTAATTAATAAATGAAAAGTTGTGCTTTTGATTTTTGAAAGTTTGAATAATTAGCTTTAAACTGAACCCGTTGCCTGCGTCCTGTGAGCGCCTAACTTCAATTTCCACCAACCTCTGAACAAAATTAATATATAAATGAGTCGCTTTTTTGACACAAATCATTTTTTTTCAGGGTTCGTGTTTTGGTCTATAGATATTGAAATGTTTTTAACAATTGCAAAAATGCTTTTTAGAACATAGAAAAAAATCCACGAAATTAATCTTGTTTCTTGAAAAAAAACCTTGATTTAATTATATACAGAGCGTCCCATATCATATTAGATTATCTCCAAGTTTTAACGCCAAAATAAACCCATAATACTCCAAAAACCTAGCATTCTCAACAAGAAAATTCTTATATTAGCCTTAATTAATTTTAAAAATGATTCATTCTTCTTAAATTTTCTCATTAGTCCCGAAAATCGTAATTTAGACCGATTGACGATCTAATATGATGTGAGACACCATGTATTATTAATTTAATCTAAATTACCGAAAGTATGAGACCGTGAATACGACAAGTTAAGCTAATTACAGTCTTTTAATGGCTATTTTCATGATTTCAGCAGGGAATCATGAATTTAAGTTCCGTACAGTCATCTGTGGGTATCCCTGTATTCACAGCGAACATACTAGGAATCTATAACTATTGTATCCCTACCTCTGAAAAAGCTAGCTGAAGTATGGGTCCCGTATGTCCCGACATAATGCTAACATTCTCACATTCCCCGTAAACGTTCCAAAGGTAGAGCAGACGTTCCATGCCTCCGCTAGCCACCCAGTTCCCGCTTGGATGGAACTTTCCAGTGTATATCTCACTCTTGTGCCCTCTACAAAAGATATTCTTATTTTTCTAAAGAAAATGTTCAACTGTGGTTGTTCTTTAAACTTTATTAAGCAGGAAATTAACAGATCTCAGCACATTTTAAGAAAATAAATAGTTTAAAAACCAAATTATTACTGGTCCAACAGTGTTACCTGATAACGCCTTAAGTTTTCAATTCACACCGAATTATGAGAAATTCAAAAAATGTTTAGCGGCATACATGGTTTTCATAACTTATATTTATTAACGAGAGCTCTCCTGAAAGATTTAGGTATGGTTTGTTGTTCTAACTTAAAGAGATAAATTTCACCTCCGCTGCACAAGTGCATAAATCCAAAAGTTACTTAAAAGAAAACCGCATTTGAAAATGATCAATGTTCAGAATGAAAGTAAATAAAATTAAAGGGGTGCTTAAAATTATATCGACAATCCCGTTAAGGATGAAAATGGCTCCCAACTGTACACTTTTCCTTATTGCCTACTTGTTTACAGGAAATATACGCCAGCCAAGAACAATAACATAATATTTTCTTCCTTATCTTTTCCAAGGAAAATGGTTCTTAGACTTACAACTTTCAGACTTCTTTCATGGAATTTATTTCGTTCATTCTTAGAATATAAATATTTTACTTTGCCAAGTAAAGACAATTTTTAGAAAATGTTAAAAATAATGTTTAATTTTTTTTCGCCAGAGACCAAATTTAATGAATTTGAACTTCCTGAATCATTTCTGAATCTTTAACTTTAAATCAGTGGTTCAAATTTGAACCGGGAGAAGGTATAGTTAAGCTTAAATTCCTTAAATTCAGTCCCACAGCAAACTAATGATAAACACTGGCGTCTTGGGGGGAGGGGAGAGGGGAATTTGACATAGTTAAGTAATTAAAACTTACGTGAGTAGCATGATTGGGGCCTCCATGTTGGATGTTCTGGCAGGGCCAGCTTCCATTATGGCCCTGGATCGGTTCCCAATAATAACCTAAATTATAAAAAAAAAATAGATTTTATTTTTATTTCCAAATTTACGTATGTATCTCCTCAAATGTATTTCCACGAGGGATTTCCTAAGATAAACTTTCCCAATTCCACCTACAGCGCTTTTTGTTCTTAACTAGTGAACAGTCCCTTTAAGATGATTTAGTAAAATACAAATTTAAGATTCTTATTTTCAAGGTTTTAAATCCAGTCTTTTGAATTTCTTGCCAGGTTCCAATAGAGCTGTAAACAAACGCCTGTAGAATTATTTAACACTTTATTGGACCAATCCTTAGAGATTTCTCCCACATAGAATTCACAAGTGATTTTGATTTATTGGATCAATCTACTTTCTATAGAATACAGAGAATAGACTCACACAAACCTACACTGTATCAATCTACTTTCTATAGAATACAGAGAATAGACTCACACAAACCTACACTGTATCAATCTACTTTCTATAGAATACAGAGAATAGACTTACACAAACCTATACTGTATCAATCTACTTTCTATAGAATACGTCAAATATTCGGATCCACGGATCCGGATCTAAGGGGCAAAATATCAACAAAAAACCACAAAAAAATTACTCTCAAACCCAAATCTGAACTTACTTTAAAAAAAGAGGGATTATAAAAATTTTCTGATTTCTGAATGGTTCATCAAGTTTTAGCAAAAAATAAGACAAAAAATTTGAAAAGTTTGCTTTGTTTAAAAAACTCAGTAAATTTTATGGAAATAACCTGGATCCGGATCCATTTATTTTCAGTGCGGAACCAGGATCATCAAAATTAAATGGATCCTAAGCACTGGTTTCAAGAATCTCACTGTACTACCAAGAGAAAAGCTGTTGGTGAAGACAAACAAATTGTTTTGCAAGAGAGTCAAAATGAAGGCATCAAGAGGCATATGAGGCAAATGCCAATAAAAGATTATGCCTATAAATGTAGAACAATCAAATCGACAAGGCAGAAATTAAAATCCGAGACATATGCGATATACGATTAGTTCCAATAATCTGAATCACGAAAAAATGGACAAATCAGGCGCAGGACTATTTCAAAGTTAAAACCAAGAAATTGAGACCCCAAGGGCAAAACAACATTGTTCAAAAAAGAAAGTTATCGATGCTAAATGTGGACTGTAAGCGTAATTTCAAGTGACCCTCCATGCAAAGATAGAAAGCCCGATTTACAACGGTCCATAGGAATAATCTCAGAATTCTTTGTAGAAAATCACTTTAAGGAAAATCACTTAAAGACAATTCTTTGTGGAAAATCACTTAAAGACAATTCTTTGTGGAACATCACTTAAAGACAATTCTTTGTGGAAAATCACTTTAAGACAATTCGTTGTGGAAAATCACTTTGAGACAATTCTTTGTGGAAAATCATTTTATGACAATTCTTTGTGGAAAATCATTTTAAGACAATTCTTCGTGGATAATCATTCTAAGACAATTCTTTGTGGAAAATCACGTTAAGACAATTCTTCGTGGAAAATCACTTTCAGACAATTCTTTGTGGAAAATCACTTTAGGAAAATTCTTTGTGGAAAATCACTTTAAGACAATTCTTTGTGGAAAAGACGTGATAAAAAATAAAGCAATGGGTTTATCATGAAAATAAATTTTTAAAAGTGGTGAATATTTTTTAATCCGACTTAAAACACTTTCTCGCCAGGAACGCGAAGGAAGATAATTATTATAAATGTTCAGTAATTTAATATTAAATATGTCGCATGGAAGCCCCCCCCCCCCCCCCCGATCATGTTCCCAATAGGATCAGTAATTTAATATTAAATATGTCGCATGGAAGGTAGTTAATATACACATTTATAAGATATCCAAGAAAGTCTGAAAATGAACTTTAATAAATCGGAATATAAAAGTCCCCCGGGGTAACATATTTGGTTCCGCATTAATAAATCCCAAGCAGGGGTGTATATTTTCTGGAATAATAATTTTTCTCCCCCTCGAGATCATCTTCTTCCCCTGAGGTTATTTATGTTTGCGCGGAGCGAATTTTTTTAGGGTTTTATTCGTTAAATTGGAGCGTTGAAGTGATTTAAAGGGGAAAATCAATACATTTTTAGGTAAAATGTTTTTAAAACTTAACAGCGTTGCCTTTTGATGTCAAATTCTACAAATGGAGAATCACTTGAAGTTACTTTGTCCCTTAAAACCCATTTTTTAATTAAGAAATGTCCTAATTTCATTTAGTTGGATTGAGTGGTCTTACTTTGATATTGGCCCTAATTATGAAACCGCAATGACCATGGATACAATATACGCATCTGACTTCAAGTTCCAAAATAATGTTTTCACATATAAGTTATAAAAGTGAAATTAAAGAGTAATTAAACGAAGAGAAAATAAGTATTAGCATTGAATAGGGTGAACGTTGACGTTGTGAAAAGGAGGTGGGTGTAGGGGGGGGGGGGTCAAGAATAATTCACAAATATCTCTTCTCTCAAAATCACAATTGTTAAGAAAAGAAACAACGTTTTGATTCATCATCTTTATAAAATCCTTAAATCCTCTAAAAATGAAGAAAATCCGCGAAAATGATGTTAGTAAAACTTCTCATTAAACAATCTTACCATTTCTCCTCTTGGCTTTTTAGCCACGGGAACCATGGCCATCATGTCTCCAGATCTTTTCTCCGGCATAGTTGATCTGAAAACTATAAATTATAAAATATTATATTTTAGTATGAATTAGGTCGAATAGGACGACTAGGGTTGAAGAGTGAGGGGTCCTGCAGATATAAAGGATTCCGTACACGAGTAGATAGAAACCCTAAACACCGGATACAGTTTAAACATTACTCCTAAGGGACTGTTAGCGTAGTTTTAAGCGACCCTCTATTTCAAAAATGGTATGTCCGATGCATAACGGTAACCTTGCAAACTTTAACTGAACAATCAATGTGTTTTCTAACTGTACAAGCGCTTAATTCTGATATTTTCTTAATTATTTCTGAAGCAAGAAAGCTTTAAAGAAAACCACAAATGAAAAAGATCAGTTTTCCACCACAAAAAGCAAGGATATCTCATTCATAAAAGATCAGACAAATCTTTAAAATTAGGAAGGATTAAAATTAAATTTTAGTCTGACTCTGATGATGATTAATTAATAAATGAAAAGTTGTGCTTTTGATATTTGAAAGTTTGAATAATTAGATTTAAACTGAACCCGTTGCCTGCGTCCTGAGAGCGCCTAACTTCAATTTCCACCAACCTCTGAACAAAATTAATAAATTAAAAGTATTTTTTTCTGTAGAATCTAAACAAAAATCATAAATCATAGAATGTAGGAACAGGGTGTCTACAACAAAATTCTAGAACAGATAATTTATTGGTGATTATCGGGACGTCCAAAAAACTTCTAATTTAAAATTTAACCAAGAACATGATGAAAACTTGAACACAGGAAAGAACATTGTAGTGCAGTAAATGACGTACAAGAACTGTAACAGGGTGTGTGCAGACGTGTGAGCACCCTGTTTAATTAATTTGACCATCATCAATTTATTTCATACATATTGTTAAAAACTAAAATAAAAATAAATCGTACAAACAAAGTCTCAGGCTTTTTCTCGAAAAATTTAGGAACAAGATTTGATATACGAAAATTTTACTAAGAAAACAAAGTGAAAAACTCAACATCAACTGGCAAAATTCCCCCCCCCCTTTTTTTGGAAATTTTTACCCTCAGATTTGATAAGAAAAACACAGCTCCTATCTTCTAGAATTTACAAAACTATTAAATTTATGAAATGTTCCAATGATTTTGAGGAAAAAATACAACTAATCAAACAGACACAAACAGTGAAGATTCTAAATTGTGAGAAACCAGAAGATAATCAAGTTTAAAGAGTTAACAGAGTTTATGAAAGGATTTAACAAAATCTCAACCTAACTTTACCCACAGGAGTGTGTACATTAACTTTCAGTTTTACAAACAAAACAAAAAAGGACGAAAAGAGCAAAATATAAAAAAATAAAAAACACATGAAGAAAGAACTTAAATGTGATGTTAAAAAAAATCTCAAGGAAAAAACTGCTAAAAAATATCCCCCCCCCCCCACCTCCTTCTCCCTGTACAAAAATAGTTTTTGTTTGCACAAGAATTTGTTAATAAATCTTATAAATTCTTTGAAATTTATTAATATTTTTAACCCTCAAGATGGGGTAAAAATACATTTAGCTTCAAAAACTCAAAATTCGCATGGAATTTATTATTCAATAAAAGATCTCTCTTAAANGGGGGGGTTTGATTATGAAATAATAGTTAAAACGTTCATAGCTACCTGCATATAAGCACAAAGCCCTGTAATATGTGACTGATATACCCTGCCAGTATGCGGGGATATAAACTGGGATAAGAGTTTAGGGTTTTTATAATTAGGAACCAGTTTCTCCTCATACCTTCGAGGACACAGGATACACATCTTAGGTTCCTAAACATATCTTAGGTTATATAACGAGCTATAAAGTATAAGATTTGCCCCCCCCCATCAATCTTGGAGATTGAGTTCACAGGACACCGCCGGATAAATTCAGCACTTTTTAATTATAAATAAAAAATGTGTCACTCAAGAAAATTACGGGAAGAGCAAAAAGAACTTAAAACATTTATAGATTTTCTAAGATCCAGATATAGGTTTCCTTTTCATAGACCTACTCATTCAAATAGTTATGCTATTTAATTTAATTTGCTAACACAAGATACCAATCTAGACCTACTCATTCAAATAGTTATGCTATTTAATTTAATTTGCTAACAAAAGATACCGATCTAGATAAAGGTTTCATTTTCCTAGACCTACTCATTCAAATAGTTATTCTATTTAATTTAATTTGCTAACAAAAGATAGGGATCCAGATATAGGTTTCCTTTTCCTAGACCTACTCATTCAAATAGTTATGCTATTTAATTTAATTTGCTAACACAAGATACCGATCCAGATATAGGTTTCCTTTTCCTAGACCTACTCATTCAAATGGTGTGCTATTTAATTTAATTTGCTAACACAAGATAGGGATCCAGATATAGGTTTCCTTTTCCTAGACCTACTCATTCAAATAGTTGTGCTATTTAATTTAATGTAATCATGCGTAATTAAGCATTCTCGTAAATACTTATTTTATTTCATAATTTTCAGTACTGTGTCGGAATTTAATTAATTCAAGCCGCGTCTCAAATCACCCAAAAACCGGTTTCAATTAAGCACCGGCTTAATTCTTGAAAAACTGAATACAATTTAAGTGGAACCAACCATATTTGAGCCACGGCTTAAATTTAAGCCGCGGCTCAAATTCTTTAAATTCTCCTTTGAAGACATAAAGAGTAACTTTAAATCACGTTAAGTACCATGAAGATTTATTCTTTTGTTTCTTACTTACCTTTTTATACGGATCATCAATATCTACTGGAAGATCTGGTTTAGCAGCACTCGCCACTTCTTCAAGAAATTTATTTTCTAAATCTTTAAACTAAACATAAACAAACTTAACAACAGGATTATCTTTCATATTCAGCCTTCAGCAAGATAAATATTAAGGGGTGAAAAATTTCTGGGAAAATCATTTTTAAAGGGTTTCTTTCACTGAATTGGAGGAAATAAATATTTTTTTTTAAAGTATGAAAAGGTTGAAAAACTTATGATAGTCCAATCTTTAATTTAGATCTTTAAAATTCTTAACACCCCTGCGGCATGATTTGAAGTGATCAGGGTTCCCATGTTTAATTATTTAAAAACAGACAATGTATCTTACGAATTCTCATTAAGCTTTCTTAATACTTCGTAAAACACGGAAAACGGATTATTGCCTTCCAAGGATTGACATTAAAAAATTGCGACCCATTCTATTCAGGGGCGTATTCAGGAATTTGTCTAGGGGGGGGGGGTTGCATTTTTCTTTCCAGGGGTGTGGGTTTAGCCCCTGTTGGGGCCTAAAAACCCCCTGAAATCCATAGATTTCACTGGTCCAGGAGGGCCTGAGCCCCCATACGCCCCACCCCCTTGACCACTACAAATTCTATTCCATGCACCTCTTAACTAGAGACTCTAATTTCGTGAACACTTAGTTTTCAAAATAAACACCCTTTTTAAATTATGAATTAAACTTTTCTGTTTTGACTTGTCACGTGTCAGTTGAAATATATTCTTATTAAAACATTATTTGTTAAGTAGTTTCCTGATTAGTTGGGTGAAAAGTTTTAGCGATAGGTGCCGTCATAATTATATCCGGTTTCTTCCACCACGGCCCTTTCGCAAAATTTTCCTGTTTCCACAGAGGGACGGTTCTCTGTCTTTTACCCATCCTTCGCTCCAGCACAAAACTTGTATGAAGGTTTGCTTTGTCTCCAAGCGGATGATTGTGTATGGGCATCATTTTTATATTTCGTAAACTCAACATTTTTTCTGAAACCATAAAAAAATCATCACATTGGGGGGTGCAAAACAGAATATCAAACTTGAAAACTGAAAAACTTAATTATTTCAATAAAACAAAACAATAAATGCAAAATATGCGGAGTTGTCCCATCTTCCTATCTCTAGCCCAGGAAGTTGACGACGATGAGATGAAGGATGACGTGAGCAAAGATAAAATCCGCGAATCCACGTTCAGCTGATATTGAACCAAACTGTACTTTGTTTGCCGGGTTTACCTGAACAAACATATAATTCAAATTCATTTATTGTATAAAAAAGGCTAAAATGCAACTTCAGTGGATCTACGTTTGAGAGTAATTCTGATAAATTAAGGTTTAAAAAGTTTAATTTTATAATTAATCAGTATTTCTAAGATTTGAACGAACTAATTTACAAAATTGCAAGGAAGCTAAAGAGAACATTTCTACCGGAAAATTTTCAAAAATATTTTTTTTTTAAATAAATAAAAATGTTAACATTTTTCAAAATGTGAAAAAAATCCAGACTATTCACTAAGAAAATAAAGCTTGCCTAACCAAAGACTTTTTAGACTGGATATCTAACTTAAATCCAGGACAGGTTGACCGGATATCTACCATAAATCAGGGACAGGTTGACCAGACCTTAAACCCGGGACTGGTTGACCAGATATCTACCTTAAACCCGGGACTGGTTGACCAGATATCTAACTTAACCCCGGAACAGGTTGACCAGATATCTACCTTAAACCCGGGACAGGTTGAACAGATATCAACCTGGAGACCTTTGAACTGGACCCGGTTGACCGGATGTCTACCTGGACAACTTTAACCCGGGACAGGTTGTCCGGATATCTACCTGGAGATTTTAACCCGGTACAGACCGGATATCTCCCTGAAGACCTTTGATCTGGACCAGGTTGACCGGATATCTACCTGGAGATCTTTAACCCGGGACAGGTTGACCGGATATCTACCTGGAGACCTTTGAGTCGGATCAGGTTGCCCGGATATCTATTTTGAGATCTTTAACCCGGGACAGGTTGACCGGATATCTACCTGGAGATCTTTAACCCGGGACAGGTTCACCGGATAACTACCTGGAGACCTTTAACCCGGATCAAAATGACCAGATAATATCTACCTGGAGCCGAAGGCAAACTCCCAGGACAAATGATGCAACGCATGAGATGAATCCGCTGAGGAATGCGTTGAAGGGAAAGGTTCCCACGAGACAGCAGTACACAAACTAAAACATAAATCAATCAATCGCAGACATGTACTTTAACTTTTAAAATATAAGAGAAATTAAATTTGGGACTAGACTTCCAATTCATTTACTTCGGTACTACCACCAACGGACAAATAATTCAAATTAATCTCAGCAGTCGCAGGGTGGCCAAAACTTTTTTGAACCCATCCGTACAAAAATCCGTACATTTTCAGAAGAAATCCGTACAATTTTTGAAAAACAATCCGTACAATCCGTACAATTTTTTTTTAAAAATCCGTACAATCCGTACATTTTTTTAAACCAATCCGTACATTTTTTTAAAGATCCGTACATTTTTTTTAAAAATCTGTACAATCAGCACAATTTTCGAAAAAAATCCCATTTTTAAAAAAAAAACATTAAAATTCAATTTTTCATTCATTGTCTTTTGTGTTCAGTTCATGTTCCATTTGAAAACTCATTTTCCCCCTTAGGCAGGAATTTACATACGTTTTATAAGATTGTATTCGGTTTTTGAGGAAGATATATTAATTTTTGGATAAAAAGTATCAAATAGAACAGTTCCAGTATTTTCTCTCCGACTAACCTGGAACACCCCGGTGAAGAAGACGTAGACAAGGTACGCATCGATAATCTTGAGTTTCTTGGGCGTATTATTCGCGTACTCATCATAGAACTTGTTAACAACTCCGCTTAGACTGGCAGCCATTTTTAATCTGTAATTTCAAATAATTTCAATGATAATAAAGCTCTGATTATCAATATAACAATGTTCGAATAATAATAATATATAAATCTCGTCTACAGTAAATGCGTGTAAATTATCAAAAAAAAAAAAAAGATAAACATGAAGAATATGAGTATAAGTAGTTTTATTATATCACCGAGAAATTTAGATTTAGCACTTTAAAAAAGCGAGCATGAAAAATCAAATTAAAAATGTCGTAATAAGTTAAATTTGGCAACTTTAGGAAAATGAAAATTTTTTGACTAGATGAAAACGATTATAACAGATTCCTTTACAAAAGGTTTGAAGATTTATTTTTGGTCGATTTTTTTTCATCCTATTTTTGGTAGATGATATACCCTAAAAACTTCTTGTGCTGTTAAAAATATGCAATCAATAGAATTTTGAAAATACAAAAATTGAAAATATCTCGTGCTTAATTAGTTGAAAAACTTATTAATGAAGTTGATCCAGCTTAAAAACATTTCGGTTTTTTATGGCTTTCGACTCTGACAAAAGATGTCTGCATAAAAGTTATTATATTGATTTTCTTTTTTCACGCCTATATCTTCTCTTAAAGTAAATATTTGACATGATGAATCTACCTGACAGCCAAAAAAAAAGGTAAAATGTTCGAAACCGGATTGTTCAGGATACCGAACACTTAAAGGAACTGTAAGCGTAATTTTAAGTGACCCTCCATGCAAAGTTGGCAATACCCGATTCGCAAAGGTACCCTAAAAAACGTTGTCTGATCAAGAATGAATTAGGTATCCATGTTTTTGTTAACTTTCATTTGCAGTTTCTATGCATAAGTGAATTCACAGAAATAAAAACTTTTCGAGTCAGATAAACGAGATAAACGAGATAAACGACGTTATCTTCCACTTTTATCAAATCAAGTTTGCAAGGGTACCGTTGTAAATCGGACATGCCTTTCTTTGCACAGTTTCGCTTGAAATTACGCTTACAGTCCCTTTAAAATTGTGAAACCTGAAACTATAAATATTTCATCTGAGATCTGTGACTTGAATCTCCAGTGTAGGATCTACAGTAACGTGGGAAGCTTCGGAGAACAGCGGAGGATCCTGTCATAAATAATCGTCTTACAGTGGTGAATATATTCCACTCCACACCAGGAAAAAACTAAATTTTTCCCACACCCTTTACAGGGGGGGGGTGAATTTCAAGTAAATATACATTCTTGTATTTTATGAAAATTTAAAATTTGCAAAGGGATTAAAAAAAAAATTAAATTTTAAGTTCAAAATAAAAATATTGGTTACAAATCTTAGATATAAAAATAAATACTTCGATGTATTTATTTTTACAAGTATTTCACTATAGTGTGTGTGTGTGTAGGGGGGGGGGGTATATATCTTTAGAATTGAAAGAATATTATTCCTTTGAGTGTGGATGAAAGTTCTCCAGGTTGCAGTTTCCTATTTCCTGGAGTCCTTGTTCTGTTAATGATAGGTATCCTGTTTCTCCGAACCTAAAGATCAACTGGTTAATGATAGGTATCCAGTTTCTCCGGAACTAAATATCAACTGATTAATGATAGGTATCCAGTTTCTTCGAACCTAAAGATCAACCGGTTAATGATAGGTATCCAGTTTCTCCGAACCTAATAATCAACTGGTTAATGATAGGTATCCAGTTTCTCCGAACCTTAAGATCAACTGGTTAATGATAGGTATCCAGTTTCTCCGAACCTAAAGATCAACTGGTTAATGATAGGTATCTCCGAACAAGATCAACTGGTTAATGATAGGTATCCAGTTTCTCCGAACCTAAATATCAACTGGTTAATGATAGGTATCCAGTTTCTCCGAACCTGAATATCAACTGGTTAATGATAGGTATCCAGTTTCTCCGAACCTGCTTTTTAGGCTTATTTAACACAAAATTGTGGAAATTTAGTTAATTTAGGTTAGGTTAGGTTAGGTTAGGTTAGGTTAGGTTAGGTAAAACAAACTCAATTTCAACTATTTACGAAGTTCGAATAAAATGAATTACTTGATACTACAGACGATAGCGATGAACTCCTTCAGCATCTTCTGGTACTCATACTGGTTGTGCATATCCACACTGGAGAGAAACACGTCGTAGGCCGGGTGGGTGTGAATCCAACCAACCATTATAATATCCTCCCTAGACAGTGAAGATTTGTTTTATTATAATTACTATCATTTTCATTATAATTATTACTATAATTATTATAAATATCATTAATTATGTTTACATCAATTAAAAATATTATTATCAAAATTATTGAAATTGTCTGAACTCGTAATTTTGATATTTTTTGACATATTTTAGAAAAGTTTTTACTTGGAACGGTAACGTAATAATAAGGACTGTCTAAACATTGAAGAAGAAAAAAATTAAATACTTTTCAAAGACAATAACATTTTCCCAATAATTTTTTTCATTGTAGAAAAAAAAGCTTCGTATACTTACTTACAAACAAAAAATTCGTTTTGCAAAATGACCCTTGCTTAAAAACTCCCCCCCCCCCCTCCAAATTAAATAAATTTCATTCAAAAGTTTTTCCCTTCACAAAGGATAGTTTTAAAATTGATAGAAATAAAATGATTTCTCATCTTTTTCCAGCTGGAGTCGGAATTTGAAAAAGTTTCAACTCAACTTTGTTAGACGGAGCAAAACAAGTTGGCACTGCAAATACAATATAGAAAAGTTGGAAGAATGAAAAGTAGATTTTTATCAGGTTGGGTTCAATTCTTTCCAGTTCAATTGTTCCAACATTCATTCAGGAGATATAAGAATTTTTTCAGATCTTTAAATATTGTAAACCTTCATAGTTCACTAAACTAATTAAGCAACCTCTTAAAGGGACTGTAAGCGTAATTTCTATGCAAAGATGACAATGCCCGATTCACAACAAATGCCATTAAAAGCTTTTTCTGATCAAGTATAAATTAGATTTCCATATTTTAGTTTGTTTAAACTGTTTATTTTCATTTTCAGTTTCTTAGCGAAAATGCAGTTGTGCGAAAAAAAAAAGAAATTATTTTAAAACCAAGGTGTCTTAATTCAGTCAAATATTAAAGTGGCAGTAAATCATTCAAAGACAATTCACAAGAAAACATTCAGTAAAAAAAGTGAAAATATAACCAAATTGTTTTTGAACAAATTTAGATATCAAATGTCTTAATCAGGTTGCAAAGATAAAAGGATTTATAAGAGTTTGATAATGAAAGTGTTTAGTTCAATTAGTTTACGAGTTTATAAGCCTTTCAAGTTTTGATCTTGAAAACTAGAAGGTAAAAATGAAGAAGAATTTAATTCGATCAAAATTCCGAGTTGAGAAATGTTTCCCCGATTGTTTTGCAATCTTCATTGACCCAAGGAAGGGAAGGCAACCACATCAGTTTTTCTTCCGAACCACAAATGACGTCACAAGATCAACATCACGACATGGCGCTCACTAATTTCTCCTTCTGTTGAATTTGTGACGTCATTTGTGGTTCGGAAAGAATTTAGCTGAGACCTGCCTTCGCTCTCTCCTGACCGAGAAAGAAATTTGGCCGAGGAAAAAATCTAATTTGTTTTTCTGAAGTTTATTAGAAAACCATTTTACTTTAATTCTAATCTATCATTTAAAAAGACTTCAATTGCCCCTTTAAGATGGAATGCCTGTTTTACAATGGTACTTTTGAAACCTTTACCTGAAGCGCAAGAAATGCGCAAGTCTCGTTTGCAGAGAAACCGCAAATTAATTCACCGTTTAAAGAAACATGGATATTCATAATTCATTTTTGATCAGACACACATTTAAGGATACAGTTAAAAATCGGGCATTGCCATGTTTGTATGGAGGCTCAATTGAAATTAAGCTTACAGTCCTTTTAACAGCACTGCACAACTTATATTTCATTTAAGATAAACTATAGTAATACTTATTTCTAAAAGTAAAGCTACTCAATTTTTACTAATGTGTATAATCTCATTTGATCAATATTTTGGAAGGTATCGTTATTTATCTAGCTTTAAATGTGTTTACTTATGATAATTTTCCTCCCATTGAGCCTGCGGTAGAAATGCGCAAGTCACTTCTGCAAAGAATCCACATTTTAACGATTTCATTGCACATCTATAAGCTTCGGGAGTAATTACAATAAAAAATAATAAAATATGGACATTGCACACTGCACATGTCTCTTTTTACCTTTTAAGACACATAACATTATATTGGACCGTGCAGGTTTATAGATATAGTTATCAAGCTCTTTTTTAACTTAATATTAACACTTGTTGCAAACGTTCTTACCTTATCTTAAGACTTAAGTTGGACACAGGTTTATAGAAAAAGTAACCAGTCTCTCTCTTCACTTAATATTAACACTTATTGCAAATGTTCTTCCTTACCTTATCTTAAGACGTATAACATCATAATTGGACCGTGCAGGTTTTAAAAGATAGTAATCAGTTATTTTTTAACTTATTGTTAACACTTGAAAATGTTCTTAACTTACCTTATCTTATGACGTACAACATAATATTGGACTGTGATATTACAGCGGTACATTGTACGACGGCAGACAGCCAACTCTGGCGAAGATGTCATGTTAGCTGGGTCGCAGGTCTTAAAAGAGAGTATGTCACTTACTTGTCGTATAAATCAAATAGTTCCTCATATCCTTCAAGATCACATCTATCAGATTTTCCAGTTTGCTTTGGGATCAGTAGGTGGGTCACCGTAAACCTAGAATAAATACTTTAGGTGGGAAAAAAGTGCGTTTTTACACATTCTAGACTTCGTTTCCAATCACAAAATAGTCCAAAAATAACTAATGTCGAAAATAGAGCGAAAAATGTTTGCAGACAGATAACTAACACAGGAGACTATTTTCTTTTTTTTTGGGGGGGGGGGGCGGTTTCAAAATTTTAACAAATAATTATTTACCTATTTTTCGCCAATTTTCCGCCGAGCATTCCAAGAGTTTCAATATTCTTATCTGAGTTTGGTTTGGCTAAAGCTAGAAATCTTTGAATTAATTTTTCCGGAACTGTTACTCCGTGCAGATCTTTCGGAGCAAAATCAGGTTTCTTGGATCTATCCGGGATAACGGGACGGATTTGGGACCCGGAGTCGGGACGGATTTGGGACCCGTAGTCGGGACGGATATGGGACCCGGAGTCGAAAACGATATTATTCTGAATACTGGAGCTAGGTTTGGCGGATCTATCAAAGGCAGGGGGCAGAGCCGGGGCGGATGCATCTGAACGAAACCGGTCCAGCGCTGAGGCAAAATCTTCCTTTGGTTCTTCATAAGACGGAGCTGAGCTGGGTTGAGGCGAATATTGATCTGCCACGGAAGCATAGGATGGCGGAGCCTCGTGGGAAGGACTGGGAAGATAATTTTCCGGATTGTATTTTGCAGGTTTCGATGTTTCTCCAGCTAGCTCTCTATTTATCTCTTCCTGAGCTAGGATCGCGAACTGACGATCCTTCTCAATCATTTCTAATCGCTTCAAATTCTCCGCCGCCCTACGACACATCAATGTAAAATACTATCAATTTAAATGAGTGAGTATAAAAAAAATATTTCAAAAGAAATCCTTCGTAAACCATGGAAAGATCGAAAATTTTGTGTAGATTATTCTTAATCTTGAATGCTTGATCTCGATATCCAATCTGGGCACTTTAAAGTTTAAGGATTAATGCTTGATCGCTATCCCTGTAGGGTTCTGAATACCCTGAATATCCGGAGATCTGCATAGGATGGAGATCAATACTTTATACCGAGATTAAACACACACAAGTTCTGACTCATGTTAATAATTAATATTTTGTTCAAATGTGCATTGTGTTCATTACCGTCTTCTGTTCAGTTCTTCTTCTTCTCGTTTCCTTATTTCTTCGTCTCTAATTCTTTCTTCCTCTCTGATCAACCAATCTTCATGTTCTTCTTGAAATATTCTAAAAAATATATTAAAAAGTAAAACATTTAATTATATACTTTTTTTTGACAAATTTCCTTTTAAACCATACATAAATTAGGTTGATCTCGTTCACCTATATATTAAAACAAGACATTCGTATATATGTTCCCTATTGCCGGCCAAACGGCTGGAACGAATGGGCTGACATTATTTGTGGACACTCATTTGTAGCATGGGAGTAGCATAGGCTAAAAATGATTGAATTAAAAAATTTTTTTTTTAATAATTTATCTATATATTATTTTTACCACAGGCAACGCTAGGCCCTTCATCTAGTAGTTAATAAGAGAGAAAATAATTTTATAAATCACATTTTTTTTAAAAGTATGAAAAAGGATGAAAAAACTGGCCTTTTCAAGCCCGGTTTTTAATTCCTCCCCCCCCCCCGGATCTCCAAAAAACATCCCCCCCCCCTCGACAGCGAGATTCTTAAAAATACACACCCCTGACTGACCCACCTGTCAAGTTTGGATTTGGTTTCCTCTGTTAATGAAAGAACAAGTTTCAAGGTTTCTTTAGTTTTCCTTTTCTCCGCTGGCAGAACCTGGCCAAAATCTCTAGAAAATGCGTCATACAAAATTTACAAAGCGTAAAAATACTGTAACGCATTAAACAAGAAGTCTTCCTTCTAGGATTAAAGATGCATTATTGCCATTATTGTAAGGACGACAGTCACCTTTTCTCTATTTTCATGTATATAAGATGGAATATGGCTAAAAAAACGAAAAACCCCGTCATAAAATAAAAACTAAAAAATATTGGCAAAATAGCTGAGAATCAATCAAAAAAAACACACAAAAAAATTGTAAAAAAAAAATTAACAATTAGATTATAAAACAGAAACCCCTTCTTTTCTTTTAAGATGAGATGAGATGAGATGAGATGAGATGAGATGAGATGAGATGAGATGAGATGAGATGAGATGAGATGAGATAAGATAAGATAACAGGAGAATAACAGGATACTTTTAATGCAGTTTAATTATGTTAACCACTGTAACTCCTACTACACTTCTATAGGGGTCCTTGGAGTAATCCAAAAGCTAAACTATAAAAAAAAGAGGTTCGCTCAGTAAATTTTTTAAAAAAACATAAATTTGAGTTTTTAAAAATGCCATGACATATTTGGATTTAACCTGTGCGTCATTATTTTCTCAAGGAAGAGAGTAATATATTTCATGTAGAGGACATAAGTAGCCTCGAGGTTACCCTCGTTCAAGTGAACCTTGGCCATCCTCAGCATCTCTGTACCAGACCGGTAATATCGTCTAATTAATCAAATAATAAATAAGTTAAAAAAATTATCAATCGATCGTCCAATCAATCGATCATATTTAATTTGAACAAGGAGACACTTCTGGAAATTTAAGTCAATCTTCTTTCTTCTTCACACAATGAAATAATCAACCAATGAATATATCATTTAATTAATTTATCAATCAATCAATCTCAACCAACCAACCAATTCCAATCAAGAAATTGATCAAACGTGTAAAAATAATAAGCTACAAAAGTTTAATATTTTAAACTTAATTTGCAAAAATAAATAAATTGCTAACTTGAATTCGAGATTTGACACAAGGGGGGGAGGGACTAGGTTATTTTTAATATCCTTACATATGTTTCTAAACGTATAGCAGTAGTTCAATTTAATTTTGACCTGATGGGTATATTTGAATCTATTGAAATATCGGCGGCCTCCGCCAACCTTCTTAGCCTCTGCTTACTCTCTAGTATTTCCATCTTTCAGATTATTTATATCATCTGGAATATTTAGATTATTTAAATAATCTTGGAGAATAAGATTAACTGGTACATTTAGACCAAGATCATTCGAAGAAGATAATGTTATGATTATCTATATTATTCAGAAGATCAAGATTATCTATATCATTCAGAAGATCAAGATTATCTATATCATTCAGAAGATCAAGATTATCTCCATCATTCAGAAAATCAAGGTTGTCTAAATCATTCAGAAAATCAAGATTATCTCCATCATTCAGAAGATCGAGCTTATCTACATCATTAAGAATGTCAACATTATCTAAATCATTCAGAAGATCAAGATTATTTATATCATTCAGAAGATCAAGGTTGTCTAAATCATTCAGAAAATCAAGATTATCTATATCATTCAGAAGATCGAGCTTATCTACATCGTTCAGAAGATCAAGATTATTTATATCATTCAGAAGATCAAGATTGTCTAAATCATTCAGAAAATCAAGATTATCTATATCATTCAGAAGATCAAGATTATCTACATCGTCCAGAAAATCAAGATTATCTACATCATAAAGAATGTCAAAATTATCTAAATCATTGGGAAAATTAGGATTATCTAGATCATTTAGAGAATTAAGATTATCTATATCATTCAGAAGATCAAGCTTATCTATGTCATTCAGAAGATCAAGCTTATCTGTATCATTCAGAAGATCAAGATCAACTAGATCCAAAGATCAAATGGAACAAGAATTTATAAAAGACAAAACTTCATATAAATGAAAAAACTTTCTTAAAAGAAAGCACCGTTTTCCGAAGAAGGTACGTTTTTTTCGGAGCCTTTTAAAGATGTAACAGCTGAAGTTAATAAGGTTGTGCCGAAGTTACTAAAGTTGTGTCGAAATAATTTAAATGTTTTCTGGAGCTGTAAAAACAAAAATGAACGATGTTTTACATTTACATAGATATTTACAAATTCATTAAGTGATTTGTGTCAGGTACGGTTTTACTTGAACTAGATCGACTGTTGGTTTGTAATTTGTTAACTAATGCCTACGCAATATTTGCGCAATCTCATAAGAAGGAATTGATAAACTAATAAATACGCAAAATTTGCATAGTTTCTATGGAAGGAATTGTTGGCGAGACTCCATTTTGGATCTATCAGTTTCCGAGACGCCGAGATATTGTCCGAGATCTTCAAGGACGAGTCCCAGATCAGCTAGGTTCGGAAGATCGTCCCGAGGAAGTTCTTCCACGCTCAAGGACTGCAGGGAAGTTCGGGACGAATTCATTTCGTTTTCGTTCGCACCCAACCCTCGTTGGTTCATGCTTCTCAAGCCGTCTAGGTTTAATCTTAGCTGTTCTTCAGCTAGAGATATTTCAGTTCTGTTCTCCTTGTTCTCCTGGTTTCTCCCACCCTGGATCACATAGGTTTTATCACTCCTAGTGCTAGTGTCACCCCGGAGAAGGTTCTTGGTAATGTTACTGAGATCGGACAGGTGTCTACTCAGGGTCCTCTCCAGAGTAGATAAGTTAGGATTATCCTGGTTTTTCGGTAAAACCGGAATTTTCCAGAACTGTTCTCCGTCCTGATTCTCAGATACAAAGGAGCAGGACGAGTTTGATCCGTCCCGAGACCTAACAATTTGCTCCGGGTGGTTTACAAGATGACTGGGATAGTGTGTATACACGGAGCTGGTGACAAACTCAATGCCAGGATTAAAATTTGACTGATGGGACTCATTAAGATCCCCCTGGTCCAGCATGTTCTCTCTGCTCACGTCCTCAAGGGGGGTCACGGAGAGTTTCACCTGACCCCGGCATTTCCCCAACCAGTCCGTGATATTGTACCAGCCCCGGATACTAGGGAAGCAGGAGAGGAGGGGGGTGAGATCAACTGCTATAAATCCTAGAACCTGATCGAATTCAGAATTTCGTTTCCGCTCGGCGGACTCGGAAACATCCGGAGCCGGCCTGTGATGCCAGACCTTGAAAATCAGGTACCTCCTGTAACTCAGTAATCAAGTTTAAATTGTACGCTGAAGGTTTTTATTTTTGGAATTACCTTCCCCCCCCCGCAGTTAAAGAAAATGATATCTTAAAGATTTAGAGGGAAATAAAACTGCAAAGCCCCCCACACACACCTTTTATAAGCTTTTTACCCAAAAATTGAAAAATTTATTCTTTTCCCCAAAAAATTTATATACATATTTCCCCAAAATATCGATATATTATTCATAATTTAGCGTAGAAAAAATCTTCGATTTTTCAAGAAAAAAACCTGAAAAAAACTAAGAAAAAAAACTCGATTTTTCCCTCGGATCTGTGACATATGACTGCGGGATTCTGGTTTCAACTGAATAATTCCAGGTTGGGGAGTTCCCTTCTACCATTTGTGTTTCCAACTCCAGGTGTCCTTCTAGTAGGGTCACGTAGCAGCACGGAGATACTCGACTTCCTAGAGAACATGGATGGATTAGAGGGACTATATACTCTACTTCCTAGAGAACAGAGATGGATTAAAGGGACTATATACTCGGCTTCCTAGAGAACAGGGATGGATTAAAGGGACTATATAATAGACTTCCTAGAGAACCGAGATTGATTAAAGGGACTATATACTCGACTCATAGAGAACATGGATGGATTAAAGGGACTATATACTAGACTTCCTAGAGAACAAGGATGGATTAAAGGGACTTTATACTCGACTTCCTAGAGAATAGAGATGGATTAAATGAATTATATAATCGACTTCCTAGAGAACAAGGATGGATTAAAGGGACTGTATACTCGACTTCCTAGAGAACAGGGATGGATTAAAGGGACTATATACTAGACTTCCTAGAGAACAGGGATGGATTAAAGGGACTAAAATACTCGACTTCCTAGCGAACCGGGATGGATTAAAGGAAATATATACTAGACTTCCTAGAGAACAAGGATGGATTAAAGGGACTATATACTCGGCTTCCTAGAGAACAGGGATGGATTAAAGGGACTATATACTAGACTTCCTAGAGAACAGGGATGGATTAAAGGGACTAAATAATAGACTTCCTAGAGAACAAGGATGGATTACAGGGACTATATACTTGACTTCCTAGAGAACAGGGATGGATTAAAGGGACTGTTCACGTAATCTCGAGTGATCATCCATTTATCGAATGGTCCAATTCACAACAGTGTCCATGAAACTTTTATCTGAATACCGAAGAGAAAATAATGTCGTTTTTCTTCCTGAAAATCTTTAAATTTGTCAATTCCTTTCGTATCTCTGCTCCAAATATTCCAATTTCACTATTATTAAGGATTTAAAAAATCAATCTCCAGCTGGAATAAATGTTGGGTATCAGGCATGCAATTCATTACGCGAAAGTTCTAGTGAAATCTTTCTAATAATACAGACTGGAATGATTCCAAACTGAGTTTATTGTATTCCATTCGACATACAAAAATTTTGAAACAAAAAAAGAAAAATCAATAATTAATTTTTTCTCGAATAACATCATATTAAAGTATATACATATAATTGGCCTTTCAATTTTAATTGTGAACATGTTCTCTTTGTGTACATCGTAAAACAAAACGAAAAAAAGTTCGTGGATTTTAACAGAAAGTTTCATGGATTTTCAAAATTTTCAAAAATTTAATGAAAATCGAATTTTGATGGAGACAAATATTTGAAATGTTGATCATTCATAAACCTTCCCTGGGGAAACGTGAGGTCCCACACAAAATTTGGGCCTGATCGGTTTAGCCGTTTTGTCATTTATTGGATACAAACAAACAGACAGAGAGCTAAATTTATATATAGATAAAGCTCTTCGCTCATATACAATACATATCTTTATAGGTTAGCTATAGCTGGCTAAACAGCTGTGACCGAATTGGCTGTAATTTTTGGAAAAAAAACCGTGGGTACCCTTAAGGTAACAAAGACTAAAACTTAATTTTTTTTCTTTCAAAAATAGATTTTTTTAAAACAAAATTCGATATTTTTTCTATTTCACTTGCAACGCCGGTCACTTCAGCAAGTATTTTCAAATAGTTAAGTCGCTTGAATAAAATATTTACCTTTAGACTTAACATTTGGTAGATTTCTTGCTTCTTCTACCACAATCTGAACCCGGAGTCCAGGAAGAACATTCGAGTTTACATCTACTCTCTCTACTCCGTCCTCTTGGAATGTTGGTTCGGTTCTCTTCTCCGGGTGGTCGGATAAACACGGCTCTTCAACAGAGGACTTCTCCGGGTTTGCATCCAAGGATCTATCTTGCTCCTTCTCGATTGAATCAACCATTTTGTTCTCTGCGTCCCGGGTTTTCATGTTTTCATTCTCCGAAATCTTTTCTTTACTTTCTTCATCCTCAATGGGAACCTCGTAATCTGAATAAAATTATAAATTACATTTAAAATTAATGATAAATTGGTAGATATAGAGGACTAAAAGTTTAAAACAACTTGCTGTCACTGTTTTATCATCAAAAATTAATCCTTTAAAAATGTAAATATAAAATTAATGTAAATTAATTATTTCGATTATGATAATTTTTCAATGCCTGAAAAAAACGATTTCAATCTTCTTACACAGGACTTATACTGAAAAATTTTATGATGGTATGACTCTGTACAATGTATTACCTATGAATGAAGTTTGGATGGCAACACTAGACTGATTAAATGATCCGCTGTCAGTTTTCTCATCCGTCCCTCTCAGGTTTCCAACCTTATCCTGCTCCGGTAGTATATATTTACTTGTACCAGCTCTAAGCGACACCTGGAGTTCTCCAACTAACGTATTCGTAAACAAATCCATGATTGGAACCCTACCGTTGAACGCCTCTATGATCTCTGGTACCCTGAGCTGTTTGAACCCCGAATGAAGGATATCCGTCTGAATCTTTGAAACTCCGAGAAGCGATTCATCCTTCCAAACCTCTAGAACCAGATAGTTCTTGTTTAACCGTGAAAACATCAACCTTAAAACATTCCTAATAAAAAATCATTTTCATAAATATTAAATTTTCTGTCAACTGTTCAAGACCCTGTATATGGTATAGAAAAAAGTATAAATTGACGAAATACGCAAAAACCGTACCGCAAGCGTATGTGCGTTTTGCGAAGGATATTTTTTACGAATTGACTTCTTTTATAATCTCTCTTCTTTCAATAGTTCAGATTAGAGGCTTAAACTTTAAGAATAAATTTTTTTGTAGTTTTTTGTTGATATTTTGCCTAATGGATCCGGATCCGTGGATCCGCATATTTTTGCGGATCCGGATCCAGGAAGCCAAAATGTTTTGGATCCAACGGATCCTAAGCATTGATTTTCTTTAAATGATAGAATAACTACCTATTATGAATGTTTCCTTCTTGACCTGGTAGAAAGAGAGAGGTTGTAACAACAAGTTCCTGTCCGTCTCCGACCTCACCCTCGGACACAGTCCCTTCAAGGTTTCTATGCTTGATTATCAACCTTTCGTCCTTGTTGGAGTCAGGTAACTGAACCCGGAGCTGGAGCAGGATCGGTTCCGTGAATCCTGTTTCGTTTTCCGTTCGAGAGTTGATTGTAACCGAATTCCGTCCTTCATTAACTGGACTAGAGCTAGATTCAAGAGTTTGCTCAGGGTCCTTGGAACTACTAGGTTTTTCACCAATGTTCTTATGATTAACAATCCTAGAACCTACGGCCGATCGGCCAAACTCAAACTTTAAGGAAACATGGACGTTTCCAATAATTTCATGGCTGTCCAACGGAAGTTTGAGATCACGGAATAAAGATGTGGAAGAGTAGAGAGGGAGAGATAATGAATCTCCCGAGGAGTACTTGTCAAACAACAGAAGATGTTTCAATCCTATACTTGATTCTCCGAGTAGAAAAGGGATACGTTGGTTCAATTCTCTAGAGTACACCTTAAACTCTAGCTTGTAGTTCCACCAGTCCTCTAACAATTGTGAATTGAAAAGTATCGGATACAGTTTCTTTTCATTGAAATCTACAAAGTTGTCTTTTAGTTTCCTGGAGCAAAGACTTGTCTCCGAAGTTTCGTCTGGGAATTTAAACTTTACGAAGAAAGAAACATCTTTCATTCTAAACTTCGGGAGAAGTTTTTTATTCTCTTTCTGCATAATTTTTCTGAGAACCAGGGGGTTTAACTGCACGGAGGAAACATATAAAAGCAGTCTTGTCACCTTGACTAAATGTTTCATCCTCTCTACTGGTAGGTTCCAGGTAGGGACAAATTCTCTAATAACGGGTTTAACGGCTTCTCTTGGCTCCTCAGGAACCGGTTTAGATAATCCGTCCTCCTTCTCCGAGTACTCAACTGTATACAGAGATTCATCAGAACTTTCTCCTCTCTCTTCAAGTTTGGATTGGGGTTGGAAATGATACTGCTCTGATTCCCTACGCTCGGAGATTTTAAAACTTGACTCGATCTTGCTCCGCATCGACTCTCTCAGTTGTTGACTCTGATTGAGAAGCTCTGAGACGAGTGAGTCCGCGAGAGGCGTTTTTCTGGAACTCGCAGAACCCAAGGTTTGATCGGAGAAAGTTACTTTTTGTGGTTTCGTAGCGTCGGAAATAGACTTTCTAGGTTTGGATTTGATTGTGATCTTGGGTTTAGCTTTCTCCGGGGGTTCTGTTTCTCCGATCTTCTTTAGGGGTTCAATCTTCATTTCTACTCGGAGATTTGCTACGGTTTCTCTGGTCTCAAGATCAATCACAGGATAGTATCCTTCCAATCCGCCCTTCTCAGTGACACCATTCAGGTTCTGAACTACAGTAAACGCTATCGGAGTCAGATCTGAACTAACAACGTCTATCTTAAGCGGACTTGCATCTTCAAGATATTTTCGAAACTTTGGCAGACTTGTCCGGATTTCATAGCGAACATAAAGGATGTCTCCTATACTGCTCTTGTGGAAGTTTTTCACGTCAACCGGAGTAAAGGTTTTAGAATTGGATTCCTCCTCACCCCACCACAGCAGTTGTACCTACGTATTATCATTATTAACAGACAACCCATCATTCAATGAAATAGAGGTCGACGCTCAAAAATAGTGAAAAAGTTTTAAATTAAACATTGTTAATTGATAACAAAAATTCCCACCAAATTTCTGAATAATGTTAAATTTTTTAAAATTCGCTTAATTGGTTCTAGAGAGAAAAGAAATTATTTCTTTGTGAAAGATGTTATGTCCAAATATTTAAAAAAATATTTTAGCCGGGGTTCACAATCTTCAATTATATTAAACATCAAAAACAGAAAACTCATTGACAAAAATCTTTGGAACCGAATTTAATCATTCCGACTCTTTAACTTCGATTCGGTGGAACAAAATTTGAGCCAGCAGCAAGTAGTTCAACGACGTTGCTCAAATACATTAAATTCGGTCAATGACAAATTATAAAAAACGTTCTCTTAAGAAAAGGGAAAAACTCAAATCAATAAAAATAGTTCAGAATAAATGACAAGTTTACTCCAGTTCAATCCCTTGGAATTTCCAGTGAACCCTGAGCATAAGTTCGGAATTTCCAGTGAACCCTGAGCATAAGTTCGAACCTGGACAGGTTGTGGGGTAGATACCCAGAGAATCTCATCAATTGTTACCAACAAATAACATTTTGCATCTCCATCCAATCCTAAATAATTATACATCTATATAAAGTAGTAATCTCTTTATGTCAGTCTGTTTGTATGTACGATCATAACTCATGAACCCTTTGACCAATTTGCATCAAAATTTGATTCGGGAACTCGGTAGAACCACGGGAATTTTATTAACTAGGTTTAATAGTTCTTCATTGAATTAATTTCAAGGCAAAGCTGGGTACCCAAACCAGTGCTTTATATAACTACTATTAAGTCAATGCTTATAGCTAACAGCTTAATGTTAGAAATAAATTAAGCTCAGTCTCGTCTCTTATTCTTGCAACAATCAACTTCAATAGTCTACTCCTGGCTTTTATCTAAACATCCTGTTTGGTCGAAATTTAAAAGAATTCTAATAGTTATATCTGACAAATTCCCAGTTTCCGCTTTAGATATTTCATCCAGAAGGGCTTTCTACAGGTTTATTCAGGGTTGCATACTTGTAAGAAATGAATTTTGAAGAGCTAAGGAAAAAATAATAAATCTCAAGTTTTTCTTTAAATGTTTATTTCAATCTAATTATTTATTTATTTATCGTTTGCTACCCATTTCAGCAAGAAAAAATCCTGACTAAGTACCAAATTTCTGAAAAATAAATAATTTTCGAAAAGGCGGGGAGGGTTTACCTGGGGGGAGGGTTTGTCCAGAGGACTTCATTATCTTTCACATTTGATATATATCTGAAATAAAAATGAATTGTTAATAATTGTAAACGTTTTATATAGATCAAAATAGTAATGGGTCATTTCCTAGTACACGATTTTTGGACCCCCCTCCTCCTATCAATTTGGTACGTGGACCTCATATGTAACACATTAACGTAATTGGTCATGTGGCTGCAGCGCCCGGCCCCTATTATGTCCTAGCCGCAGCGCTCGGCCCCCTAGCCTGTCCTAGTCGCAGCGCTCAGTCCAGAAATTGTCCTAACCTAACCTAAAAATAATAAAAAATAAAAAATATTGATTTTGATGAAAAATAAGTGATCATGTACAAATTTAAAAGGAGCGAGTAGGGGAGGGGAGGCCTGGGTCTAAAAATCGATTACTAGGACGGACTTACAATAATGTTAATGCTGTAGATCTGAATAGCAATGTTATCATTAACTGTAAACATTTCGGATAAAGTTATTCATGTGGCCGCAGCGCCCGGCCCAATAGCCTGTCCTAGCCGATGCCTATCGGCCCTCCATAACCTGTCCTAGCTGCAGCGCTCTGCCCAAAAAGTCTTAGCTCAGCCCTAAATATATACAAATTTTGTTGAAAATTGTAAAAGTGAAGGTCTGTCCTGGCCGCAGCGCTCGGCCCTAATATTTTGGGTCTGTCCTACAGAATTTTGGACCCCCCCCCCTCCTCTAAAAATCGCTCACTAGGAAATTACCAATCTTTTTTTGTTGAAAATAGTTGACATCTAGGTAATTGACAGGAGGGCCGCGCCGGGTGGGGGGTCCAACAATTTTGTACATGACCACTTTTTTGGTAATTTCATAGTATACGATTTTTGGACCNAATGGTAACTTTGTCTTCTTCCTTTATATAAACAGTACACATATCTTCTACAGGAGATATTTCTTCTTTAATGGCAACTTTGTCTTCTTCTAACTCCATGTTTACTCCTTCCAATGGGGTTCCATCCATTTTAATATAAGCCTTTATCTATTAAAACAAAATTAGTATTATTATACAAAAATAATAGAATATTATTTTTATAAAATACTAAAAAATATACGCAAAAATACATTCTGAGATTTATTCATATAGTTGAAATATTTAAAAAATCATAATTTCACATTCTAATTTAAAAATAATTCGAATATATTACAAAATTATAATTTCAAAAATTTAATTTTCAGAAAAACGAGTTTATAGTACTTTGGCTGAGAAATACAATTAAAAGATATCAGTTTTTTCAATTTTAAGAAGAATTATAATCTGATTAAAAAAAGGTTAATAATATGACGAACCTTACAATCTAGGGTAATCAAAAATTAAAATAAATATTGTTTTCACAAATTCAAATTTTTCAAATAATTCGTGGATATCAAATCTGAAATTAATGATCATAAAATCAATTAATTCTTTTTTTATTAAACAAAATTTAAAAACAATATCTAAAATATAATTTATATTCCGTATACCAGAACTTTAATCTTACAAGAAAAGGATTACCATAATAAGTATTTCTTGTTATGACATTATAAAAAGGGAGGGTCAGTAAACAATTAATCTTCACATGGAGATAATCTTCAAGTTTAAATATAATGTTAATTCTTCAAATCAGGGTTTTATATGTCATAAGTATAAGTCATATGTGTATATTAAGAGTGTATGATCTTGTACGGTATATTTGCGTAGATTACATTGATTCCTAACTCCTTGCTTACTCTTCAGAAGCTTTCTAAGATCACTAATTCAAATTTCAGTTTTATTTGAAATGTTAATTAATGTGTACAGTGAGATCTCCTACTGTTGTTGCAGCGTATTCACATAGATCACAATGATATTCCTTAGCACAAGGAATTCTTACTCTCGCATGTATACTCTGTATGTGTGTTTTAAGGTTCCCTGGCTGTGCTGCAGAGTATTCACACTGATTACAAGGATACCTAACTCCCTTATGTATACTCTGTATGTGCTTCTTAAGATCAGATGCTCGTTTGGTAGAGTATTCACACTGATAACAAGGATACCTAACTCCCTCATGAATACTCTGTATGTGCTTCTTAAGATCAGATGCTCGTTTGACAGAGTATTCACACTGAATACAAGAATATTTTACTTCCTCATGGATACTCTGTATGTGCCTCTTAAGATGAGATGCTCGTTTGGCAGAGTATTCACACTTATTACAAGGATACCTAACTCCCTCATGTATACTCTGCATGTGCTTCTTAAGACGAGATGCTCGTTTGGCAGAGTATTCACACTTATTACAAGGATACCCAACTCCCTCATGTATACTCTGTATGTGTATCTTAAGGTTTCCTCGATTTGCTGCTCTGTATTCGCACTGAGAACAGGTATATCTTACTCCATCATGTTTCCTCTTCTTATTCCTTAGGTGAAGTGGATCCTCAATTTCATCTAAAAATACTTACATCAATCTAAAAATGCTGACAAAAAATTCATATTTGGATATTTATTTGTTAACAAGATTTTCTCTTTTCTTATTTTTTTTTAAATCTAAAATTTACCTTTCGTTTCTGTATTTTCCATCTTCGTATCTTCTTCTTTTCTATAAACAGTGCACATGTCTTCTACAGTAGAGGTTTCTTCTTTAATGGTAATATTTTCCATCTTAGTATCTTCTTCCTTTATATAAACAGTGCACATGTCTTCTACAGTAGACGTTTCTTCTTTAATGATAACATTTTCCATCTTAGTATCTTCTTCCTTTATATAAACAGTGCACATGTCTTCTAGGTTTCTTCTTTAATAGTAATATTTTCCATCTTTAAGTCTTCTTCCTTAATATAAACAGTACACATGTCTTCTACAGTAGAGGTTTCTTCTTTAATAGTAATATTTTCCATCTTTAAGTCTTCTTCCTTTATATAAACAGTGCACATGTCTTCTACAGTAGAGGTTCCTTGTTTAATGGTAATATTTTCCATCTTTGTATCTTCTTCCTTTATATAATCTGAACACAATTCGTCTACAGAAGATATTTCTTCTTTTAGGCAACTTTGGGTACTTCTAACGCCATCTTTACTTCTTTCAACGATGTTCATTTGCTGTTCAAGCCATTCTATAAAAAGTTTTTATCTATGATAAATAAATTTCTATTACTATTAAACAACTAAAATCTTTTAAAATGACAGAATTATATTTTGATACTATATACAAAATATTCTACATATTCAAAGGAAATGAGTCTTTGCCACAAACCCTGCTTTTCTAAATCCTATATCTTTGGATTCCAATGTCGTAGACCTTAGATATTTCAAACTATGAATTCTGTTAGATCAAATAATATAAGTTTGAAATATCAAAGATTTACGACATTGGGTTCTAAAGATATAAGGATTATAAAATCAGAGTTTGTGGCAAAGACTCAATTCCTTTAAAATCAATTCAGATACAAATAATAATTTTTAACAGTATAACTTTGAGAACAAGAGTTTATGATGACTTTGAGATTTACAATTAAACAAGATCAAGTGTTTGAACTTTCAGGAAATACTGACTTTACATTTAAATTTAAATATACAAGAATACATTACTTGGATAAAATATAAAAAAAGACTTTAAAAGTCAATTATCCGACTACAATTTATAGCGATCAAATATGGAAGAAAACGTTTTTACAATTAAAAAAAATCAAAACAATGTAACTTTGAGAACATGAGTTTGAAGCATAATAAGAATTTTAATTCAAAGAGATCTCATTTTTCAATTTTCCAGAAATATTGATTTCAAATTCAAATAAAAAAATTAAGATTTTTTTTCTCCTTCCAACGATTTTCAATTTTTGTTCAAGCCATTCTATAAAAGGATTTTTTTTATCTATGATAAAAAATTACTATTATTAAACAAAACAACTAAAATCTACACAATAGTTTTGTTTTAAACAATACAGACTGAGATGTCAATCATCTAAATAACTATAAATTATACAAACCAAATATAAAAAATATCTTTACATATTCTAATTTAAAATTCCATCACATATCAATAATAATTTTGAACAGTATATCTTTGATAACAAGAGTTTATACTATAGCTGAGAATTATAATTTCACAGTGTTTCAAGTTTAAGAAAATTTATCTATGTTAAAAAATTACATTTTCTGAACAAGACAATTAAAATATACAAAAATACAGTATATATACTGTATATATACTATATATTTTAATAAAGTATACAAAAATATGACTTTAATGTTAATTATCCACCTGCATTTTATAACAATCAAATATGGAAATGTACGTTTTTACAATATAAAAAGAGTACGGTGTTATCATATAATAATAATTTAAACCAATATAACGTTGAGAACATGAGTTAAAAACATTACTAAGAATTATAATTCTAAAAGATCCAATTTTTTAATTTTCCGGAACTATTTATTTCACATTCAAATAATATAGAAATCAAGGATATTTAAAATTTAATGTGATCAAAAATAAAAAAAATAAGGTTTTAATCATACTCTTGTATGTGTCTCTTAAGATTTCCGTCGTTTGTTGCAGAAAATCCCCACTGATTACATGGATACATAGCTTCCTAATGTATACTCTTTATGTAAATTTTAAGAATTCCTGGCAGTGTTCCAGAGTATTCACACTGATTACATGGATACCTAGTTTCCTAATGTAAACGCTGTATATGTCTCTTTCGACTTCCTGCGGTTGTTGCAGAGTATTCACACTGATTACAAGGATACCTTACTCCCTGATGTATACTCTGTATGTGTATTTTAAGACTTCCTGGCTGTGTTTCAGAGTATTCACACTGAGTACATGCAAACCTTACTTCCTTATGAATGCTCTGTATGGGTATCTTTAGATTTCGAACGTTGATGCTTGCTTACTCTTAAGAAGCTGTCTAAAATTACTAATTCAACTTTCAGATTTATTTAAAATGTTGATTAATATGTACAGTGAGATTCCCAACTGTTGTTGCACCGTATTCACATAAATCACATTGAAATCTACTATGTTGAATGCTAATATGTTTTCTGAGAAGATATGCTTTGGTGGTAGTGTATCTGCACTGAGTACATGGAAATCTAACTCCCTCGTGCATTCTCTGTATGTGCTTCTTAAGATCAGATGCTTGTTTGGCAGAGTATTCACAGTGATTACAAGGATACCTTACTCCCTCATGTATGCTCTGTATGTGCCTCTTAAGGTTTCCTTGGTTTGTTGCACTGTATTCGCACCGAGAACAGGGATATCTTACTCCATCATGTTTCCTCTTCTTGGTCCTTAGTTGAAGTGGATCCTCAATTTCATCTAAAAATACTTACATTAGGCTCAGTTTCATTTGCCATAATATTTTTGCCATAATTAATAGGAACTTTTAAAGGTAAAATCCTAATTGATCAGGTGGACCTAGAGAAAGCACAAAACGAAGACAGTGCTCTACTGATGGTAAAATCTTGGTTCAACTTAAACACAGGTAAAATTGATGAAAAGAAAATTGACACTTCAGTTTTCGACGAAGTACATGAGGATGTACTGCAACTCTACAAGGTAAGAAAACAACTCAGGTTAACCGACGCGAATACAACAAGCTCTACCAGGTTAGTATATCTTCTTGAAAACGAATTTGACTCAAACCCTCGGATAAGAATTGTCATCCCCCCCTCGCACAGGTACCAAGCTCTACTAGCTGTACATGTTCGTGAACATTGGGGTGTACAGCGTACTACGCAACAGGTAAAAGAACATTTTTTTCTGGCCAGGATGGAGAGCTGACACAGCAGAATTTGTAACAGAGTGCCCTGGCTGTCTACACAGAGAACAGGTGAACCTGAAGCAGGTAGATCCATACGATGGATGAGTAATCAACGTAAATGAAGTAATTTGCGTTGATCTGGTAGGTCCTATCACAATTTCAAGCAATAAAAACAAATATATTTTGACAATAATGGACCAATTTTCTAGATATGTTGCAGCAGTGCCTCTGCCAGACAAATCAGCTCGGTCTGTTGTGAACGCGATCATGACAAACTGGATTAGCCTGTATGGAGCACCTGCAACAATTAGGATGGATCAAGGAAAAGAATTTGATAACAGCCTGTTAAAAAATCTTCTCAATGCTTTGGATGTTAATATTAAAATTGGTTTTAGCCACAATCATCAGTCCAACCCTGTTGAGAGATTTCATAGAACTTTGTGGGCACTTTTGAAAGCAAAGAGGGCAAATGGGGAAAATGACTGGGAAAAATCCCTCCCAACCTTAATTTTAGCTTACAATGCAACTCAACATTTTTCCACTAATTCGTCCCCCGCCAGAATTTTTCTCGGAAGAGAACTAAAAATCTTCCTCATTTGTCTTTGTTGCCAAAATTTGTTCAAAATGATAACCCCTCCCCCCACTCCGTTGAAGAACAATTAGATTACATCCTTGATCTAATGAGAGCTTCAGACAATGTAAGAATACGGAGGCAGTTTAGGTCTTATGAAAAACCCCAGGACGAGATTTGTGTAGGAGATCGTGTGTATTGTGCGGCCCTCCCTCCACAAGGTAACTCAAGGAAACTGCAGCTAAGCTGGAGCGGCCCAGTGTTGGTTACAGAGATCATAAATAATGCGTTGGTCAGGGTCAAGGAATATGATGTGAAGAATCCTCGGACCTACGTAGCACACCGTTCAAAAGTCCGCCTCGCCAAGAAACTAGGACAGAAAGATGTGGACCCACTTTTCAAGCTTCCTAGACTACCTGCTGAAGCTATCAGAGATCTAGCAGATGAACTGTCAGAATTTGAGCTACCTGCGAGACAACTCGATGCTGAAATAATTGACGAATTTCATTTGTCACCGGGGGAAGGATCGTCGCAGCAGCATCTCGTCAAGCCCCCCTGTTATTCCTCAAGACTTCTCAGGTTCAAGCATTGCAGCAAGCTCAGAGAACAGCGAAGACGGCCTCTTCCAATCTTTTATACAGTCACCAGGCTCAGCTCGGTCTAACAGCAGCGACCGGGAGCAATTGTTCCAGAACCATTTTCACGCAGAGGACGAACCACGGGATGAAAGGCTGCAGGAAGCACTAACAGATGATGAAGAAGTAACAGGGTCGGCAGCCAATCTAATCCCAGAACCAGAGCCAGTCAAAACTCCGGAACCAAGAAGATCAGAAGCAGAAACTAACAGTGAACCAGAAAGGAGAGAAGATGAACCTACAAGAATAAACACCCCTACCGGAGAACAAGGGGAACAGGAAACCAGAGGTGGAGAGGAAATAACAGAAGGAATAAATACCCCCCTTCGTCAGGTTGATGAAGCAGCAAACTCTACTACCAATGATGAAGAACTAAGGCCGTTAGTTGGCAGCACCACTACTGAAGATACCAGGAGAAGATCCAGCAGGAGATCAATCCCTACAGATAGATACAGCGCGGAGTTCAAACTACCGGCAAACCCCAGATCCAAGAAAGGAACAAGATCGTCAATAGCCCCATCCTTGAAGTCACTGAAAGCAGCGCTCAAGAAGAGCTGGGCACAGAGGCCAGATTTTACAGCACCACTGAGAAGAAGGAGCAGATCAAGAGAGAGCTCTAACTCCATCAGGACAAGAGCTGCATCCCTAGAGAGGGTGCAGACAGGGAGTATTAAAAGTAGTGGTAGCATAAGAAGTAGTGTCAGGACTAGGTATAAAGTAGCAGATCAAAGTAGTTATGTGCAAGGAGCAGATGAAAGTAGTTGGAGTGACACAGAGGATGAAGCAGGTAGAGGTTGCAATAAAGTTAAGGAAGGAATTAATACAATTTCAGGTCAAAAATCTAGAATTGCAAAAGTGAAAAATTCTGTAACACTTCACCCTGGGCAAGGGGCATGGGTTTATTTAGAAGAAAATCCAGGACAAGTCAATGGGGATGAATTCATTTTTCCAATCTTGTTTAACACTATTGTTGAGAAAAATCTTTTTGCTTCTAAATTTTCCCCCAGGGCAGGAGTGTTACGTTCACCTGCAATCTACATGATTAACCATAATAATGATATCTTTGTTCAGGTGAAGAAGGGAGAGAGCGTGGGGAGGTTGATCAGCCTAATGGTGAAGTGCGAGAGCAGGCGGACCAGCACCAGAGAAGGGGGAGTACGAGAGTAAACCAGTTGCTCTTCGTGGGCATGCTGGCAGTACTAGTAGGGCAGGCCAGCGCGGAGGAAATCCCCTCAGGGATAACCCCGGACAGCATAGGAGGTTTCAGTAAACCGAAGTTCTCGGAAATAGAGATAGAGTGGAGTTTGCAAGGAGGCTATGGTTATTTTGTTTCGACAACCGTAGCTCCAACCCTGCACGTCCTCAGTCAAGCTATGGATGGGGCCGGAGCAGTTGAAGCTCTTACCTTCACTTGCTGGGTAGTAAGAACATTATTTCGAATCAGCAAGACTGGCTATATTAACTCGAGAATGGAGCACGGGTAGTTCTCCGCTAAACCTCACATCCTGGAGAAGGATGGATAAAAGACGCTTCAAGAGTGCAATAGTTTCATCTTATCCTGAGAAAGTGATCGACAAGGTGGCTGATCATAAAAGATCAAGGAGGGGATGTAATAATGGGTGATTTTGTTGATCTTTTACGATCAGCGATTCAAGGATTTTTTAGATTGCTGAGATCATAGCTACCTAGGGGTATCATGCCCCCCCCCCTTCTACCCTTCGGATGGACTTTTGAATCCTATTTTGAATCCTAACGGATTTATTCGAGTTTGCACGTGAATTCTATAAATAACCCAAGCCACGCCGATAACCGAAACCACGCCAATTGTTCCGTTATTCCAGAGGCCCGGGCGCTGGTGGGATGGCCAACCAGCTCCCGGGGAACTAGGGTTAAGCTCTAGGTAAGGGTGGAGCGAAACTCGGGGAAAAATGGCAGTTGAAGACCAGCTCCCTAGTTAATAGGTTCCCCTGGAGATCTCCCATCACTCTGAATCATACTCAATTCATGCAACTCAATTCGTATAGTATTTTCCATTAGTTTTTGTATCTTTGTAAATAATAATAAATTGTAAGAAAAACCGACTCGTCGAATATTCAATCAAATAAGTAGTTGCATTGATTCATTTTTCTTTCATATGCAATACTAACTAAGCACTAACGAAGTACATTTTAACCGAACATTTCCAATATTGCAGACGAGGCATTGGCTACATAGGTGTAGTTGTTGCTGTCTCAAACCATTGGTTTACCCTTACTTGTGGTCTCAAAGGTCACCAAAGGGTCCTCCATTATGAGAAAATATGGAGCTGAACTTGTGTCAACTGTTCTGTTTTAAAACAATGAGATATCTAAAGTTTGGAATTTTCAAGGGAAAATTTCCCGCATTTGCAACAAAAAAGACAGATTCACATCTTTTTAGAAATTAGAAAATTATGACCAAAGTTATTATAGCAAGTGTAATTATGGCAAGTGTAACCATTATGGCAAGTGTAACTTATGACAAGTGTGACTTATGGCAAGTGTAACTTATGGCAAATGTTACTTATGGCAAAAGTATTATGTCAAGTGTAATTATGGCAAAAATATTATGGCAAATGAAACTGAGCTATATTAATCTAAAAATACTGACAAAAAATCATAACTTGATATTTATTTGTTAATCAGATTTTCTCCATTCTTATTTTTTTAAATCTAAATATTAACCTTTTGTTTCTGTACTTTCCATCTTTAAGTCTTCTTCCTTTATATAAACAGTGCACATGTCTTCTACAGTAGAGGTTTCTTCTTTAATGGTATTATTTTCCATTTTTAAGTCTTCTTCCTTTATATAATCAGTGCACATGTTTTCTACAGTAGAGGATTCTTCTTTAATGGCAATATTTTCCATCTTGGTATCTTCTTCCTTTATATAAACAGAACACAATTCGTCTGCAGAAGATATTTCTTCTTTAATGGCAACTTTGGGTACTTCTAACGCCATCTTTACTCCTTCCAACGATATTCATTTGCTGTTCAAGCCATTTTATGAAAAGTTTTTATCTATGATAAAGAAATTACTATTATTAAACAAAAAAACTAAAATCTTTTAAAATGACAGAATATTATTTTGATAGTTTCTATACAATATTTTTGTTTTAAACAATACAGTCTGAGATGTCAATTATCTAACTGATTATAATATATAAGTCGAATATAAAAAATACTTTAATGTCAATTATCCGACTACAATTTATATCGATCAAATATGAAAAAATAAGTTTTCTTCAACTTAAAAAGAGTACTGTGTTATCACATGATAATAATTTTAAACAGTATTTACAGTGGTTGTTGGGTATCCACACATGGAAATCTAACTCCCTCTTGTTTACTCTCTGTATGTGTATTGTGTAGACTGCTTACAGCTGTTGCTGAGTATTTACACTATGTACAAGGACACCTAGCGTCCTCATGCATACTCTCCTCCGGCTCTTTTATCACTGCGGTAAAGAACTTCCGATAATAAACCGCGCAAAATTTTTAATTAAAAATTATCATAAAACATTAAACAATAAACATTTACTAGCTAGAGGTTTGAAGCGGTCATGAGCCACCACTATTAGCCCTTCCGGGCCACATATTAGTTTTTTTCTCTTCCGGCAGCCGTGAACCACCACCATTTAAACCTTCCGTGCCACCACATTTGACTCTTCCGGGCAAAACTTCTTGGCTGATTTTCATAAAAAATGGCTTATTTTTGGTGAGCAATATCATTATTAAAAATGACGCACCATAAAATACAGTTAAGTTTTGAAGGGTACCCTTGTGTGAAAATGTGCTGTGTTAAGCGGGAATTGCTAAAAAAAACTTTTTTTGGATAAAATTTCATTGTAATGCAGTTTAATCCTTTCCCTGCTGGGTACTTAAAAGGCAAGATACGCTGGGGGGGGGGGGAGGTCAATTTGACCACCCCCTCTAAATTCCATTCATCCAATCATGACAAATGATACAGCATTGGAAAGCTCTTGTGCTCTACATTTGGAATCTGCAATTTTTTTTGGCAAATTTGCAAAACTAGGTTTTTTTTTGCAAAATCAAGTTTTTTAGTACAAATTTTTTAAAATAAAAATTGTCCAAAATATGATAAAATTTACATTTTTGAAAAGCCACTCACCATTCTATTTCAAATATGCAAAAATGTTTGCAAAACTTTAAAGAAAATGATGTTTAATTAAGAAAAACTAAAAATGTACAGATTTTCTTTGATGGGTTTAGTTTGTTACAGGAAAAAGTAGTCATTCAGGCAGTAGCAGTGTGCCTGAGGACTCAGGCAGTTAGTATAAAAGCCCGGTTTTAGGCCTAGGGAAGTCTTTGGGTATTTAGGAAAAGTCAGAAAATTTTAACAGCCTCAGAGTCAGACCAATACTTTTTGAGTCATGTAAAAAAGGTCAAATTGAAGGGGGGGGGGCCCCCAGCAGAAATACGGTTAATATTTCAACACACAATATATTGATCTTATGTAGAATTGAATAAATGGTTTGAGTTGTGCTTTTTTTGCGTGACACGGCTGGATTTTTGAAAATCACACTTTAAAGGCCCTAAATATACCGTTTTAAAAAGTAGTTTTGCCCGGAAGAGCCATATGTGGGGAAATAGTGGTGGCTCATGGCTGCTGGAAGACAAAAAAGCTAATTTATTTGGCAATGAAGGGGAAATATTGGTGGCTCATGGCCGCCTGCCTTCCCCCACTCGTTCAATAGCTATAGTATATAGGAAGGGGGGAGGGGGGCTAATAGGCCCCACCTTAACAAGGGGGGGAGAGGCCCTATACTGATTACGCCTCTGTTCCTGAGCTGTTCAAATATGTCGCAGTACAATGTAAACAAATCCTAAGTTACTTTTGTTATTGTTTACAATAAAACTATTTCCTGGGCTCTCCTATTTCATATGTCAGTGTCTACTCTATTGTGACAAACTCTAATTCCTTTGTTATTGTTGACAATAAAAGCAGTTCCTGAGCTGTCAACTAAAGTGAGAAAATTTCGTTTTCCTCGTTTTATTTGGCACTCGTGACGTCGTGTATAATTGGTCAATTTCTCTGTGCCCCTGCCACATGTTTTTCTTGATAATCTATTTGACAAACTCTAATTCCATCTGTTATTGTTTACAACAAAAACCAGTTCCTGAGCTGTCCTATATATGTCAGTGTTCACTGTAAACAATTAAATGTCCCCAATTAAATCTTTTTCTCCTTGAATTGCATAGTTTCTGTAGAAACAAAAACAAATATATTTTATAAAAGTTTTTCTATGTATTTTCTTTACTAGTTTCTCCTTTTTCTTTTTCTTTTTCTTTTTCTTTTTCTTCTTCTCCTTTTTCTCCTTTTCCTTCTTCTTCTTCTCCTTTTCCTCCTTCCTCATCTTCTTCCTCTTCGTCTGAATAATCCGAGTAAGATGGAGGAAGATCAACTTCTTCTTTACCCTTCCTCTGAATCTAAAAAAATAATGAAAATTTGAGGTAAGCTGTTGTTTTATAAAATTCCTACAAAGGTATTGTTATTACGACTAGATGGTGTAATCCTTTTATATTTGAAGCTTAGCTTATTAAATGTAACAGAATTCATTGTTTTAATGACTTTGGGTTGCAAAGATATATGGATGAGAAAATCAGAGTTTGTGGCAACCGCAAATATTTGTCTAACCATGAATTGAAAACAAAAAATGAAAAAAACGACCTTGTTTTATTAATGATGTTTAATTTGAATAAATGCATTTTCATTTTTTAAATGTTGCTTTCAAGTTTAAAGCCTTTTGCTTATCAAAACAGAATTAAGACATTTTTGATGAATAAGTTTCACTTATGCTAAAAACTGCTACTGCATTATTCAGATTTCTCTGATTCAGGGGGGGGGGGGGCTGATCCACCATAGCACCCCCTGAGTATGCACCTGAATCTGCTTTTATACTTATTTCTTGAATTTAAACCGAAATTAAACAATACTGAAGATAAATCTCAGAAAATAATATTTTTGTCCCAAATGTCAGTGAAAATGTTAGATTAAAATTAGGATTTTAACACACAGTTCAATGAACACAATGAGNAGAAGCGATCAAAAGCGCTTTTTTATCGCATTAAGCCTATACCCCCTTTCATTTTTCGCGAACACTCCCTTTAAGAGTTAAACTTCTTGAGGTACAGCTCTGCTACTTTCTTGTACCCTGAACATCAAGGCTTAAAAACATATGTAAATATCAAAAAGAATTACTCCCTCCACCAGGTTTTTCATATTTGGACTATAAACGCAATTCTGCAATGTAACTCTCTGTTCAAAGTAAAAAAAAATTTATTTTCAAAAAGGGGAGATTTAAAGATTTTCTACAAAATATATACCCCTAGTTATCCGTTTGCATCAAATTAGATCAAATCAAATCAAATCAAATCAAATCAAATCAAATCAAATCAAATCAAATCAAATCAAATCAAATCAAATCAAATCAAATCAAATCAAATCATTGATTATAGGCCACAACATTAATTTATAACATACATTTAAAAATAAAAAACAAATATACATTTTTAATGTGGCCGGGGATCTAAACTAGCCCAAACTGTTTTCATATGTTCAAATGTTCCATTTAGAAAGCAACTGACCTGTAATATAAAAAGCAGCAGCTAAAGCTTCTACACAATTTAGTTTACAAGGTTTCCCATAATTAACTTGATTAGCAGCTACTAGGTAGGGAAGCAGCCGAGGGTGGGAGCTTTTCATCCTGGTGTCAAAACAGAAATAGAATATTTTTTCGTAAATGCTTAGGATCCAGCTCATGAATGTTTTTTTTTAATATTTTGCTAAGTTCTTTGACAGAAATAAAATTTGTCCAGGTCTGGATCTAAGCAGCAAATGTAGGGGTATGTAAATTAAAGACCTAAAAAGTGTATTAGAAAATTGGTTGGGGAAAATGAAAAAGAAAGTTGTAGGCTCAAAATTCTTCTCGATACAAATGTAAAAANATTTTGAACAAATATACAAACTTAATATTTTTTATATATTTTTCTTTTCATTTTTAATGATTTCTTTTTAGTCTCTAGTACGTTTCAAACTCATCAGAAATATTAATTTGTGCAATCTTTAAAATTTCAACGAAAAAAGCGGCTTTATCTTTTAAATATAAAACAGTATCATGAAATTTTGATAATACAAAAAAAATTTTACACATAATTTTTGTGGTCGTTAAATATGTTTTACATTTCATTACATGATAAAAAAAACTCGACGTGTTATTAAATTTTTCGAAATATTTCTATTTTTAAGAAGATATAGTCTCTATTTATGTTTCTATCCCTATTGAATGGAGTTTCATCTATCCTGGCCCAACTGCAATCTATTACAGATACACCGTGCTGAACAACAATGTCCCTAAATATTAAAAATAAAAATTAGAGAGTAATGGCACTATCATGAGTAAAAAACAGTGCTTAGAATCCGGATCGCAACATTTTGGCTTCCTGGATCCGGATCCGGAAAAATATGCGGATCCACGGATCTGGATCCAAACATAACTCTTTTGCGTAAAAAACATTTTTTTCTATTGCGGATCCAGGATCCAGATCCGAATTCGCATCCGCATCAAAATTAAATGGATCCTATGCACTAAAAAAACGCAGCTTATTATCATGATCCAACAAATCTTCTTTATGTGTTTATATTTGAATTATTCTCAGGGCTCACGCATGAATATATATTTATTTATATATTATAAGAGAATTTCCGACTATTGTCTTGATATTCATAAGTATACAGACAGGGTTACCCACAAAGGACCAGACTTCAGATACGAGTGTACGGAATTTGTACTCTCCGTTTCCTTATATTCATAATTCCTTTGCAGCAACTATAAACTTTTTGTTTTTTTTGTCAATTCATTAAATAAGCCATTAGATAACTAAACCTCAGGCAGAATACATATAAACTTTAGGATTGGCAATTTTAAGAGTTTCCGGTCGTCTTTACAATCTTATCTTTTGTGGGTAACCCTGTATATTACATTAATATGTGGATAAACTTATAATCAATATTTACGAAAAACTGTTCCTTCAAATATTAAAATAAAGGACCTTTTTCTTTTATTGATTTTTTTGTTGTTTTTACTTTGTTTGATTAGATATTTGTTTTATGCCATGTTTTATGTATCTATATATTAAAACAAGACATTCGTATATATATATGTTGCCTATATATATTTATGTTGCCTATAGCCAGCCAAACGGCTGGAGCGATTGGGTAGAATTTTTTAGTGGACACTCATAGGGGTGTTATAGACTATAAAAAATTCTATTTTTTTTTCCACGGGTAACGCCGGGCCCTTCAGCTAATATCATAAAAGAGTGATTTAAATTTAAAGGAAATAGATCTTATATTGTAAAAACTAATTTTAAATTGACCCCTTTCAAATCTAACCTGTCAGCTGGCGAAACACAATGTTTTCCCATCGGCGACAGACAGAGTCCGGAAAACCGCTGCCCAAGCCGAAGTTCAGAAATCATTCCTAACCTTGCCAGTTTTCTTCCAGAACACCTCTTTTGAACAATTGTTAAGTAAATTATTATTGCAGTCTAACACGTCTCGGTTATTAAAGTATATAGAAATCCGCGAAACTTTTCCGGAGAAACCATGTAATTTTTTTAAAAGAAGTTTTTTCCCGACAATTTGTTTACGTGGAGCGCCCAACAAGCTTTGAGGCTATAAATTTGGGGAAAACACCAATCGAAATCAAATTGTTCAATTCTTTTTTGTTTTTCTTATGTGCTTACCGCTCAGGTTCTTTTAAAATTACGATGACAACGACGTGGGGCTGGGAAGGAATTAAGCTAAAAAGGTAAAAACGGAAAAGATTAATATTTTTAACAATTTCCCTAGGATCACAGTGGTTTAAATCCATCAATATTTTTAACAATTTCCCTAGGATCACAGTGGTTTAAATCCATCAATATTTTTAACAATTTCCTTTGGATCACAGTGGTTTAAATCCCACATTGCAACAGGAAACGGAACTTGTATTTCATCTTCTTCCTCGTTCTCCTCGCTGCTTTCTGGAAGAGTTTATTCAATTCGTTTATATAAAGAAAATTTGAATAATCCAGGGAAATATATTTCATAGAATTCCCCCCCCCCCGTCCTCTTGGAGGAACTGATTTACTCCCCTGTCCTCCTGGAGGGACTGATTTACTCCCAAGTCCTCCTGGAGGGACTGATTTACTCCCCGGTCCTCTTGGAGGGACTGATTTACTCCCCGGTCCTCCTGGAGGGACTGATTTACTCCCCGGTCCTCTTGAAGGGACTGATTTACTCCCTGGTCCTCCTGGAGGGACTGATTTACTCCCCGGTCCTCTTGGAGGGACTGATTTAATCCCCGGTCCTCTTGGAGGGACTGATTTACTCCCCGGTCCTCTTGGAGGAACTGATTTATTCCCTGGTCCTCTTGGAGGGACTGATTTACTCCCTGGTCCTCTTGGAGGGACTGATTTACTCCCCGGTCCTCTTGGAGAGACTGATTTTCATTGAATAATACATATTGAAGTCCCACCTCCCTCTTTTAAAAATTACAATCCCGATGAAGTGAAAAAAACCTCTAAAATATTGAAGAGATGTTTTTAAAAGACTATAAGAATTTTCTTTCGATAATATACCTTTAAAAAAAAAAAAATGCGATCTCTCACCCCAACCCAAATTTAACCACATTGTTTCAAAATCAAAGTAAAAATTATCTCTTTTCCTGTCGATCCCGTACCTTCTGATCCTTCTGAACCTTCTGAACCTTCTGCAGTTTCATCTTCACTATCATCCTAGAGAAATAAATAAATAAAAATGGTGATAAACACTAAAAATTGCAAAAAAAAATAAAAAATATTTTGTAATAATAAAAAAATATAACTTTAAATTGTTGAACAATTTTACTGGCTCATCTTTCCAATAGATTTCTTATTTTGTTTACCAGTTATGGGTGAAAGCTTTTATTAGCATATAACACTGATATCCGCTGATATCAACGGATTTAAAACAAAAAACAAACAAAAATATCATAATTTTTTTATTTTGACCACTTTTGGAATTGTGACATAAAAAATGATCAAACTAAAAAAAATTTGAATGAATCGGCTTTTTAATGTGTAAATTTTTCTTAACTTATTTCTCTTTTTATATTTAAGAATAAACTAGATCCTGCTCCTTACCTGCTCTGTTAGTTTTAGTTTGCTCAATCCTGCAATATCGGATGAATCCTCTGCTCTTATGTGCTCATCAAACTTCCCTTCTCTTCTACTATTCTACAATAAAAGGTGTTCGTTAGACTATTCCCGCAAACAGTGGAAGAAAGTTCCAAACTGTGATTTGACTCCAAATGTGACAGGTTTTTAACACAAGCACGGATTAGAACTTAAGTCCCTTGCAATATCTGATGAATTCTAAGCTCTAATGTACTCCTTAAATTTCCCTTCTTGTCTTGTATCATACAATAAATACTTTTATTCTCATTAATCCTGCAAACAAGGGGAAGAAAGTTCCAAACCGTGATGTGACAACCTAAGTCCCCTGCGATTTCTAATAAATCCTAAGCTCTAGTGTGCTCGTCAAACTTGTCTGAGGTTCTGCAATAAATAGTTTTAGTTCAATAAATCCTGCAAACCAGGGGAAGAAGGTTCCAAACCGTGATTTGGCTCAAACTAGACACTCAGTGCCCACAGTGCCCACAATGGATAAAGAGTTCATGGGATCGGAATTTTATTTGTGACATTCAGTCGTCATTTCAAAAATGTGGTCTGCCTAATCTGTGCTGTCAATATTATCAGAGAAATTAAGAATTTCGTTCAAAATTCAATTTTTGTGAATTAAACCAAAAGTGTCGAAATCTGAACGAAATTCTTCATATCTCTGCTAATATTGAAAGCACAAAAAAGGCAGACAACATTTTTGAAATGCCCAGATTAGGGATATTTTGTGATTATTAACTCTAGAATGTTTATACTACTACAATTAGATTTACGAATAAATTAAATCAAAGATGTAAGACGACATTCAAGTCGTCTTACTACAATCATGTCTCGTGGGACACCTGTATAATAAATCATCGAAATATACTTCCACTTTGACGAAACAAATTCTTCAGGAAGAGAACTCTGGTCCGTCCTAAAAAACAATTTTTGGACATCCCCCCCCCCGCCCCGTGGCTAGGACAGACTAGGGGGCCGGGCGCAGCGGCCACATGGTCAATTATATCCATGTCTTATATTTAAGATCCATGTACAAAATTGATAGTGGGGGGGGGGGCGGGGTCCAAAAATCGTACTCTAGGAAATTACCAAAGAACATTTTTTTTGCCGATTTTGAATTTTACAGGTTTAAGGATTCTAAAAATAACTATAATAAATATGCCGCCTCCGACTACTTTTGAGAGTACTGAAAATATTCAAGTATGGAAAATGAAAAATAGAACACAGAGTAACGAATCTTTGTATTTATACAATAGACATACTACACACGTTTGTTAAATTTATCATTTAAAAAAACATATTACCTTAAATCCTCCGCGCTTCGGCTTCCCCATTTTAAAATAAATATTTTATCAATTTAGGAATTAACTCTAATTTCAAAACAACTCTCGTGTATTCGTCTGCTAGGATGAATTTCTCCGACTAATGCTAGGATTGGAGGAAACAGAACTGAACTGGTCCCGGGTTCGGTTTCATTGGCTCCAGGTAGCTACAGAGTACAGACAAAAATGATACAGAGTACAAAACTAATGTCTGCTATCTTGTGTGTCTTTAAAAGACTAGCATTTTTAAAATTCTGATCTTTTTTTTCCTGTAAATACGCAGTTTTTACGTTCTAAATATCAAGAGAAAAGTTTCTACGAAATATTTACTTATTCTTGTTCGGTATAAATAAAGTATATCTATTAACTCAATAAAAAGGCATAATATTACAATTACAATTTAATTTACCCATGGTTACAATACATAATCATAATAAAAACAAACTGAATACATACAAATCGTTTTTTATTTCGAAAAATTTCTATTAAAGAAAAATTTCACTATTTCATGATTTGACTTAAAATGCATATTGAACACATAAAATTTTGTGAGTTTTTAGTTAAAATAAACAATTCAGTAATAACTGATTCTAAATAAAGAGTGGGTAGGATGGGGGAAGGTCAAAGGGGGTTTATTAAATACATTATTTTTTCACTTTTCCTTTACGTAAAATTTTACTAGAGAATAATTTGATGATAACTGGAATTATAATTCAAGAGGTAATACCGTAATATATGAAATTAATAAAAATACAGATAAAGTTGTGTCATTGGTTTGAAATCATTATACGAGCTTTTTTTCATTTCCCAATAATTCTCTTCTTTTGTGTAAAAATTATTCCTTTAAATTCTCATTTCCCCCGCCCCCTAATCGTCCTCTTCTCCGTCCTTTGGCTTCTTGTCCTTTTCCTCTTCCTCCTTTTTGTCCTCTTTCTTGTCCTTGTCCTTGTCCTCTCCGTCCTCCTCGACGTTGTCCTCCGAACCCTCAAAGTCTAAGTGACGGAATACCAGGACAATAATAGCAAAGATGGCGGCAAAGATGACGATTAAACCAGAGATAATCGAACAAACTGAAACAAAAGTTCCTTAAAGGGACTGTAAGCATAATTTCAAGTGATTCTTCATACAAAGATGGCAAACCCCGATTCACAACAACACCCTTGAAATATTTATCTAGTCAATAATGTGGGATATTGCCATTTTCCTAGGTTTGAAAGTATTTTATTCTGATAATTCCCATATATGTTCCTGCAGCAGAAAAGCGTAACCCAATTGTAAATAATCAGTTTTCCAAATTATAAACATTGTTATCTAATTCCTACTTGATCAGAAAAAGCTGAAAGGGTACCACTGTGAATCTGGTGTTGTCACCATCGCATAAAGGGTCACTTGAAATTTCGCTACCATATCTCTTTAAGAATTAAATTATTTATAAACAATTAATATAATTATATATATTTGAAGATTATTACATTTTTCTTGGAATATTTATTTTCTTGGACAATTCAAGTTGAAATTTTATATTTTACCTAGTAGAATATTTCTGGGACAAATCCAGTTGAAATTATAGATAACAAAACAAAATTTTACCAATTAGAATATTTCTGTGAAAAATACAGTTTAAATTATAGACAACAAGACAATATTTTACCCAATAGAATATTTCTGGGACAAATCCAGTTGAAATTATAGATAACGAGACAATATTTACGTAATAGAATATTTCTGGGACAAATCCAGTTGAAATTATTGATAACAAGACAATATTTTACCTTTTAGAATATTTCTGGGACAAACCCAGTTGAAAGTATAGATAACAAGACAATATTTTACCTAATAGAATATTTCTGGGACAAATCCAGTTGAAATTATAGATAACAAGACAATATTTTACCTATTAGAATATTTCTGGGACAAATCCAGTTGAAATTATAGATAACGAGACAATGCGCGAACATAACACAGAAGAGTATGAGTTGCAGAACCAGAGCTGTATTTTTCAGCAACTAGAAAAAATATCTTATAAGAACTTATTTATTTAAAAACAAAGAAATATATTAAAAGGAACTGTAAGCGTAATTTCCAATGTGACTTTCGATGCAAAGATGACAATGTCCGATTTACAATGTTACCCTAAAAAACTTTGCCTGATCAAGTAAGAATTAGATATGATTGTTTTTCTTTATTTAAACAGCTCATTTGAGACTTCTCTGCATAAGTGACATGCAAATTTCTGTTGTAAAAAACAATGAAGAAATCCAAAGAAATTTACACCTTTAGAGTCAGAAAAGGGACGCTATCTTCCCATTCTTGAACAGAATAGGGTTTCAAGTTCCTACGAGATAAATCTTTTTATTTGCTAAAATTTTTAAGGGGGGTGCACTGCCTCTTACCCCCCCCCCCCCTGTTTACCTGTAGAGTAGATAACGTTTTCTTTTCATCAATATCCAGCTGACCGTCGCGCAGAGCTACCATCATAGCAATCTTACCTTTTAATAATTTTTTATAAATTAAACTTTTGTTAGTCCACCATTTTCCCCGGAAAATGTTTTGCACCAAAATACTTAAAAATGTTGTCTTTTAGTTTAATAGTAACTTAAGAAATTTTTTTTTCAACATTAGACATTTTTATTATTAACTATAGGACTTTATGTAAGACTATGTCTTGGGACTTTTTACCAAAACTTTTTATTTCCAGGTTTTTTCCAGAAACGTTTTCCTCTATGATTTTCTTACATAGGTTTTTCGATCCGTGCTTAACTCAAATGTGCATTACTCTAAAATGTATTATCTCGCTTATCTACTAAATAAATTATTAAAAAACGCGCATTACTTAAGTGGATTATTAAAAATCGCGCATTACTAAATAAATGGAGGATCACTTAAAACAACGTCGATAGTCCCTATAAGGGCCAATGCACTAGAATAAGTTTCTTACCGATGCTCTCTAGAGAGGAGAGGAAGATGGAGATGCTTCCGAGGGTGAGTGCGAGTGTATCCAGGAACACCTAGTATCAAATGGCGTTAGTTAGTTAGCAACTTCCCAAATGTGCAATTTCCCAAGCGGAAACATTCCAAAGGTTAGGTTAGGCCTTCTCAGTCGCAGCAGACTTCAATGGGATATATCTTAACCTAACCTAACCTGAAAAAGTGGGCGTACAATGTAAATCTACAATTGGAAGAAGGGGGGGGGGGGGGGTTGTTGTTCTTAGGATTGCTTCAATTCTTTGTCACCTTATCATCCTTGTTTGCATCCGGGGGTTGGATAATATAGAGGGCAATCAGACCGTTGGCTACTCCCATAGGTATTAAGTTGGTAGATGGAGTACAAATTTCTAAATAAAAAGTGTTAAATTCATTCTTTTTACATTAATTTGCACAGCGTTGTGGAAGAGGTACAGATAGATGTATTTGACGACAAAAAAAATTGGTAACTTATTTTTAAACATTATTCTTTCTTTACTTTTCATCTATTTTTATCAATTTAAAACCAATATTTAAACCTCTAAACGAATATACAGACTTATTCAGTTTAAGAAAACTATTTTAAAATCTATTTTGTAATATGTAACATTCTTCAAAATATTAGAATAACCATATTAGAATCCATTTTCAGAAATCAATAAGATTTTCTTTGGTAACACTTAGAATCTTTGCATTAGAAAAAAAATCTTTATCATTAGAATTCACTATCTTTTGATTTTCTTTTTTTAGATTCGAAAAAAGGTATTATTATTAATTCATTACTAAAATTAGAAACATATATAAACAAAATTCTTAAAACTTTTTCTTTGATCAACATATTTAATAATTTACCTGTTAATTGTTTGAGTAGACCTATGTCTGGATCAATTCTTTATAACAATATCAATATTTAAATTAAAAAGCTTAAAATTATCATGGTATGTACAATGTTCACTGTACACTGTACACTGTACAGGGTGTCCCACAACATTTTTGGAGTGGAGTGTATGCAAGGTTATAATGCAAGGAAATTTAACTGCAGTTGCGTATACTCTTCGTACATATTGAAACCAGTTTTCGCTGGGTGGAATTTGTAAACAAGAATAGATGCATCAGTGTTCGTTTAGTTTCCGAAGAGGTTAAAAGCATTAAATTTTGATAATTTTGACAATTCACATAATAGTTTCATATGACCAATTTATTTCATTGATTTTTTATGTGAAAGGTGGATCCCATGTCAAGCTTCGACATACGTCTTGTGTTTACATTACCGCCCAGAGACAGTACACTCCAGTACAAAAGATACGTACCTCTGAAATAACTTTCCTTGCATTATAACCTTGTATACATGTAGCTCTAAATTGCTGTTTCCAGGACTGATCAGAATATCTAAAAATAATAAATCTTTGTGAAAAAATCTTATGAGCATAATGTAAAACCTTGTATGCAGAAAATACTGCTAGAGTTTTCGAGTATTATTTGCGTATTTTGGCGTCAAAGCTTGGAGATAATCTAATATGATATGGGACGTTCTGTATTTACTAAAGGCAGAGGACAGGGATACTTGGATGTACAGTGTAAAGTGTACATACTGTACATACATATGACATTTATAGCGTGACGCACATTTCCCTTAACTGTTATTGTATTATTCCTTTGTTTCTTATGCTTTAGGTAGACCAGGATGATTAACCCAATGATGAGGGAGACGAACATAATGGAGGAGACCACCATGGAGAAGTAGAAGATCCTGTCCGCCACGTAGAACGGACTCGACGGGTTCAAGGTGTCAATCACCGTGTAGTAGTAAATACAGTACAGGAACAGCACAACAAGCAGGACGCACTTAAAAGATAGAAATTTCAGTGCTGCAACATTTTAACCTCGTGGATCCGGATCTAAGGAGCAAAATATTTTTTAAAACTGCAGAAAAAATCTTTTAACTCTCCAAACCCACATCTGTACTGACGAAAAGGAGGAATCTATATATAAATTTGGCTTGTCTGTCTGTTTGTTTGTATCCAATATACGTCAAAACGGCTGAGCCAATCAGGTTAAAATATTTTGTGGGATCTCGCGTGACCCCGGGGAAGGTTCATGAATGATAAAATTTCCAAAAATTTGTGCTAAAAGTCTTTTATTTTTGTAAAAAATTTTAAAATCTTGAAAATCCGCAATTTTTTTTATAAAATCCGCGAATTTTTTCTCTCTTTGTTTTTTAATGAGAACATGTTCACAATTGAAATAGAAGATGTGCGCGAAGCGCCCTAAAAGCCAGTATTAAAAATTTCTTATCGCTGAATGGTTCATAAAGTTTTAGCATAAAAATAAGTGAAAATTAATGAAAAATAGTTTGAAAATTCCTATTTTGCTTAAAAATCAGAACACCTTAAAGAAAATTTTATGACCTGGATCCGGAGATCCATTTTTTTCCATAGCGGATCCGGATCCACATCAAAATTAAATAAATAAATCTAGGGGGGACCAAATATGCGCGAATTTTTTTGCCCCCCCCCTCCTGAAGGAACATGATAAGGATGTTGGTGTACCTCAGAGGCAGCTTCATCGACGTTATTTCTATACTGTTCTCTATCTGATACATTTACATCAAAATATTTACATAGCTTATTATACTGCAGATATGATTGCTCAGAAAGTGATGGATAGAAACGAAATTGCTAGAAAATCAGTGGCAGTTTTTTCTTGCATATTGTCTACGATTCAGAGGGGAAAGGGAGGGTCATAATTACAATATTTTAAGGCAATTCATCAGACTTCTAAATCATAATATTTCTAACAAATGAGTTTCTAACAGTCCAATTTCGTGCAATCATAGCTGTAATACGAACTCATAAGTTAAAGCCATTTTGCATTAATGGGTTATTAAGACTTGAAACACACTAAGGAGTAAGAACTTGTTCCATTATTGTATAAAATTAATTTTCTTTATGGGGACCACTGTATAAACAAAAAAAACATGACCACCTACTTACCTCCAGTGCACAGATGTAGGTCTTGACGTAGTTCAGGAGGACGTTAGTAAAGTGTAGTCCTAGGCTAGTTAGAGCGATTAGGAGCCCGACCTCCATTATTCCTAGCTTATCATCTATCCCAGGACTAAACATTAGAGAGATAAACCTCTATTATTCCTAGCTTATCATCTATCCTAGGACTAAACATGGTTAGAGAGATAAACCTCTGTTATTCCTAGCTTATCATCTATCCCAGGACTAAACATTAGAGAGATAATTCTCCATTATTCCTAACTTATCATCTATCCCAGGACTAAACATGGTTAGAGAGATAAACCTCTATTATTCCTAGCTTATCATCTATCCCAGGACTAAAGATTAGAGAGATAAACCTCTATTATTCCTAGCTTATCATCTATCCCAGGACTAAATATTAGAGATAAACCTCTATTTTTCCTAGCTTATCATCTATCCTAGGACTAAACATGGTTAGAGAGATAAACCTCCATTATTCCTAGCTTATCATCTATCCCAGGACTAAACATTACAGAGATATCTATTAATCCTAGCTTATCATCTATCCTAGGACTAAACATGGTTAGAGAGATAAACCTCCATTATTCCTAGCTTATCATCTATCCCAGCTTATCATCTATCCCAGGACTAAACATTAGAGAGATAAACCTCCATTATTCCAAGCTTATCATCTATCCCAGGAATAAACATGGTTAGAGAGATAAACCTCCATTATTCCTAGCTTATCATCTATCCCAGGACTAAACATAGTTATAGAGACAAACCTCCATTATTCCTAGCTTATCATCTATCCCAGGACTAAATATTAGAGAGACAAATCTCCATTATTCCTAGCTTATCATCTTCGATTAAAAAATCTTTTTCAATCATAGAAACTATTTACAACATACAGGTTTATCCACAAGGGATGAGACTTCAAAGACGACTGTCTGGATTTCTTTTTAACTATTTTTCTGAAAGTCCATGGTTCCCTGCATTAATAATTTTGTTTTATCCAAAAGGATATCATCATTATCAGAATAGCTACTATTTTAGGTTTAACCTGAATTTTATTTAACCTACAAATTGATAAATTGAAGAGTTTTAAGGTCGACCTAACAGTCTCATTCTTTGTGGGCGGTTAAAAAAGCGGAAAGGAATGGAGTTTTTGCCACAAGGCCTGATTTGCTATGCCTATTTCATTGCAACCCAATGGCTAAGACCTTCATGTTTCAAATTGTCAATTCTGTTTGATCAAATAGTCTAAATTTGAAATATCAAAGATTTACATCATCAGGTTGCAAAAAAAAGTTAGGAAATTTGAGATTGCGGCAAAGACTCGATTCCTTTAGGCACTAACTCCCCCCCCCCCAAAAAAAAAATAAATCATAGTTACCTGTTTGCAACATACTGCATGAGAAGTCCGTTACCAAACCTGAAGGGAAGAAGTGGGGGGAGAAGTTGGATTTCGGAGTTGATTCGAGCAGATATATCTCTATACACCTGAAACAAATATGTATTTTAAACCAATATCAACAGACTATGTAGTATGTAAGTTATTACAACTGACTCCTCCATAAAGAAATGGATATGTCCGATTTAACTTACTTTTTTTCTATTTCAAAAATTAACATTTTTTCTGGAAAAGGGACTAAAGTGGATTTCTGCATCAGTAGCTTTGGCTTAAAATGTTAGAATTTAACACTTTTTAAGTCGAGAAACGACGATATTTTCCATAATATTTATCAGATATAAGTTTAGTACACTTTCCATGGGTCAGAATATAAAATATCATTTGTCAAAATTTGTGTTTTAGCTCTACCTCCAGAAGTTCAACTACTTTCCCCTCCTCCTCCTCATCATCATCATCGACATCGTCAAATACTTCAGGGTCCTCCTCATCATATTTATCCTCCCCGGCCATCTGGAGTTCGAACTTAACTCGTCTGCTCCCTTTTCTCATTTCATTTAATCTTTTATCAACAATTAAAACAATTTGTCCATCAGACAATCGACATAAGATTTAGAATATTTTTACAGTTCTTATTTTTTTATTTGAATTTACATGGTTTTTACATTATTTTTTACAGACTAGTAGACATTTTTTAAACCGTCCAACATCAGATTTAGAACATTAATACAACCTTTCACTATGATTTTCACTATCTAGTAGACAGTTTCTTAAACGGATGTTTAATTTAAGAGCATTTATCAATAACCTAACAATTATCGTACCCCGTTCAATTCAGAAATGAAATATAACGTTGGAACAGGTTTCGCAATAGTTTTATAGTCTGGTAGTGTCATTTTTTTAAAAGGGTATTACTTTGAGCAGTGAACCAGAATATCAATCAAATCAGATATAGATAATATTCTTACTATTAATAATTTTTAACTGTTTTTAATCTTTTAAAATTGCAAACAAATACATGCTAAAATTCGGACAAAACCATATATCTTTAAAGAAAGTGATAAAAAAAATTTCAACTCTATATACAGAAGATAAAAAATCCAAATTATCATGAAGTGGATTAAAAAGTCGATGGTAAACAAATGAAGTTAAATTATAAGGATCAAACAAAACTTACAATTTCAATTTTGAAGTAATTTTCTAATCCAGAAATTACATCAAGTAGTATCTTTAAATCCTGATACCATTTCTTCTATCTTTAAATCCGGATACTCTTGGGTGCTCTGGGTTTCCTGGTCTTGGATCTTCCGCGGGACTTACTTCTCATCTTGCGCTCGTAGTTTCCGGGTTGGAGCATGGAGTGCTCCGGGATTGGATACTCCATGGTTCGTCTTTCCAGAGCTGTGTAACCTCCATCTTCGACATCGGAGTGGGTTTGCATGTTGTTTTCAGGGTGTGTTCCAACTCCAGCCTGGGACAGAATTTAATGTACTGGAGAGAGGTCGTTGAACTAACTACCGCTGGTTCAAATCCTGAATCACCAATTCACAGTAAGATTCCTAAGAATTTGATTAGGTGATTTAAGATTTGAACCGGTGGTAGATAGTCCAGCGACCTCTCTAATTCATTAAATTCAGTCCCTGGCTCTCAGATGGTTCTTGAGAATCATTTGCGTTAATCTGCTTCTTCGGTTCAGCTTTGCTCGGAGCTTGCATGGACTTGAACCTGGAACATCGGTATAATTATACTTTGTGAAAAATCCCCCCCCCCACACACCAGGGGATGGGGAATAATTTTAGATGATCTACAGAAAAACAACAATACAATATTTTAGCATCAATTTGCAAGTTTTTCTAACTTTTAGATATTTTTTTTTTACTAAAAATCACTTCAGCAAAAAAAAATTTTGAACAGACAAAGTATGCCAAACATTTAAGACGATAAAATTATTCAAATAAAAGGAGGAGGGGGGGGGGGGGTAAAAGAAAATATAGACCCCTGACCTCACATCAAGCCTTCTCTTCACGGACTCCTTCATGGTCTGTTTCCCTGCTCCTGGTCCAGTTCTCCGGGCATTTGGATCCATTGGGGATCTTAAAGGTGTATCCGTTCTAGAGCTTCGGTTCTTATGATCAAGGTTATCTTCTTGTACTGAAGGAGCAGAGAATAGAACCTTTAAAAATACCAATTGTAAGAAGTAACAACCCTGAGAAAGTAAAATTTAACTGCTAAAATGAGCTCCTCCTCCATTTAATGAAAAGAGGGACCTGGGACATGCCAGATTCACAACGGTACCCTTGAAACCTTCACCTGATTAATAATGTGGAAGAAAACGTCGTTTTTCTGCGTATTTCAAGATATTCACTTGCAAGGGTCATTGAACTCTGTAATTTTTGTACTTTCATCTCTTGGTTTGGCAGGATAACAGAACAACACTAGAGTATATCCCCCCTGCCCCCCCGTTTTTCAATGTCGGCGACTATAAAATTTATCTACAGAGCGGGGGCGGGGGTCGTACTTTCCGGGCTCACGGGGTTAAGGAAAAAAGTTGAAATTCAACCATTGACCAACTGCGTTTACTTTCCAGGAACAGCTACATATATTTCCAGGAACAGCTACATATATTTCCGGTCAACTTTTCTAAAATCATCAATTACAAGGAGAATATTATTTGATGGCCCAACATTTTTGAGCATAAAAATTGGGGGAAATTGTTGGTTGCCAATTTTAGATTATTTTTTTCTGAAATCTTCAAAAATCACTTTTCCTCAAAACCCAAAACAAAGGGGGCTGGTAGGTATCCTATATTAAACATATGCAATGTAAATATCCTTTTTTTTGAGATATTCATTTATAAAAAGCAGGGATCATTGAACCATTTGCACTCCTAAACTTGTATCTTTCTATCCAAGAGGATAAAAGAATGATTAATGCTTGATCTCATCTTTTTTAAATCTCCAGAGCTGAAAACTTTAGAATGGGATATCCTTAATCCCCATCGGTTAATTAATCTGGAGATTAATAACAAGAGGAGAACAAGCATTATTTAATCTCGAGATTAAGAAAAAGAGTGGATCAAGCATTAATCTCGATATCCACAATTCGGGCGGGCATGGAAAAATTCCTGCGTTTGATAAGAAAGGTTTAAGCTATTAATTAACGTGGATAAGCTGACAGGATTAAGAAACAGTCCCAGAGTACTAAATTCTATTGGATATTGGGGACGGGGTGAAGGGAGAGTGGCGGGCACAAATAATTGTTTGAAGTGAAGGGTTAAGGAATTTTTTTTTTCTTAACAGGGTTAAGGAACAGTCCCGGAGTACCAAGTTCGGGGATGGGGTGGAGACGGTCACAAATAATTAATTGCTTAACCCTTCTAAGAAGTGAAGGGTTAAGGAAAAATTTGTTTATCTTGACAGGGTTAAGGAACAAGACTAGATTCTCTGCATTATGCGTGCGGATGGGCAATAGGTGGGCGAGGTGGGCAGGCATATAGTCTGTTTGGTTTGTATTTTCAAGGTGTAAGAGGGTTAAAATACATATAGACAGATAAGGACATTTTAGAAGGATTATAGTAATCAAATATTCCTCTTTAAATACTAACAAACTACTTAAAGGGACTGTGTAGGGGTTATATATATCAAGCAACTCAATTTCCATTTCCGATTTACTCGGCCTTCACTAAAAGCTTTTAAAGATTAATAATGCACACGCACCCCTGACCCTCTAGTAAATTCAACCTAAAGTTTGACCGCGTCAACCTTGTTGCACCGGCTAGTCCTATTGAGTGTCTGCTTTATTTACCCAATGTCCGGGCGATACAGTACAAACTGGAACCGGAAAGGTTGACCCGTCAAATGTACTACGACTGCCCGTGTGCATGAGATATCTATAATTTTATTTTCTCTGGGATATTCGACTATTTTTAACTGTTGTTTCTATGCAGTGACTTACGGATCAGGCCGTGAACTAGAAAGTAGGGAAACGTAAAATTCATGCGAAATTACTGATGTTACTTTGTGACCTTGTAGCTCCTCTAGAACGTCGTGGGATTTTTTCTTTAGAAATTGTTATAACTGAACACATTCAAAGCTAGGAAAACGAAGATTTCTTCCACATTTTTGATCAGAGAAAGGTTTGAAAAGTTATCTTTGTGAATCGGGCACGCCCCTCTTTAAAAAAAAGTGATCACGTGGAATTACAGCTTAATATCGTTAATACCCATGTTTATTTAGCCACCCTGTATACAAATATGTTTTAAAAAGATAAAAGTGCAACCTTGTTAATGATATAAATGAGAAGATTAGATTCTGTTTTCTTGAGTTCAAGAAGAAGAAGGATTCCAACAGTTATCAGGCTTAGGAACAGAATTGGGACAGTGTACCTCCCATCCTCATCAGTATCAGTCCTATAAACATCAGAATATAGGACAGTGTACCTCCCATCCTCATCAGTATCAGTCCTAAAAACATCAGAATATAGGACAGTGTACCTCCCATCCTCATCAGTATCAGTCCTATAAACATCAGAATATAGGACAGTGTACCTCACATCCTCATCAGTATCAGTCCTATAAATATCGGAATATAGGACAGTGTACCTCCCATCCTCATCAGTATCAGTCCTATAAACATCAGAATATAGGACATTTTCATCAATATAATGTCATACACATATCAGAAAATTATAGATACATATAATATAAATAGTCATGGGAATGAAGGAATTATCAGAATTATACACTTTTCATGCTAGAAAAACGAAGTTCCCTTTTACATCATTGACCTATTTCAATGGTACCCTTGTAAACCGTGCATGTCCCTCTTTTTTTATTTTTTTATTTGCGGATCACTTGAAATTTCAACCACAGTCCCTTTGATTTTTTTTATAAAAGTTAATTATCTATTAATACTACAGCTTGTAACTTCCATCCATCCTTAGCCCCGTCCAAAACGTATTTATCAAACAGTAAAAAAGACTTAAAGGGACTGTAAGCGTAATTTTAAGTGACCCTCCATGCAAAGACCACTAAGTCCGATTTAAACGGTAAACTTGAAACCATAATCTGATGACAAATGTGGAAGATAACTTCGTTTTCTCAGTCTCAGTGTTTCTAATATTGTATTATTCCCAATTGTTTTATATAAGCAAGAAATCCATAAGTCACTTTGGCAGAGAAACCGCAAATGAAAATAAACAGAGCTGAAAACTTTAGAATGGTGGATATCGAGATTAATGCTTGATCTCATCTTTTTTAAATCTCCAGAGCTGAAAACTTTAGAATGGGATATCCTTAATCCCCATCGGTTAATTAATCTGGAGATTTATAACAAGAGGAAAACAAGCATTATTTAATCTCGAGATTAAGAAAAAGAGTGGATCAAGCAATAATCCCGATATCCACAATTCAAAAGTTCCCAGCTCAGATAAAATAATGCTTGTTTTCCTCTTGTTATTAATCTCCAGATTAATTAACCGATCGGAATTAAGAATATTTCATTCTAAAGTTTTCAGCTCAGTTCAAAGAAACATGGAGTTCTTAATTCATACTTTATCAGACAAAGCTGATAAGGTTACCGTTGTAAATCAGACAAAACTGATAAGGTTACCGTTGTAAATCAGACAAAACTGATAAGGTTACCGTTGTAAATCGGGAAAATTTTCATCTTTTTATGGATGGTTTACTGAAATCACGCGTACACTTTCTTTAAACCAACAAAATGTGTTTTCTAACCTGTCTGTTACAGGGTCTAGATCGGTTTGTATGATGAAGTAGTCCATAACACAGGTTCTAAAGTAAAACAAAATTAAACTGAAATTAGCTTTTTAGTTGTGTCCAAAAACGTCAAAATAATCCGGGCTAAATTATATCGGATAATGAAGGACCTCACATGACCCTAAAAAAGGTTTATGGACGTTCACAATTTAAAATGTTGATCAAAAAAAAAATTTGGAAATCCTCCAATGAAAACAAAAAATCTGCGAAACCTTTATTTATTAATTGTTATATAATGTAAGAAATGTAGAATAAAATTACAAAAAGTCTACTTATTTTAAATTCCTAAAAAAAGGTACCTTGTGAGAAATATTAAAGGATCTGCTTTGCAGACTTCACATCGGACTTTTCCATTCTTTATTCCATATCCTTCAGTGAGATCAAGGAATATATATTGAATAGGAACCGCCATATTTGATGTGTCAAATCTATGTATTGCACAAAGCAATATTTCTGTCAGGGAGGGGTTAATAAATAGAAATTGCTATCACTAAACTTTTAACATTGATCGAAAAGCCCAAATCATAATTTACATACACTTACTTCAATAACTTTACGATACAAGTTATTTTGGCAGTTCTATAGAACAATTATATTCCTTGAGTAGTATCATCGTCATCATCACAACTAAACTCTCCAAAGACCTCCCATCCGTCTTCTGAAAAGTTAAACCTTTATTAAGCTTCTGTAGCGGAGCGAATATCGAAGAAATGCACCTACAAGATAATTAAGATCGCGCAAATCAGTAGTTTCTAAGACAAAAACATGAAAAGAGCTACTTATCCTTCTTCTGACATATACTCTGATTACATAATCTTCTATATAATAAAGCTCTTTTCTCATGTATATGTTAGCTATGACTGGCCAAACGGCTGGACTGAATTAGCTGAATTTTTTTTAGGAAACATATGTCACTCATGAGTACCCCAGGGTGGTGACATGATTAATTTCAAAATTCGATTTTCCCCCCTCAAATTTAAAAAAAAAAAAATTTATCAGTGTTTTAGCTTTGATTACATATGTGATAACTCGATAATTCTTCTGTTAAAAAATTACTTCTAAACATTTGCCATTCCACATTTAATTGTAAGTATTTAACAGAAAAATATTTTTTTTTTTTGCCGTACACTGTCCAATTTCATCATTAAATTAAATCTTTAATAAAGTAATTCTAACTTTTTCAACGGATTAAACGTTTAGAAAAATTGAGCAAAAACAAAAAATAGTGAAAATACTAATTATTAGTTATGAATGAAATATTAGTTATGACTGAAATATTAGTTATGACTGAAATATTGTTTATGACTGAAATATTGGTTATGACTGAAATATTAGGTATGGCTGAAATATTCGTTATAACTAAAATATTAGTTATGACTGAAATATTAGTTATGCCTGAAATATTAGTTATGAATGAAATATTAATTATGACTGAAATATTAGTTATGACTGAAAGCTTAAAAGATTTTAATCTTAAGTAAAATTTGCTTTCGTTTAAAGTTCTTAAAGTAGTTAACCTGGCAGGATGGTAGCTGACTCCGTGGATATTTTACAGGATAGATTCTCCGGAGAAGATGATTCAAGAGGACAGGTTCGGTTTAATATCTCTTCTCCTAGAACTGTCTCGAGGCTACCCAGACAGTTGAACGCGGAGATGTTTACGCTCTAGAGGAATTAAGTAAAAAATCATTAAATCATGGATAATACGATGCATGTTTTGTCAGACTGTATTGTCAAAATATCATCCACTTATCAAACCACTTATTGCAAGTCGCATTTAATTCCCTTTTTTTATAATTTTCTAATTCCTATATCTTTGCAACCAAATGACGTAGAAATTTAATACTTCATAATATTCATTTTGTTGGATCAAATAATCTAAGTTTAAAATATAAAAGATTTACAACATCAGATTGCGATGATGATAAGAAAATTTGAATTTGTGACAAAGACTCAATTCCTTTATTCGGTTAAAAAATGCATAGATATATGGATTAGAAAATTTGAGTTTCTTGCAAAAACTCTTTTATATGACTTTAATTGAAAGAGAACTGTAGTTTTATAGTTCTTAAAATTTTTTTCAAGATTTACTAAATTTACGAATGAAAAGTTTTCTTCTTCTTCACTTATTATTTGCGCACTGAAACAATCGAAATTAGTGTTTCAGAGCAATTTATTAATAAGTTTTAATTAATATTCAACCTAATGATCCGCATGTTTTAGCAAAACCAGATTCAGTAAGCCAAAATGTTGCAGATCCAACAGATCTGCATCCTAAGCTCCCTGAAACTAGACAAACCTGGCTTACTCCGATGATAACTGTATCTGAGAGTAGACTAACCTGGGTTTCTCCGATGATAACCTTATCTTAGACTAGACAAACCTGGGTTTCTCCGATGATAACTTTATCTGAGACTAGACAAACCTGGGTTTCTCCGATGATAACTGTATCTGAGACCACACAAACCTGGGTTTCTCCGATGATAACTGTATCAGAGACTAGACAAACCTGGGTTTCTCCGATGATAACTTTATCTGAGACTAGACAAACCTGGGTTTCTCCGATGATAACTGTATCTGAGACTAGACAAATCCCTGAGTTTCTCCGATAATAACTGTATCTGAGAGTAGACAAACCTGGGTTTCTCCAATGATAACTTTATCTGAGACTAGACAAACCTGGGTTTCTCCGATGATAACTGTATCTGATAGTAGACAAACCTGGGTTTCTCCGATGATAACAGTATCTGAGACTAGACTAACCTGGGTTTCTCCGATGATAACTGTATCTGAGACCACACAAACCTGGGTTTCTCCGATGATAACTGTATCAGAGACTAGACAACCCTGGGTTTCTCCGATGATAACTGTATCTGAGACTAGACAAACCTGGGTTTCTCCGATGATAACTGTATCTGATAGTAGACAAACCTGGGTTTCTCCGATGATAATTGTATCTGAGACTAGGCAAGAGATGGAAGTAAATACAGTTTTCAGAAATAACTCCACCAACATTTTAGATCTGAAAAGAGAGATGCTATCTTTTTTTTCACTTTTTGAGAGACTATGATCGCATTTTCAAGTGACCCTCCAGTTTCCTTGAACCTTTTTTAAAAATATATGTATATTGTGAAAGATATCGTCGTTTTCTAGATTAAAAAGTGCTTAAATCTGATAATGCCTACGTTGTTTTTCCCTGCATAGAAGAAAAGTTTCTCTCATACTCAGACAAATGGGACCGTTGTGAATCGAAGGATCACATAAAATTACTTTTAAGACCCTTTAACAAAAGCCTGTGCTAGAACCTTAGATGTTTGTCTGATTTTAGAATTGCATTCTTCATAATTTAGCTATTTCGCAAAATTTAATCTGAGGGAAAGTTATTTCTTTTGCGCTGCAGTGTACTGTCTCTGGGAGGTAATGTAAACACAAGACGGATGTCACAGCCTGACATGGGATCCATCTTTTACATAAAAAATCAATGAGATATTCTGGTCATGGGAAACTATTATGTGAATTATCAAAATTTTCAAAATTCAATGCTTTTAACCTCCTCGGACACTGAACGAACACTGGTGACTGATGCATCTATTCTTGTTAACAAATTCCGCCCCGAGAGAACTGGTTTCCTTGCATTATAACCTTGTCCCTAATCAAGTATGAGTTTTTTAAGTGATTATTTTCAATTAAGGTGTCTACACAAAAGAGACTTTTAGTGAAGAATGGATGGTCACTGATGCCATGATTACTAAAAAGAGACTTTTAGTGAAGAATGGATGGTCACTGATGCCATGATTACTAAAAAGTTCACACTTTTCCCAAATTCAATTGGCAACAATATATAACACAAAAAATTATCTCGTGTATTTTAAAAAGTTGTTGAAGGAAATCTCTTGTAAACTTTTCTGCGACCTTTCTTCATCGTGCTTGCTGCAAATATCTAGATCTTTCCTCTCTCGTAGCAATGATTTATGTTGCTTAAGTCTCCTTTCTGAAATATTGGCTAAGAAAGCTCAGGAACTAGCTTTTTCGTAATCAAGAATAAAGAAGAAGAACCGGGCCGGGCTTGGGTCAGTAAAATCCAAGATTGGTTACTCTTGAGACTTTTGATGCGCTCCAATGTACGGAAAATGTCGTCTCTAAAGATAAATAGTTAAAAACCAAATATGACGTCACTCTCGCCTCTATAATCTGTGATGTCGGAATAGACTTTTATCTATCTATCCTAGGAGACGGCATTTTCCACACATTTGAGCGCATCGAGATTAACTAATCTTATTATACAACCTTTGTAAAATTTATAGGGTTTCAAGACCCCAAGTCCGTTCTCCTAGTTCGTAACCAAGGGAATTGAGTTTTTGCCGTAAACTCAAATTTTTTGAATCCCTATATCTGTGCAACCGAATGGTTTAAACCTTTGATATTTCAAACTTAGAATACTTAATCTAACAGAATTCATAGTTTGAAATATCTAAGGTTTACGAGATTGGATTGTGAAGATATTAGGATTAGAAAATCAGAGTTTGTGGCAAAAACTCAATTCCTTCTCATTTTATAGCAATATTCTTGTCAATATTTTTTCCTCTTTACGCCTTATCTATATCCGACATCCGTACTTTCGTTTCAAATCAAATTTCTCACTTCCATTCGTCTTAAAGTTTTACAACAGTCATTATTCTTGCTCTTCGTTCTTGTGACAATGGAATTCCCTATATCTTTGAAACCTGATGTTGTAACCCTTTAATATTTAGATTAGTTGATCCATATTAGAATATATATAATTTGATATATCAAAGGTCCGCGACATCGGGTTGCAAAAGTATAGGGATTAAAAAATCAGAGTTTGTGGAAAAATCTTAATTCCTTTTATAGCAGTATTTGTCCGTTCTCATTCTCAGATCATTTTCATTTTTAACTTCATGTTGGAATCTACAAAAATACAATCTAATTTATGGTTCTACAGAATTAGTTGTAATATTCATAATACACTATCTAAAAATACTACTTTTTACTTAAGAATCTACATAACTATGGTTTAAATGATTTAAAATGTGAAAAACAGTTTAACATAAACATAACATATTTCATAATGGATTCAAAATCAATGTTACATATTACAAATAATAATAAACTTTTAATTTGTTCAACAACTATAAATACTTTTTTTAATTTTCACTTAATAACGAGTTTCATAGATTTACTTCAAATTCCGAAAAACAATATTTGATTACAAATTATCATAAATTAAATTTATCTAATATCTAAACTAAGGTTACTTACAGGATTTTGATTGTAAACTAAATAATTCTTAACAAGAATACATAATAATAACGTAATAACATGTAATAAGGTTTAGAACCCGATTATTTCATCAATCCGTTCTTAATCTTGGCACCACGCTACGATCTAATCAGATGTATATATTTTAATCAAAAATCAATTAAATGTTGAAGAAAAAACTTTGCAGTTGATGTTAATTTTTTTCATCACCCCCCCCCCCTTCCGTATTCAGAAATCATTCTTTAAGCTGCAAAGCTTAGGATCCGGATAATCCGCAACATTTTGGCTTCCTGTTTCCGGGTACAATGGACCAAGGAATTGAGTCTTTGCCACAAATTCTAAATTTCCTATATCTTTCATACTTAATCATGAAAACTTTTGATATTTCAAATTTAGATTATTTGATCTAACAGAAATCTTAGTTTGAAATATCTAAGGTCTATAACATTGGATTGCAAAGATAAAGGAATTAGAAAATCAAAGTTTGTGGCAAAGACTCAGTTCCTTTTCGACTAATAACTGCAAACAATGAGCTTTTGCTCTTAAAACCCTAATCTGAACTGTTGAGAGGAGAGATTATCAAACATATCTCTAAGCGATTCATCAAGAAGAAAAATAATTTTAAAATTCTTCCTCTGTTAAATAATCAGTAAATCTTAAAGAAATGTTGACGACCTGGATCCGGATCTATTTTTTCCAGTGCGGATCCAGGATCCGGATCAGGATCCGCCTCAAAATTTAATGGATCCTAAGCACTGCTTTAAGTGATGGGGTTAATTAAAAAATATATTTATCCCTGAATCTAATCCTCTGGATCTCCAGCTCTCTTGGGAGAGTATGGAACCGTCTGATCCCATGTAGTAATGTCAAGCTCGGAGCTAGTTGTCTCACTGTACAGGATAAAGGACGGATCCGTTCTGCACAACTCAGAACTCATACCTTGAGATCCCTAAAATAGTTTATAATTTTTGAAGATTTTGCTTCAAAATTAGTTATCTGCGTTACCAGCAGAAATAATTTCGCGCTACAACACATATTTATAATCTTTTTTTCCTTCCGCCCTGTAAAACCCTGTGATATTTCAAATTTTGATTATCAAAATTCAAAGTTTTAAATTTATATAAATAACAGAAAAATAGAGTTTATGCTACAAGGTACTTTGTAAAACAGGGAATAAATGATATTAAAAACATTATTCTGCTGAAATATCTGAAGAACACGGCCCTTTAACCCCAAAAAATGTGAAATATATGTCATAAAGTTATATATTAAATTGGAGAGAAGTTATATTTATCTATATCTAAAGCAATCACATTTTCAGGTTTACAACACTTAATTTACAACGACATAATAAATATTAGTTTAATAGAAAAGTTATATTTTAACAAACTAGAAAGGCGGTAGAGTGAAGTGTTTAGCAGTAAGTGATATTGTCAATAGGTAGAATAAAGTATTCGTACAAAAATTATCGTCAAGCGGTACATACTATTGTTAGTCGCAAAGGTACATAAAATTTATTTTTAAATTATTAATTCAAGATTTATCGGGAAGATCATATGATCCCAAGGGATATAAAGTTTTGATCTCAAGAAATATAAAATTTTGATCTCAAGAAATATAAAGTTTTGATCTCAAGAAATATAAAGTTTTGATCTTAAGGAAAATAAAGATTTGATCTCAAGGGATATAAAGTTTTGATCTCAATGAATATAAATTTCTGGTCTCAAGGAATATAAAGTTTTGATCTCAAGAAATACAAAGCTCTCAAGGGATATAAATTTGTGGTCTCAAAGAATATAAAGTTTTGATTTCAAGGAATATAAAATTTTGATCTCAAGGGATATAAAGTTTTGATCTCAAGGGATATAAAGCTATGATTTCAAGGAATATAAAGTTGTGGTCACAAGGAATATCAAGTTTTGATCTCAAGGATTATAAAGTTTTGATCTTAAGGGATATAAAGTTTTGATGTCAAGGGATATAAAGTTTTGGTCTCAAGGGGTATCAAGTTTAGATCTCAAGGAATATAAAGTTTTGATCTCAAGAAATATAAAGATTGGATCATAAGGGATATAAAGTTTTGCTCTCAAGGGATATAAATTTGTGGTCTCAAAGAATATAAAGTTTTGATTTCAAGGAATATAAAATTTTGATCTCAAGGGATATAAAGTTTTGATCTCAAGGGATATAAAGCTATGATTTCAAGGAATATAAAGTTGTGGTCACAAGGAATATCAAGTTTTGATCTCAAGGATTATAAAGTTTTGATCTTAAGGGATATAAAGTTTTGATGTCAAGGGATATAAAGTTTTGGTCTCAAGGGGTATCAAGTTTAGATCTCAAGGAATATAAAGTTTTGATCTCAAGAAATATAAAGATTGGATCATAAGGGATATAAAGTTTTGCTCTCAAGGGATATAAATTTGTGGTCTCAAAGAATATAAAGTTTTGATTTCAAGGAATATAAAGTTTTGATCTCAAGGGATATAAAGTTTTGATCTCAAGGAATATAAAGTTTTGATTTCAAGGAATATAAAGTTTTGATCTAAAGGGATATAAAGTTTTGATCTCAAGGAATATAAAGTTTTGATCTCAAGGAATAAAAAGTTTTGATCTCAAGGAGTATAAAGTTTTGATCTCAAGGAATATAAAGTTTTGATCTCAAGGGATATAAAGCTTTGATCTCAAGCAATATAAAGTTTTGATCTCAAGCAATATAAAGTTTTGATCTCAAGCAATATAAAGTTTTGATCTCAAGGAATATAAAGTTTTGATCTTAGGAATATAAAGTTTTTTCCTTACCAGATCAGAGAGGTCATTCTCTGTATCATTTTCTGCGCCAGTATCTTCATCATTCTCTGTATAATTTTCTGCACTACTATCTGTATCATTCTCTAGGAGAGCGGTGGACTCACTCAGATCTAAAAATAAAGAATTTTTTAAAGACTACTATAAAATCAATTCTCATGACTGGGTTAACCTGAACATGTCGCAACGACTTGAAATTTAATTTTACCTCACTACTTCACTAGTAGGGTTTTGGAGCCCTGTGTAGACAGTAGACATGTACGTACATTTTAGAACTGAAGGCATTAGTTTTAGACTTTAATTTAAAAAAATAAAATTGCATAACACCCATCGATTTTAGCGCGAGAGCTTGTAATAAAAGTCACGCTAAAATCTATCTGAATTTTGCCAAAGCTGAAAATAATCGGTTTGCGGTATTAACATCTTTATTCTTTATGTCCAAGGCTACAATAAAATTTATACAAATCAAAGTAAATTTCACGTTAAGAGATCTTACATGTTGTTAATCATAACTTCTCTTCAGAAAGAGCTTAATTGTACCGGTAATTCAACATTCATGTTTTCCTTTTTCTTATGAATTAATTATATAAAAAAAAAGATAAAAGGAACTGAGTTCTTGCCACAAACCCCGACTTTCTAATCTCTATATTATTTCAACCGAACCTTAATATATTTCCAACCTTTAATTCTGTTAGAGAAAATAATCAAAATTTGAAATATCCAAAGTTTATATATCCATGAGCTTGCAAAGATTAAGGGATAAGAAAATGAGTTCATTAAAAAAATCTCACCTAAAGATGAAGACTGTCGGAGTAATGGCGGAACTTCTTCTCTCTCCGGCAATGGCGGAGAATTCCCCCCTGCTAGATAATAGTTCTCGTCTTGCTCTGGGTGCAGGAGAGAACCCAGCAGTCCAACCTTCTCCTCCACTCTCCGGGAACCCAGAGGGAGCAGAGTAAACTCCGCAGTTGAACTCGGAACCTGGGAGTCATCATCCTTCTCCAGGCTCTCCTGGATCTCCGTGTTTTCTATGCTCCCTGAGAAGAGGGATGGACTGTTTGAGAGTTGGGATATATTCTCCTCGCTGCCCGGCACAGGGCTTTCAGGGACAACTAGAAAATAAATAAATCCAACAAGAAATACTACTAACTAGGGTGTAAACACAGCTTTTCCTGTAGTTTTTTTTTCTATAAAAATCAGCCCACTCAACTTAAATTATGCAACCCAACCAAGCTAAGAAAATTCCCGTGGTTCTACCGAGTTCCTCAATAAAAAATTTAGACAAATTGGTCAAAGGGTTCCTCAGTTATGATCTAACATACAAATAAACAGACAAACAGAGATACAGACAAACTTAATACAAATTATAGATATAGTCTAATGAAAAGCGGTGGGTGGGGGGTGGAAACATTTCACTGCACTGTGACGAATTACTCAGCTAGCTATATTGTAAACAAACAGCATAAGAAACAATTATTGCTGTTGTCCCACTTCACCCAAGCACTGTGTACACATTCAGTGGTACCGTCCAGTCTGACTACCTAGTGTAGAGTAGACCCAGCACGTTTTATGCAACAAAGGCTATGAGTTTTTGTCACAAACTCTAATTTCTAAATCCCTTTATCTTTGATATTTCAAACTATGAATTCTGTTAGTCTAAGATTTAAATATCAAAGTTATATAAAAGATTATTATATTATATTATATTATTGTTTTTCATTCGAATAGAATTTATAATCTAAATTTTATTTTACCTCGTGTTATAACAACTACAGATTCAACAGCAAGAGAATTATCCACTGCAAGATTACAATTATCAAACATTCAAGTTTCAAATATATACTACGGTCATAATCAGATAGAGCCGGAATCAATAGACAATCAATCAGACGACTTAACAAGTTTCAAATATATACTACGGTCATAATCAGATAGACCCGGAATCAATCAGACAATCAATCAGACGACTTAACAATCTAATTATACAAAATTATGATTGAGGAAACGATAATTACTAAATAGTCCTAGTCCTGCTAATTCCAAACTTTGGTCTGCCTTTTTAGAGCATAAATATATAAAGTCGCCTGATTTACTTTCAATTAATTCCGTATCTTTCTAGTTAATTTAAAAATGCAGAGTCACATGACAGATTCGTGACATAATGGAAAACCCTGAAAAAATTTTGTTGTTAACTGATCAGTTATGACGGAGAATATTCTATTTTCCCGCTAGAATTGTGTTTTCAGAAACTTGAGCGTAAACCGTGCTCTCAATTTTAAGATAAATGATTAGGATATCTTAGTAATTCTAAGGTTTAAAGGGCACCGTTGTGAATCGCACAACCGTACTGTTGGGTCTTGTGAATGTATATCTAAATAATTAATTTAAAGAAAAAGGATTGATAAAATTCCTAATTGTTGAAGCAAGTCGTCTTCCTCCTCATCCTCTTCATCCAGACTCTCATCATCGTCATATTCAGATTCGTCCTTCGTATCTTTGTCTTCAAACTGATCCTCGGAGTTGCTTTCCGAAACCTCCGATCTCTTACCTCCAACCTCAGGTTTAGAATTGGTTATCTCCGGATCTAAAAATAACTTATCCTCCGTCGATAAAAGCGGAGTTAATGTTTCCTCTGGTTTATTAACTCCGGCTCCAGGTGGGCGAGCTAGTACAGGATCAAGACTAGTCTCCAGGTCCTGGTTCTGGACCGGGACTTCTCTATCCGATATATCTCGGAGTATCATAGAACATCTTCTTCTTTTAGCCTCGCCATAGGAAGACAAAAACTCTTCCTTAAAACAGGAAAATTTAAATATGTGATTGTACATTAAGAAATTAACTGAGCTCATGCAACAAACTCAAATTGTCTAATCCCTTTGCAACCCGATGTTATAAACCTAATTGATACTTCAAACTATTTGATCCAACAGAAAATATATATTTAGAAATGTCAAAGGTCTATGACATCAGGTTGCTAAGTTAAAGGGATGAAAATATCAAGGTTTACCGCGAGAAGTCGGTTCCTTAGGATTAAAGATTCTAGGTTGAAAGTGAGAGCAAATTTTTAGAAATATCAAAGAACAATTTACCTATAGGGTTGCTTTGTCGCGCGAATTATTTTAAATAAATTATAAAACAATAAAAAGATGTCTTACGAATACAGAGCCCGCGATTTGAAAAACTTTGACTCGAGCAGTAATTCATTTAACCCATCTCTGATGGCAACTTGTGTAACGTGATTGACAGCTGCAAGATCTTCGGCTCGACTTCAGGAGTTAGGCCCAATGAAAATAAAACCGACCTTGGTTGGTTTTAGTGGAGAATACTAGGCTCAATGTTGAGAATTGTTCTTAAAATAACCCGGAATGCGCCAATCCCTACCATGAAAATCCGCCAAATAGAATATTAAACCGTTTTTTTTTAACTCAACTCTGTGGAAAATAAGATGCAGCTTGAATCCAAAAGCTTAAGACCTAACGACAGTTCAGACCCGAGCCGTATTTTCCCTAATTTTTTAAATCGCGGGCTCAGTAGGATCCTCTAAACTTTTTATAAAGTTTATTCTTTTGATGAGTTTATTTTTAGATCCTGGAGGGAAAAAGTTACTTGTAGAAATTATCATTTCGATAAAAAAAATCTAGGTACGGGTGTATTATTTGTTCTTGACCCTATCACGGTTGGGTTTATTTCTTCAAAACCTATACATGGCTTCATGATTGATCACATATTTGGCTAAACTTTTCTTTTGTTGCATAGGGGTTGGAATCGCCCCCCCCCCCCCATCCCCCCATATATTAAACTAAAAAAGCCCAATCGGGATATAGGGTTAAATAAATCCGCTTAATCAGGATTGAACTGACCTTTACACGCGTAGAACTGAAATAATCTCCGGAACATCCCGGAACAGTCCTCTCCATATCCTGATCATGTTTTGATCCTAACCCTTGAACATGTTTTGATCCTGGTCTCAGAGAAACCGTTTCCAGTTCGGTAGAATCCGAGAACCGACAAGACTCCTCAAAAACCGAGAACTTCTCCGGGCTCGTCCTGAGACAGGATTCCAGATCCAGATTTGAGGACTCCATGTCGTCCCTCTCGCTAGAGTTAAGCAGGGATACCTCTAGTTCATTTTCTCCATATTTTCCTCTCCGCCGCAGACCTAGATTTTTTACATTTTAAAATTCAATTATTACATTTTTCAGGAATACTTTACACATGCAAAGATCTCAGCTATAACAATGAAAAGTTGCAGCAATTTTCTAGACTGAGTCGAATTTGAAGTGTCGCATAACTTTGGCATAGCGCCTTATACCTCGCTAACTCAGTTATATTTATGGAGTTCCAGGACATAGACATTTTAGAAATATTAAGAATAGTTTTCAGCGAGTTTAAGAAATAATTTTCAAATTTCTCATAGATTTTTGAGAGAAAGCTTGCAACATTTAGATAACTGTGTTGAGTGACAATATTTCCATTAAGTTCTCAAAAACTGTAATAATTTGAGAATTCAATGTTCAACAAAGGAATTGAGTATTTACCACAAACTCAAAGTTTATAATCCTTCTTTCTATGCACAACGTAATGGTGTAAAGTTTTGATATTTCAAACTTAGATTATTTAATCTAAAAGAAATCATAGTTTAAAATATCTAAGGTAAACGACATTGGATTGCAAAGATATAGGGAGTAGAAAATCAAAGTTTGTGGCAAAGACTCAATTCCTTTAGTTTGAGAGAAGTCGTGCTGTTCCCTATTTGCACAGACAGAACCAGAAAACTGTGGAATGAATTTAATCTTACCATTTCCTTTTACTTCAGGTCACTAATAATAATATACACAATTGGAGCAACTGTGAACTCATATATCTCTTTAAATGTTTGATGATTTTTTTGTGTGGAAATAGTTTATTTGCAAACACAAAATCGGTCAAAATTTTGAATTCAAAAGAAAAAGAAGATCAGACAAAAATTACTGTTTTCTAGTTTTTACTGCAAGCATGACACATAAATTTCACTAGAAGTGAATCATTCATTTGGCATACAGTCTCGTTTTGCCTCCTATAGTCTGTAATTGTACTGTACTGTTTGCCCAAGTTGAAATTCTGCCCGGTACATTCCATGCAAGGAGAATTGAATTCTCCTTGCATGGAATGAGCTGCAGTGTACCATGATGAACAAAAATGTATTTCATTTAAACCATTTTAGAATTCAGCTTTGATATTTCAAACTATGAATTCTGTTAGATCAAATACTTAAGTTTAAGGTTCAAACCAACAGGTAGCAAAATATAGGGATTAGAACATTAGCATTTGTGGTAAAAACTCAGTTCCTTTTATGATCCCATTCTAAAAGCCTGTTCGTCTAAACAAACTTCTTTACAACCTTTTCAAATCTCATGACAGACATATTAATTAGGTTGATGCCCCCCCCCCCCTTTACTCGCAATTTCAGTGATANTTTTAAAGAAGAAAACATATGACATTTGTGTGGCAATGAATAGTGACCTGCTCCTTAACCCTTTCAATTCCGTAGACGGAAATTATCCCTGAAATCTTAAAATCTCGAGAGGGACCATCAAAAATCATGTGCCCTGCCCACCCCTTCCCCGTAACTCTATAAATCCCGGCGGGACGTTGCGCATTATGTGCCCCCCCCCCCTTTCCCCAAGACTCATTAATCCCGTCTTATTCCTAACTCTGAATTGTTCCTTTACCCTGTTAATGAAACTAAAACTTTCCACTTAACCCTTTCAAATTCTAAGTGCCCACCTCCACCAGCTATTCGCTATCAATACAGGTCGACTCCAGTCTTATTCCTTAACCCTGTTAAGATAAACAAAATTTCTCTTTAAAATTCCAGAGCTGAAAAGTTAAATGCGCCCACCCCGCCCGCCCCTTCCCGACTTTACAAGGACTCTTGTCTTGTTCCTTAACCCTGTTTGGTAAACACATTTTTCATATCCCAATTCCCGGGACGATTAATATGTGTGGCCTGTGGTCATCGATTTAATGTTACTGTAACCGGTTGTTATAAATAAAAAAATTTTTTCCCACAAACTCAAATATTCAAATAGTGTAAACCTTTGATGGTTCAAATTTGCGTTTAAAAGATAAAGGAATTGAAAAATCAGAGCTTGTGGCAAAGATTCGATTCCTATACTCTTCTCTTAACCCTTTCAATTCAGGATGAATTGTGCCCCCCCCCCTCTCCCACTTGAAAAGAGACTCCAGTATTGTTCCTTAACCCTGTTGATGTAAATCAAATTTCTTTTAACCCTTCATTTCCCGTGACAGAAATTAAAATATATTCCCCTCCTCCTCTCCCGCTAAATCAATGATATTGTTCCCTACCCCTGTTGGTGGCAAGGTACTGATGCAAGGAAAGTTATTTCAGAGGTGTGCACATTTTTTATACTGCAGTGTACTGTCTCTGGGCGGAAAAGTAAACACAAGACGGATGTCATAGCCTGACATGGAATCAGTTTTCACAAAAATAATCTCTTAAATATTCTGGTCATAGGAAACTATATTATGTGAATTTTCAAAATTATCAAAATTAAATGCTTTTATCGTCCTCGGACACAAGACGAACACTGGTGCATCTATTCTTGTTTACAAATTCCGCCCAGAGAGAACTGGTTTCAATATGTACGCGACCGCAATTTACTTTCCTTGCATTAGTACCTTGTTTGGTGGTAAATTTTCCCTTAATTAACCCTTTCAACTTCAGGGCGGACACATATTTTTAGTACGGCGATACAATCCCACCCCCACCCCACCCCCCTCAACAACACCCACAAGAACTCTGAGCCTGTTCCTCAACCCTGCCAGTAAATCCAAGTTCATTAGCTTTCACCCATTGTTATATAATATAAAAAATACAGGACATTTCTCCAAGCTCCATCCCAGCAGCTGCACCGATTCTGCAAACCCAGTGTTAGTTTCAAACCATTGTGCGAAAATCTATCAAACCTTGCAGTGCTTTCATCATTCCACAAATTTAGAAAACGAAAAACACTAGACTGGGACCATGGGACTCCATTTCTGAAACCTACCTCTGAATAACTAAGCTATCTATATATACTTATGCTGACCGTCTGGTATGGCACCAGATTTATGGCAAACCCCCCTGTCAATCATAAAGTGTGATATCCAGAGAAAATAGTATTATTAGTAGTAAATTGTAAACTTTTATACTGTGTAATGTAATTTTGCTTTAGACAAATATAAATGATGAATAATATATATGTAAAAAATTATCAAATCTTCCAGACTCCGGTTTCTTTACCCAACACCATTTCAATTTATGAAAAATAAAACGTGAGTGAGAGTAAAATACTCTGGGCCTGTTCCTTAACCCTATTAATAAACACGAGTTCAACATTACCCCCTCCCCGAAGCATAAAGTATGAAGGACCATGAGTTATTAACCCTAAACTTTGTTCCGTAACCCCATAGGTTTGGGCAACAAACGATTTGGGGGGGCAGCTCAGCTCTAATATTGTTCTTTTATCCTACTGAACCGAAAGATAAAAGTCCAAAAAGTATAAATAGTGCTATGAGTGAATACTAAGGGGCATGCATACATTTTATATTACTTTTATCAGAGTGGTTGGTTTGGGAAACAATGATTGTTTAAGATTATGGAGAAATCTGAAAAATTTGAAGTTGCATCTCTAATTTTTAATCGAAAATGAACAATTTGCAAATTTTTTTCTAAATAAACCCCCGCCCCCAATTTCGCCCGCATTTTTGTCCAAAAGAAAACAAAAATATTTTTCCATAGGGATAAGGAAGATATAAAAAAATATCTCCTTACAACCAACTTTGTTACTTAACCCCCTCCCCCACTTAAACCACATCAATCCACCGCTGTCCCTAAATCCTGATTGAGTACAGGAAAAATACAAGAAACTAATAAGGTTTACAGTTCTCTTTATCCTTTTAAGCACTAAGTTAATTAATTACAGTAAGAATTTTTTTGAGGTTTCTTCCATCTTATTTTAGTATTCCAATTCTGTTTCTAAATCTTAGTAGATAAATGTCTATTAGCACTTTGTAACATCAAAGTTCCTAAGAGAAATTTTTAAAATTTTCTTTTTTAAAAGAATATTTACATTCTGAGGTGAAACTTCCACACATGTTCAAATTCACCCTAAGGAGATTCTAGATCTCCTAGAAGTCTACCTAATCCTTCTATTTTAAATCCCCCCCCCCTCCCCTAACTTAAATCTTGTTTACTACATTTCCAATCCTGTTCCTATATTCTAGGAGCATAATGCCTATTCGTACTTTGTAACATCGAAATCCCAGGTGAAACAAATCAAACGAACCTGAGAATTTTTTTAATTAGTTTCAAGGTGAAAGTTCACCAAAAGTGTATTAACCCTAGCAGCGTTTCGGATCCGGATCCGGATCCGGTCGGATCCGTATCATTTGGTCGGATCCGGATCCGTAGTCTATATTTGCTTACTACAGTTCCTATCTGTTCCTAAATCCTTGTATATCGCAGTTCGGAACATCAATCAAATCTAGAAGAAAATGTTAAAACATGTTATTATTAGTATTTAAACATCCAAAGTGAAAATTGTTTCGATGAATCCACAAGTAATTAACCCTACAAGTCTTTCAACGGAGGGAGGGAACCCACGGATGCCTCCAAGATTTGCTAGGCAGACCAAGCCTCCGCATGCATACATTATGAGCCTCTGCTATACAGAATAGTTTCCTTAAAACTCATACTTGAATGTGATTTTAAATAAATGTTATAAACCCTAGAGATCCAGCCACATGATCTTGCCCTTATAGACCCCCCCCCCCAGGACTCCATCTTGCTTGCTATAGTTCCCATCCTTTTCCTAAATCCTAGTAGATAAATGTCTATTTGTACTTTGTAACATAAGAACCTAGGAGAAAATTTAAAATCCTTACTTAACCTTTAAGAAAAGTTTAAATAATTAATACCAAGTGAAAGTGATTTAAGAATTAAATCAAATGTTCATTAACCCTAGAAATCTAGCCACATTAGCTCACCCTGCAACCCCCCCCCTCCCCTCCTGGCCTCCATCTTGTTTACTTTGCTCCCATTCCTGTTCCTAAATCCTAGTAGATAAATGTCCATTTGTACTTTGTAACATACGAACCTAGAAGAAAAGTTTTAAATATCACTATTCCAACATAAATGTTTATTAACCCTATAGGTCTCTATCAACCCTTCTCATAAGGGACTCCATTTCTGAAACCTACCTCTNTCAAACGATCACAGGAATTTTCATTCATGGTTCCTTAACCCTGTCCATGCATTTCTTGCACCCCCCCCCCCTTCCAGGCCCTACAACAGAACAACAGAACCCATTTCTTAGATCCTGCTTAGTTCCTAAATCCTGTTGAATGCAGAAGCAGAGAAGATACCGGAGTAATTCGTTTCTTAATAATGTATCAACAAATATTATGGACAATTAAATGACCCCTTTACTTTCTTAACATATTTATATTCTTGTAACAATTGTCCAACTGAACTATCTTTATCACTGGTTCAACGATTTCTTAATTTTAACTTAACCCTTTCCATCTGGAATCTGTTAATACCGGGTTGCGAGGACAGGGTGGGCAAAGTAACTATCATTCTAGCTATCTCTCCTACCCTGACTACGACCAAGTTCCTAAATCCTGATATTTCTCCGTTTAGGACTTGTCATATATGCCAATAAATCAAGATTAATGATGGAAAGATGGAAATGATAAATAAATAAGTATTAAATAATATCTGAATAATAAGAGATTACCCTCTGCTTCTGTTCTGTTGTCCTGATACTATATTCATAAATATTTGCATTATATTGCTATTGTTCTGGCCAATACTTGCAGTTTGTCCTTTTTACTACTAGCAGGGGCGCATTCAGCAGGGGGTGAGGGGGGGGTTTAATTTTTTCTTTTTTCTTAGGGGCTCACCCCCCCCTAAATACGCCTCTGACTAGCATACAGTGTCAAAAAGGAGAGACTGTAAACACGACTTGAAAATCTTCAAATATGACCATCACAAGTTCAATTAAAGTCTTCTACCTTGAATATAATCTTTAAATAGCTTATTAAATGATTTAGCAAACAAGGAAACAAGTTTATAGTAGCATGAAATCATGAATATAAGTAAAACAGACATTATAAATTCCATACAGTCGTCTCTGAAGTCTAATCCTTTGTGGGTTTCACATTAAAAAAAGTATTTCGGTCTGGGTTGACCCTGTACAGTACTAACGGTATATTATAAACCATCAAAATCAATAATACAATTGTGTCTTTGAACTTATCGTACTTTTTGTACTTTCTACTCACGATTTATTAGGATGAAAGAACAGCATTAGAGCTCAACTGTGACCCCCCTCCCCACGTTGTGCTCTGCTAAGCATCATGGCGGCCCACTTTACACTTCAAATAGGGTTAAGCAACCACGATTTCGTCTATTTTCTAATTTTAAATAACAAAGATTTCATGGTTTAATAAAAAAATGTTGTGCGCATCATTGTGACTAGTTAATGACATTCTTTATAAATAATTGGTCACTGGACCAGTGTCTATGGATTCGGATCCGTTTGATCCGCAACATTTTAGTTTCCTTGATCTGGATCTAGATCCGCAAATATCCACGGATCCGAATCCAAGGGGCAAAGGGTTCATCGAGTTTCTGCACAAAAATAAGCGATTTTTTTAAAATTCTTTTGTTTAAAAAATCAGCAAGAAAGAAATGTTCATAACCTGGATCCGGAGCCTTTTTAGCCTAACCACCTGATATACCTGAACTCTCGTGATATGATCTTCTCCTGCTCTTGTATGGAGTAGAGGAGGAGAACCTGAACTGTGAGGTTTCTGTATCCCTGTATCATACAGATGGACATAGTTTTTAAAAATAAATCTAAATAATCAAACTTATTGAACTTTTGTAAGGCTCTACAATCTCCAAAAGAATTTGCTGTGTATCATATTCCAAAAATTGAATTATTATCAGGTGGCTTTATTTAGTGCAACATAAAGCCCAAGCAAACGACTGGTTAAATTCTTGAAAATCCGCGAATAAGAACAGAAAAATCCGCTAAATCTTAGTTTTGCTTTTAGGATGTACTATGAAAAAATGGTGGAAATTGAAGAGCAACATTTGTGAACTAAAATTGTAACTAAAAAAAATGCATAGTTTGAGGTCTATCTAAAATTCGTTTGAAGGACGTTAAGCGTAGTTTACAGTGACCCCCATGCAAGATGGCAAGGCCCGATTTACAACGATTTCCTTGAAACCTTAAAAGAGAACATTCCTTTTAATCTGTTCAAAAATGTGAGTTCTCTAACTCAAGCTTGACCAGGCAAAGATTTTAAAGTATAGCTGTTGTAAATCGAGCATTGCCATCTTTGCATTATTACGGTCCCTTTGAATGTAAAAAATGATGCCCTATAGTCCCTGTATCCTGGACTAGTCGGATCCATCTCATCTGGAACTAACTGAACATTCGTCATTCTTAGATCTTGAAACAAAAACAAAACTTACAGAAGAAAAATCAACAAAAACGAATAATTTACAAACAAATATAACTTATCTGAGTAAATAAGACACAAAGTACAAAAATGTTTCACAATGTTAGAATTCTTGTTCTTTGCATCAAGATCAAAAATCTAACTGTACATAAAAAAATCAACCAAATTACAGAACAATTTACAATTTACATACAAATGACATCTGTTTTATAGCAAATGAGACACACACAAAGATTTCACACTTTAGCGTTGGAACAAACTAAAAATGTGTTTCAGTACAATTCTCTGTATACTTTACAGAAAAAATCAACAAAATTTACAAAAATATTTTAAACAAATAATAAGACATAAAAATAATATAGCAAATAATCAAAAAATGGAATCTTTTTTTAAAAATGACTATGATTAAACCAGTTTGGAGATTGGGAAAGATGGATTCAGGAACCCGGAGAAGGTTTTGAAACTTGCTATAGAACTGTTTCCATGTTGAGGAAAACCGTCCTACACTTTATACTTTTCCGAGCCTGAGTAAAAATGTCCTACTCAGTCTCCCAAGGTAGAGTAAAACGTCCTATTGTTTCCCAAGGTTGAGTAAACAAGTCCAACTGTTTCCCAAGGATAAGCAAAACGTCCTATTGTTTCCCAAGGTTGAGTAAAAACGTGATGTGTTCCTGTGAGAACGCGTCTGTTATCTCGCCGTTACAGTACCCACACTTTTTCTCAAGCCGGCACACACCCGAATACCTGAAGAAGAAACTTTCAGCTTTTAAAGTTTTCTTTATCTTAGAATTGAATTAATTGGGGGTTTGCGCAACCGCAAATAAAAATATTTAGATTAAATACACTTTAAAAGTTAATTAAACTCCCCCCCCCNATGATTAACAGATGTCTAACCTGATACAGGAGGGGGAGGGGGGTTCTTATCTGTAAAACATATATGATTAACAGATGTCTAACCTGATACAGGGGGGGGGGGGTTATCTGTAAAACATATATGATTAACAGATGTATAACCTGATACAAGTGGCAGAGCAAAGGAGTTGATAACACTGTGTACACCAATAATGTACTCCGGAACCAATCATTTTCCCGCACTTGCACTCCAGAGATCCTGATAAGAGAGACCTTCGTGTTTCCATCTCTTTCTTTAGATCATCATTCTGATAGCCTAGCTTTATATTCTCTCTTCGCAGTTCAGCTAGCTCAGAATACAACTTCTCCAATTTATATAGTATTTTCGACTGCCCTCCTTCATTAAAGTTGGACTCCTTTGTCAAAATGTCGATGTAATGTAAGTGACCCTACATTAGAAGAGTTATTCTCTCAACTTATTATATAACAGTGGCCTGTAAATATGGGTTTTCTACGTTGGTAGGCGATTATATCAATATTATGAAGAAGACTTTCGATTTCAATTTTGATTTATATCTTAAGCTTTCATTGAACAGCATGGATACACCAAAAAGAGAAAGAGAAGCTGTCAATTTGAAAAGCTTCTCTTTAATTACTAGTAAACTTGTAATTCGAAAAAAGTTTGTTAGCAATTATAAGTTAAATAAAAAAGTAGTTTTCATTATACTGATATAATTTTAAATCTCTTTTGCTCAAAACCCCAAGTCACCTTTTACAAGAACCCGCAATTTAAAATAATCAATAATTAGATAGAAATCAAGGATATTTTCATCAAGTTTTTGGCTATAAGGGTTCCTAAGTAGGGGTTTACATTAAAATACAAAGACAGTTCCTTTATTAGATGATCTTGAACTCGTCCCTGTTTCCTCATTTTATTCTTGATAAGTATTCCTGTTGGAGTTTTCTTAACTGGCTTCCTCGGGAAAGGATCTTTCTTCTTTGACTTCTTTTTGTCTCCTGAGTTGTTCAAGGCTTTAGGTCCTTTAGCAGACCTAGTCTCCGTTCCAAAACCATTTCCGGATACATGACTATCTCCATGTGCTTGATAGTTTCCATATTCAACAATATCTCCAGGCTCAAGTTTACATAGATCTTCAAATGAATCTGCATTAGCTTCTTCAGATAGTGTTCCTCCTTTTGTAACAAAATCGACATCATTAGAGATCTTCAGGGCTCCGATGGATTTTGATTCAATGGCTTCTGAGGTTCTGTCTAATTCGTCTAATTTAGCATCTGAGGTTGAGACACAAAGATCTAGAAATCTGTCCTCGAATCCCTGACAAGAAAATGTTTTGTTAATATTAACTTTTTTCCAGCAAAATTGTTATTATTTATTTAGTATTATTTTATGGTTAGGTTAGGTTAAGACATCGCTATGGCTAGAACAGGCTAGGGGCCGAGGCTAGGATAGGATATGAGGCCGCGCACTGCGGCCTCATGTCTAACTTTGACTATGTGTAACATATGAGCTCTATGTACAAAATTATAGGAGGGGGAGAGGGCAATTGCGTTCAATACTAAATTAACGTTAATTTAGACGAAAAATGCAAATCCTCGTTTTTGCCAAATTGCGCGATGCAAACGTTTTCGTTTTCACCTAACATAGACTTACATATGTTAAGACTCAATTTAAATGTTCAATTAACTAACAGTAAACAAGCCTCACATTTTAATCTCTTTCGAGATTTAAACTCAAACACTGTACTTTACACTGTACAGTGTACAGATAGATTAACTTATTAAGGTCAGAAAGTACGAACTTTACGTGTAAATGGCGGGAATATATCAGCTGATCAAAGATGCTAAATCGATTGAACTAATGTTCAGTTGCACTACTAAAAATTTAACTTTTTAGTCGTAATTGGAGCACTGCAAACAAATAACATTAAATTTAACTAAGCTCAAATGCATAAAAGTTTTTAAACAGTGCTAACCAGAAAACAAAGGGATATAGGAATACGACATTACTGCAGCAATACAGCAGTATTTCATGTTGTTACAAACCAAAATGTATTGCAAGACACTAATTTGATGAATTGGGTCTGTTTACGCTGCACAATTTAAGTGTCTCGTGGTCATTCGACATTTTTTAAAGCTATAATCTTGATTCTAGCAATCGTCTTCCTATTTCAGAGTTTTCTGGTTGTCACTGTACACTTTGAATCATTATTATGTGACCCCAGCGCCCGCAATTCCATTGCAGCTGTCCTAAAAGCTGTCTATAGCCGCGGCGCTCAGCCAGCTCTAGTCTGTCATATATTGCAGCGCTCGGGCGAGACATTGTCACATTTGTTCATGAATGTACCTCAAAATTTGATTTGTAATACTTAAAAAATGTATGAAATATACATGTTCAAATGAAAAACTTTTTCTTCATTTGGACTAATAATATGTGAACGTATAGTTCAATCTATCATGATTTGTTGAATTATGTCGACATCCTCCAAAAAATAATAAATATACGATGTAAGATAAATGTCATAATTTTGAGGTTTGAAATTCCCTTTTAAAGAAGAAAACATATGACCGTTAGCTGGCTTACGAGAGCATTTGTGTGGGCACATTAGCGCAAAATAAAAATGTTGTGCCCCCCCTTTCCTACATTTCACTGTGGTGTAAGCTTCTTAATTGGGGTTAAAAATAAAGATGGAAAGTTACCTAAAAAATATTCACATTTTCACAGGATTGATACATATTGTATTATACATAATCAAATATATATATTTACACTGAATTGGCAGAATTTTTTAATGAAACTTCTTTAGTTAAGGGCAAAAGTGTGATTTTAAAGTATGTTTTATTATATGATGTAATTATACTTATTGGAATACATGCGTAATTTCATTTCATTTGTAGAGTGGCATGTTCGTACCAGACTTTGAAACCTTCATTTCTCCACCGTTTCTGAAGCTGCAGAAATGCATAAGTCACTTTTGTAGAGAAAACACAAATAAAATCAGAATATAGTTATTTCGTTTCTTAATCTTTAAGTTTGGGCATGAGTGCAATCCAATGTAATGTAGAATGTAGATTGCCTGAGGAAGGACATGCAATTCAACTCGAACGCCCCTGATGACCGTTAATGATTATCTTTTTTTTAAATATATAAAGTATTACAAGTATTGTAAGTAGTGCCCAATCGCTAATGGTTTCAATATTATGTTCAAAATTTTCCTGCACCCCTCTGCTAGCCATTTGAAACCACTGCGAAAGGAGTGAATTTTTCGAGCTATGAATGACGCAGGGAGCGAAATATGTCCAACTTACCAATATTGTTTGTAGAGTTGATCCTGTAGTCTCAACTAGAAAATCATCTTCAATATTTTCAAGTTCAGGATGAGAAACGTTCCAGGACGTTTTGAAGTCGGCAGGAATGTCCTCTGCCGGGAATGGAATAAAGATCCCCAAGGTTTGATCTAGATTTGGTGAACTGCACTTCTCCAAGAACGGATTTTCCTTGTACAAGAACGGGTTTTCCAAACTCGGATACAGGAACGGATTCGAGTTTGCCATTTTAGGTTTCTAGAGAGTAAACAACATCTTTTTTACATTTAGAAAAATGGGGACAATATGAAAAGAGACCGGAAATCTTAAACGGTTGATCTCGATATCCAATATGGGCACTTTTAATTTAAGGATAAATGATTGACTCCTTCATTAGAATTATCCCTGCAGGGTATGATTAACAAGGGGATATAAAAAAGGATATTACTCCGGAAGCCTTTACAAATTGGAAAACAAAGCTTGATCCAAAAACTTTAAAAAATGAAATGAAAAACTGTCAAAAATGTTTTGACTAAAGATTCTAATAGTATTGATTATAAGGGTGAATCACAAGATATTCAATTCCATTTGTAAGTATTTTGCATTAAAAAATTGAAATATTGAACAATCTTTTCAGAAGAATATTTTTACAAGCAATTGTAGATAGGTATGTTGAATACTGGATGATAACTAGTTTTAGAACTGCAGAAAAAAAAACTTCCAATTTCGATTGATTTACATTTTGAAAAAGAAAATTTTAAATGGTTTCTGATAAGATACCCTTTTAAATTAGAATTTTTTAATTTCTTTCAATTCAATAGATTTATTGTATCAATAAGACAGTTGGAGAATAAAGAATATTCTTTATAAAAACAATTTACATGAAAAATTATAGTTTGAACAACATTAAATCACGAAAAATGTTAAAAACTGAAAGTTTCTTCCCCATAGTGTCCTCATCTGCCATATTAAGCTAATTATAATTAATAATTATTGAAAACCTATGTGGGTTTACACAACTAAGGAAAACATTAACAATCATTATTTCTTTTAATTTCAAACTGATTTTTGAAGAGTGAATAACTAACGATTATGCTTGCTGTTTCCATGTCTCTTAATACCCTGGGCTGTAGTTGAAACATAGTCACAGTGAGGGCATGGGTATTTCACTCCTTCATGTTTATTTTTAACACGAATCTTCAGACTACTTGGTGTAGTTGCAGCATACACACAGTGAGGACAAGGATATCTTACCCCTTCATGTTTAGTTTCAGCATGTTTCTTCAAAACACTTGCAGTGGTTGCCGCATATTCACATTGCAAACAAGGATATCTCACTCCTTCATGTTTAATTTCTACATGTGTCTTCAGTTTACTTGCTGTAGTTGCAAAATAATCACATTGAGCACAGGGATATCTCACTCCTTCATGTTCACGTTCAACGTGCCTTTTAAAATTACCTGCTTTAGTTGCAGCATAATCACATTGCAAACAAGGATATCTCACTCCTTCATGTTTAATATAAACATGTGTCTTCAGTTTACTTGCTGTAGTTGCAAAATAATCACATTAAGCACAGGGATATCTCACTCCTTCATGTTCACTTTCAACATGCCTCTTCAAATTACCTGCTGTAGTTGCAGCATAATAACATTGCGAGCAAGGATATCTTACTCCTTCATGTTTACTTTCAACGTGAATCTTCAAACATCCTGCTGTAGTTGCAGCATAATCACATTGCAAACAAGGATATCTCACTCCTTCATGCTTATTTTCAACATGAGTTTTTAGATGATGAGCTCTGGTTGCAACAAACTCACAATTGTTACAAGGAAATCCTACTTTACTCCTCTTAGTTCTTTTCAGATCTGGTTCAAATCCTTAAGTATTTAATTGTTCACTTGTGCTAAACATTACATATTATATGTTGGATATAAATGAATTATAAACACCAAAACAGCCGAACTGATCCGGCCCAAATTTTGTGGAGACCTCACATTACCCAGGTAAGATTTATGGTTGCTAAAAATTACAAAAATCTGTGTCCAAAAGTTTTTTTGTCAAATTTTGAAAATGGCGAAAAAAATTGTGAAATCTGCAAATGTTATTTTTCTTTTTCTTTTATATTGTACAAAAAGAAGATGCTCACAGTTTTAGCCACAATTAAAAGTAGAATGGCTGAAAAATGGCAGTTTAATTAAAAAATATGATATTCTTACCTACTCTTTGAGTTCTCTCTCTCCGTTCTGTCCTTGGTTCTTCATTCTTCCGTCCTAAGGGCCTTCTAGGTGAAGAACATCGACCTCGTCCTCTTCTTACCGCTCGTCCTCTTCCTCTAGACATATCTCCTTGTTCAGAATTAGATTCAATCTCCTCCTTATCTGCTAGAGTTCTCACTCTCTGTCTTGTCCTTGCTCCGTCATTTATTCTTCTAGATGAAGAACGTCGACCTCGTCCTCTTCCTGTAGACATATCTCTTTCAATCTCCTCCTCATCAGTGATCATGTTGAATATAATATTCTATATTTCTAAAAATATGCAAATTTTTATTTTATAATATATATATATATTACTTTTTATATAAGCTTAGAAAAATTTTCATTGTTCATTTTGAACAATTGTTGGACAGAGTGTTTCATGTCATTCTTCAGTATTACTTTTTATATAAGCTTAGAAAATTTTTTATTGTTCATTTTGAACACTTGTTGGACAGAGTGTTTCATGTCTTAAATTCTTCAGCAGCATTTTCATTAAAATAATTGTGGATTTTTTAACAAAATGATATGGTTTAAAAGTTACATATTCAAGGATGCAGTATTATAGAAAATATCACATTTATTCATAATTTCATAAATTTTATAGTTACAACTTACACGACATACATTTTACATTAAAGATAGCATTTCATTTTTCTCAGAGAACAAAAATATCTGTAAATACAATTTCATTTATGACTATTTATATAAATTTGTTATAAAAATAATAATTATATGGCTCAAAACATTTTTCATTTCAAATAAATCACATATCTACATTCTTAATAAATCATTTAAAAGGAATTTAGTCTTTGGTACAAACTCTAAATTTATAATCCCTATATCTTTGGAACCCAATGTCATACATCTTTGATATTTCAAACTAATAAAAAGAATTTTTAAACAAAATATTTTTTATTTTCGTAGGGATAAATGTTTTTACAGGATTTACATATAATTCACATTGTTTTAAGATTACAAAAGATGGTTTATAAATATATATGGGCTTTAATATCAAAGCAGTTTACATTGTTATTCAGATTTTAGAACAAAAACATTGGTTTATAGGATATACGAGTCTGAAATATTAGCATGGTATCAACATGAGAATAGTTTGTGCATATTAGAATCAGGTTTAGGTTACTCTGTTACTCGAGTGGAAAAGGTGCCACTCTTTCACAACATTTCCTGCTTTAGAAGATAAACTTTAATAAATATTCAGATTTGAGACTAATCCTTAAATCATTTATACTTCAGATTTTAAGCTCAAGTTAGAGCTTACTAATAACGTCAGTTATAGATTATTATAACCGTGCTGGTAGACCTGTTTTTGCTTGTTCAATGGATTTATCCAAAGCCTTTGATGTTGTTTCCTGGATACAGTTATTCGAGGAAGTTGAAGATAGAGAAGTATCTCCAGCTGTTCTGAGAACATTATTATATATATACAGAGGACAAACATACCAGGTACAATGGAACAATAGTGTATCTAGACTTTTTAAAGTTTACAACGGTGTGAAACAAGGAGCAGTTTCCTCTCCTATCCTATTTTGTATATACATGAACAAATTGATATCAAGATTGAGATTTCATGGCAGTGGATGTCAACTAGGAGGAGTTTTCATGGGCATATTTATATACGCAGACGACATTATATTGCTTGCTCCTAGTAGAAACGGTTTACAAAATATGGTGAAGATATGTAAACAATTTGCAAACTTATTTTCAATGAAATTTAGTACTAACAATGTAGTTGAAAGGTCTAAGACTAAGTGTATAATTTTTACAAAATATCCAATCGATACTGTAAACGTTTTGCCCATTTATCTTAATGATGTACCATTACCATATGTTGATCATGTAAAACATCTTGGATGCACGCTACAAACAGATAATTCATTTACTCGTGATATAAATCAGAAACGTGGACAGTTTATTGCTAAAATTCATTACTTTGCAGATTCAACAGTTTTGATTAAATTATATAACCTGTATGCAACGAGTATTTATGGATCCAATTTATGGAATTTATTTTCAAATGATGTGTTCAGAATTTATTCGTCTTGGAACACTGCAGTTAGAATTGTGTTTAAATTACCAAACACTTGTCATAGATATTTTATCGAACCATTATCACAGTCATCTCATTTAATGACCATGTTCTGCAGTAGATTTGTTTCTTTCATTTCTTCATTAGAAAATTCGTCAAAAATTTGTATCAGACTTTTGATAAATCTTTTAAAATTTGATCAAAGGTCAGTAACTGCAAAAAATCTGAGAAATATTGCAGACAAATGCAACAAAGATTTGAATATTATCGACAAACGTATTGTAAAAAATTGTATGATATTTCAAGAAATACCCTTGGAAGAAGAATGGAGGATTCTATTTTTAAATGAATTAATTTCTGCAAAAAACAATAAGATTGTTATCAATGGAGTAGACCAAGCTGAGATTGACGATATTATTAATTTTTTATGCACGACCTAATTACAGTATGATTTTGTTTCTTGTATTTGTATTCATTTTTGATATATACTCTTATAGTTCTTTGTTCTTCTGTTTAATTGTACCAATTATTTAAATTGTGTAGGTTTTCGAAATAAATAAAAAAATAAAATAAAAATTACGTGTTTGATATATTAGCATTTTGTCAACATGGGAAAGTTTGTGCATATTAGAATCCATGTTCGAAAGTTCAGGTTTCAGTTACTCTGTTACTCGAGTGGGAAAAGTCCCACTCTTTCACATTTCACAACATTTCCTGCTTTAAAAGATAGACTTGGCGCCGTCTTCTTCTTTCCAGCTTGGCAGAGAATCCGATCGGTGATGAGTGTGCAGTTCGCAATCTAATATAAAATTTGATCTAACAGAATTCATAGTTTGAAATATCTAAGGTCTACGACATTGGAATCCAAAGATATAGGGTTTAGAAAAGCAGAGTTTGTGGCAAAGACTCAATTCCTTTAGCTTAAAAGTTCTGAATAGTAACCAAAAGTAAAAAAATACAATATTATTTAATTCTCATAAATTTTTAATTTAGAGTTATCCTAAAGTTTTTAAAACAATTTATCATTTTTAACTATTTATCCCTAAAACTCACATTTGAGTTTACAACATGAATGTTGAATTAGAGATCAAGTGTTTATTTTCATTTGCGATTTCTCTGCAAAAGGGACTTGTGCATTTCTTGCTTACAAGAGGCCAAGGAGAAAATAATAGAAATATACTTTTATAAGTCAGAAAAACAACGTTATCTTCCACATTTTTGATTAGATTAAGGCTTCAAGGGTACCATTGTAAATCGGGCATTGCCATCTTTACATCTTTAAACACAAGTAATAGTTCTCACATGAGTACATCTGATCCTCCATAGACGGAGGGACGAAATCCGAGTTCCTATACATATCTGTATCCAGGTGCATCTTAGCACTGGACACTCGTCTTGGACGGAGCAGCGAAGATCTCCACAAAAACAGGGGTAACATCATTCTCTGCAACCCTGGCATTGGTTTCCTTGAGCTCCGGTACTAATCCTACTTCAGGTTCCAGTGTGCTGGTTTCCACTGGTACTGTGAGCTAGTGGAGAACTTGAGATTGTTCCCCATCCTTCTCTTATTCCTCCTCCTCCTCCTCCTCCTCGGAAAGATGGTTGAGAATTCCCTACAATAAGTAAATTTTGATTAACTCATTTATGAACAATTAAAGCATGTTTAGGGCTTTAGATATATTTGCTAGTTACTTAAAAAAGACAATTTAATTACATCTCCAGCTTTAAACCCGCCTAAACAAGTTAAATACAAATAATTTAAAAGGAGCCCAAGTTAATTACAGACAAATTTTGATTTACATAGAAGGGAGATTTCTAAAACTTATTAAAATATGAATTATTTTTTGAGGGACTGTAAGCGTAATTTCAAGTAACCCCCTATTTAAAAAAGGCATGCCCGATTCAAAACATTACCCTTGAAACCTTTTTATGGTCCATAATGTCAAAGATAACAGTTGGTTTTCTAGTTTTAGAAGTGTTAAATTTTGATTATTAATTGTTTTTTCTTTCCAGTAGAAATGTCACTTTTGTAGAGAAACCACAATTGAAAATAATCATTTTTAAAATTAATAACATGGTTTTCTACTTTATACTTGATCAGATAATTTTTTTAAGCTCGGGCATCTTTGAGATTCAGACATGCAACTATACGAATGGAAGGTCATTTTAAATTACGTTTAAAGACCATTTAATGAGACAAAAATGAAACATTGATTGCAAATCTGGTTTAGACCAATTGACAATACAATCAAGGTTTACATTGAATGTTCAAGAAGTCCTTTAGTTCTTGACGACTATCAAAGTTGCATATCATCAGTGCTGAGATCAATTGGGTGTTAACCATTGTAAATTGTTGAAAGCAGCACCTATTGAAGGTCACTCACTCACTCAAAACTTGATTCTCTCTTGCGGTCAGAAATAAAGTGAGTGTTCTGGGTTACCTGAATAGTTTCTCCGAACTCATCTCTGTCAGGATATCGTAGGAGAAGGACATATCCTTGCTCTTGTTCAGGACGTGACTCATCTCCTAGCAGTTATGAGTACAGTTGGAGTTTGTTCAGTCATCAGGTTATAAGAGCCCCAGAAAATTTGAAAAAGTTCAATTTCTCAAAAGCCAAAAAATATGAAAACGGATTAAAGAATTCCTTTTAAATCTAAGAGAAAAGGACAATTTTCTGCTGATTTATGTATGAAAGAGAACTGAAAAACTTAAAATTAAGTCCTGGAAATATTTTGATTTTACTACAGTAGCTTCTTTTTGCTTCATTCTGACAGTGATTATGTGGTATCTGGGAACCACAAATACGTGCAATAAATGATATCTAAAATCTACACTTAATAAGATTTATACAAGTACTTAAACCTGTTTATATCTATTATGTGTGTAACCTGGCATTACAATACTTCAGCTATCTCCATATGTCGAGATAGCTTTATATGTTTAAATGCACGTACATAAATAACACCCTAGTAATAAAATCATTCACATGTACAAGTATATTTATTGATACATTTAATCTTACATTTATAAATGCGTACTTACATATCATGTACATAATAATAATAGCTAAACATAAACCTTAGATCCCTTGGTAATGTTAAGGTTTCCTAGGTTGTTCTATTATAAGATCATTAGAGATGATATTATTGCGTACAGATAAGATCAGTATGTTGATCAAACCTTCTACAATATATTGATCTTCTCTTTTCCAGGTTTGCTGGGTTACACGCTCCTTCATCTTCTGGAGCAGGTCCCATACCTGTCTATACAAGCGAGAGATAATGTCACTCCTGCTTGCACCTGGATAGAGACTGAACTCTCTATCCCAGGCCGCCTCTGTGTCCCACAGTTTATCATCGGGGACCACTAGTGGCTGACCAGAGTTACTGCTTCCCTGCATGGTGGAGTTGAATGCTTGTATCTTCTCCACAATCTCGCCTAGGAAGTTGTACATGTCTTCCATCTCCTCTCGTCCTCCTTCAGCTCCGCCTGCCACAACTTCTACATCTGCTTCTTCATCTGCTGAAGCAGGGACAGTGATGATGGGGGCGTTCCCGCTCACGAAGGGGGTGACGTCTGCTGGATCAACTTCATCTCCATCTAGTTCCAGCTCTCCAACAACAGCATGGTTCCTTATTATGTTGGGAACCTGGTTCATCTTCTTCAATGTAGATCTCGTCCACAAGGATACTCTCTGTAAGCTTTCTGTGCGCTATATGTAGCACAGGTCCCTGGACGGCTATGTGCAGTGTGACTTGTGTCTACGCTGCAGCGGTCCGGGATGTACTGACTCATCTGGCTTCCTGTTGGATTCAAGGGACTGTTTGCTCATATACCAAACAATCCGGAATACAACAATTAGCCAACATATGAATTTGTAATATATTTTCTAAAACGTAAATAAATTCATCCTGAATTGTACATAAATAAATTACCTTGGTATACATAGACTTGTTAAAAACATCTTTCATCTGTTCCATGAGAATAGGTTAAACAAACTCAACCATAAATCAATATGATTAATAATGTAATAATATAGAATTGCATAAACTTTTCTTAAAAAGACAGTGACTCCCTCCCCCTTAAAAAAAACCTTGTAATGGAATTTGTAACATTTCATTTTTATGTAATACTTAAATAAATACATATGTATCTACATGACGTAAAAAATCAAAAATATTATTAACTTTGGGGCAGTTTAAAAACTTAGGTTTCCGAAGAAAATCTCATGTTACCTAATTCGTCTGCGTGCTTTCTTCTTTCTCGTAAATGTTAGATGTTAAGACAACATACACAATCTGGTTCTCAGTAAAGTTAATAGATCTGCTTTCTCTTTTCTTAGGAGTATCTTTAGATCTTTCTTTCCAGCATCAGAGATCTTCTTCATAGACTTTCCAGCATTAGAGATCTTCTTCATAGACTTTTCAGCATCAGAGATCTTCTTCATAGACTTTCCAGCATCAGAGATCTTCTTCATAGACTTTCCAGCATCAGAGATCTTCTTCATAGACTTTCCAGCAGTTTTTATTTTCTTGGATTTCCTTGTATTCTTTATCGGTTTAATAGTGTTAGTAGATTCCTATTAATACAATAATTAATGTAAGAATAGAACATTTTAGGTTTAATTTAGTTTTCTAATTGGAAAATCAGCAACTTTTGAAATTAAAATGCAAAATTGGAAAATCAGCAATTTCTAAAATAAATATGAAAAATTAAAAAATCAGAAACTTTAGAAATTAATTTGCAAATAACATACATAATATATATCGTGGGGTTTTAACAGGATAAAAATGTTGTTTTACCTGGTCTGACTCTGTGGATGAATCTGATCCTGAACCATAACTAGACACCTTAACATGGTTCCTTTTCTTTTAGAAAACATACTTTCAGTAACATTTTAGTTTTCAATCTAGTTTTCAAAATGTCTGTGCCCAAATATGTTAGTTTGTTAACCAAAATAATTTAGAGTTTTCTTTTCAGCAGTGCTTTGGGTCCGCATCCATTGAATCCGCAAAATTTAAAATTTCTGTATCCAAAAACTGCAAAAAAAAACATTTATACTCTCAAACTCCAAATCTGAACGGTTGAAAAGAGAGATTATAAAAATGTCCTGATCTTTGTATGGTTCATAAACTTTAGCATAAAAAAGAAGTAAAATAATTTGACAACTATGCTCTGTTATACCAAATCTGAATCCAGCGGATCAAAATTAAATGGAACCTTAGCACTGATTAAGAGTGAAACTATTTCATCGAGAATATCAAATCCTTTATGCACTAGCAAAAATGTACACAGCAGTAAATTATAAGCAACATTTGTATAAGAAGAAATATAATCCTTGTAAGATGATCTCCCTGTACATCTCCAGCTTGTCCTCAATGAGAAGGCTGGTGGGTCCCAACCTCAAGGGTTTCCCTTGCCTTGTTTTATTTCTCGTATGCAATCCCTCAACGACCTTCATATTTTCTGAAAATATTTGAAAAAATTATAAAAATTGACATAAATGACATTACGAGAAAAAAATAACAGATGAAGGAAAATAAACTTGTAATTAAACACCACTAAGGTAAAGTATAAAGTGATGGTGGTTCAGCTGGGTCAGACTATGATGACCCAGGGCTGTGGCTAGGTAGGATAGAACAGTAGTTCAGATTTGCTTGTTCAAGGCTAATCCGATTGAGCTATTATGTAAATTGTTAAAGTGACGCTGTAGCTCAATTGTTGTCATGAACTTCTTCTTACATTTGCTACACTCTTCTGGATGGTTCCGATCATAGTCTTTCTGTTCTAGATCCCAGTGCTTTGGGTGTTTACTCTTCACATGGGATTCTAGGTGTTTACTTTGTGTACAACCATAATCACAGTACTTGCAGTTGAAGGAGTATTTTCTCAGATGAACAGAATTTATGTGGGTATATAAACTAGATTTTTGTGTTGCTTCATACTCACACTGCAAACAGGGATATTTGATTCTATCATGAACGGTTTTCATGTGAGTGATTCGAGAACTAGAATGTCCAAAACGTCGATCACAAATGGTGCACTTAAAGGGCTTCACTAAATCATGCACCATGCTAATATGTCTTGTTAGGTCACTAATTTGATTGAATCTCTTTCCACAAAGCGAACATATAAAATCTTGAATTCTTTGGTGGATGGTTTTGACATGACGCATGAGGTTGAACTTAATAGAAAAACTCATTTCACACTGTGAACACGGGAATGTTGAATTTCGATGAGTCTTCATTTTGTGTCGATTGAACTTACTTCTTGAACTAAACACCTCCCCACACTCAGGACAATTAAACTCGCCGTGAATACTATATTCATGATGTTTCAAGCTCTTCTCGGATAAACATTTTTTATTGCAAATGTGACAAGTTAGAACAGAGGTGGATTCCTTCTTCTTTTTAGTTTTACATGAACTAAGATGGGAGTCAAGCATGTCCTGGGAAATAAACCCTACTCTACAATAGAGACAAGAAAATATTTCACAACTCCAGTCTTCAACACCCTTGAACTTAAACAGAGCCTGAAAATACTGTTTTTAATCCAAAAATCTAAACTTTTTTCGATAAACTACTTGTTCACAGTTTACCCATTAAACAATTGTTTTTAAAGAGAAAAATAAAAAATAAATATTTCTCATTCTAAATTTTACAAAACCATCTTTCAACCCTGAATCAGGTTAAAATAAACTTTAACCCTGTTAAATTATCATGAAATTGTAATTTTATTTGCTGATTGAAGTTTAGAAGTGGGAGGTTGCCTTTATATCTGAGTTGGAGACATCCCAAATTAGAAATACAAGAAAACCACATTGGAAAATAAGGTGAACATATAAATGTTAATGACTATTAACCCCCCCCTCCCCCTCCCCGCCACAGTTAACAACATGATTTTATATTAAATCCTTAATTACCACTCAACTAGATAAAATTAAATATAAATAAGAAACTGACCTTAAGATCTATTTTCAGAGCCTCGGCATAATTCTTCCCATAGAACATAAGCAATTCTACATCTGAAGGAACATCCTTAATGGCCCTAAAGAAATAAAATTTGGGCTGTTAATTATGTTCTCAGACGCTCCTTAAATTAAGACTGGATCGAGATAAGAATTTTTAAGATCACAAAGTTTAATTACAATCCCTTTAAAATGACGTAAAGCAAAGCACATGAATATAATTCTTACATGTAAAAGATGTTATTCTCGTACTGGAGTGCAACCATGTTGGTCTCAAATTCAGACTCTGAGCAGTTGACAAAAGCTAGAGGATTAATTGTTGCATCAGGATTTTTGCCAGCATCAATACCTTCTAAATATATATTCATTTCTTCTCTTAACAATTCTAGATTTTAAATGTTGCTTTTAAGGTAGCAATTTTTTGTATACATTGTTTAAAGGTGAATTTTTTTTGTCAGTATTGTTGGCTTTCCAGAAGATCTTGTTATCCACATTTTTCTTCTCAATTTCGTCATGCAACCTGATGGTGTAAACCTTTGACATTTCAAATTTTATCTAGGAGAATTTGTAGTTTGAAATATCTGAGGTCTCAGACATTAGGTCACAAAGATATGGGTATTAAAAAATCAGAGTTTCTGGTAAGAACTCAATTCCTTTAGCGAATTGTGTTAATTTTACTTTTAAAAACAATATATGCCAACATAAAAGTATATAAGAGAAAAGGCGAAAAACTTATGTTTAATGGTTCAAAAAGTGATCTTAAGTCAAAGCTTGCTGGGATAAGGACCAAACTGTTAAATATATAAATCCATTGTCATAATTAATAAAGCATCAAGAAAGACATTTTTAACATTAACCATTAAAACACATGTCATGTTCTGCCCTGAATGATAAAATATTAAGGCTGATCGAGGGGTACAATAAACTAGAATAAGATTGTCTAATGAGCATGGACAAAAGCACAAATGTTTCCATTAACTTAAATATAAATTTAAAAATATATCAAATAATGCAGTAGGTTTTCTTTATGCTTGAAAAATGTATTAACTGATAATTTCAGGAATTTAAATATTCAACATTTAAAAGTTTACCTATGACTTTAGTCCTTGTTGCATTCATAATATCCCATATGTAACCTGAATTAGATTCCTGCCTCTTCAATACACTGATAGGAATCCTCCTTAGAAATAAATATATTAAGTGACAAAGGTTTATAACGTTTATTAAGAATTATTAAATATATTATTTTCAGAGAAACTATTTCTTCAGGAAGAGGAAATTCTTATTTAACCTGGGTTCTCAAAACAAACATTAACAAATTAGTTAATTTAATATAAATAGTGGTAGTATAAATATTTTTCTTACTTTCCTAGGAAAGGTCCTAAAATAGAACCTTTCAGGATAGGTTCACCATCATTCCAAAGTCCATTTCCGGCTTCCTAAATTTATTATAGATTAAAGATCAAGCAATGAATTTTGATCCAACTAGCTCTCTGAATTAATTAAGGTTTAGTAAATTGAAATTTAGTCCATCTCACTTTAATTAATTTAAGATAAGTATTGAACTTTGATCCAACTAGCTCTCTGAATTAATTAAGGTTTAGTAAATTGAAATTTAGTCCATCTTACTTTAATCAATTAAAGATCAAGCATTGAACTTTGATCCAACTATCTTTCTGAATAAATTGATTAAGGTTTAGTAAATTGAAATTTAGTCCATCTCACTTTTATCAATTAAAGATCAAGCATTGAACTTTGATCCAACTATCTTTCTGAATAAATTAATTAGGGTTTAGTAAATTGAAATTTAGTCCATCTCACTTTAATCAATTAAAGATTCAGCATTGAACATTGATCCAACTAGCTCTCTGAAATAATTAAGATTTATCTCACTTTAATCAATTAAAGATTAAGCATTGAACATTGATCCAACTAGCTCTCTGAAATAATTAAGATTTTATCTCACTTTAATCAATTAAAGATCAAGCATTGAACATTGATCCAACTATCTCTCTGAATTAATTAAGATTTTAGTATATAAGGGTGTAAATACTTAACTCTTAAGTTTCGGGCCCTATATTTACCTTTTTATTGGAAGGATCTACTTTCAAGGTACAATCCTGATAACTGATTTTCTTATGATGAATCACACAGCCACCAGGCTTTTCTTTCTAGAACAAAGGAAAAATAACATATCTATACTTTAGTTAATCCTAAAAATACTTTGCATGAAACATAATGTTGATACAATAAACATTTTGATTATTTGTTAAATACTTCTTTTCTTATACTTAATGTATTTATATATTTATAAATATAGTATGCACTAAATATATAGCTTGGGAACCCAACTTTACCTGCAGTTTTCCCTATGAAAGTCAACCCACTAAATTTATAACTTTAAAACCATACTATGAAAATTTCCGTGGTTCTCTCACGTTCCCCATTCAAAATTTGAGGCAATCAGTCCTGGGGTTCTTGACATCAAAATAAACCATCAAACAAGGGCATAGATGTCATTTAATCCTCACTGCAAATATTATCCTTATTTCTTTGTTTTTCAACATTAGCTTTAGACCTCAATATTTAATATCTTTACCCTTAACAAAAATACAAGATCAAATCTAAAAATGTTACACAAATGTTTATAATTATAAAGCATAAGTTTGTTTCAAAAACCATCAAATAAGAATGGTTACAAATACTCGATTCATTTTGTGAATTTTTGCTCGCTGTCATGCATTATTTCAATTCCCGCGTTAAGTGTTGGGTAAAATATGATGTTTGTTTGTATCCATAACACGTCAAATCAGCTGATCCCATCAGGTCAGCGTTTATTTGTAAATTTATTTCACCCCAGGGAAGGTTTATCGCCGGTAAATGTAGAATTCTTTATTTAAGTTCATTCAATTTAAGCAGAAAAATCTGAGAAATTTTCATTAATGTATAAAGAGAATGACTGCTAGAAAAGCAAAAATTGTTCTGCCCACACTTTTTTATTTGACCAACCTTGACAGTTTTTAATTACTTTAGGAATTGAATATCCCTATAAAGTAGCAACCAAATGTAGCAGACCTTATATATTTCAATTCTGTTAGATCAAATAATATAAGTTAGAAATATCAAATGTTGTTACCATCAGGTTGCAATGATATAGGGATTAGCAAATTTAAGATGTAGCAGAGACTTAATTCCTTTACCTCACATTGGTAACAAAACACAAACTGGTAGGGCAGCAGTTTTTCTGATCTTGTGACGACAAAACCTCTTTTCTTCATTTCAGATTTCTTCTTCTTCTTTCCTAGATTCTTCTTCCGTGTTCTTATTCCTTTCTTCATGTTAGATTCTTCCATCTCATAATCCTAAATATAAATAATTTTGTTTGGAAACCTTGTATTAGATAAAATATGTATTAGACAAGATATAAAAACCCCTGTATTAAATAACCTTTAATAAACCCTTGTATTAAACACCATATTAATTAGTACGTTGTACTAGACAACATAAAATTAAGACCTTAATAAGTATATATTCTTTATTAAAAGTAAAGTAAGAAACTCAGCATATTTACCGTATCCTGATTATTCTCTTGGAGTAGTGGGCCAGGAACTAGATCAAGATCTTCATCATCTTGATCATTGTAGTTGATCGTTCTTTTGCGTCTAGAATTCCTACTTTGACCAGGTGCTATAGTACGATCTTCAGGTAGATCTTCATTTAGACGTCTAGATCTTCTAGATGGATTATGATCATCAGGGAGATTATTAATCTGTGCACAGTTTCCTGTAGATCTCTGGCGTGTAGATCTTCTAGATGGAATATGATCATCAGGGAGATTATTAATCTGTGCGCAGTTCCTTTCAGATCTCTGACGTCTAGATCTCCTGCTTGGACTAGGTTCTAAACAAAACAAAAAACATTATTTAATAAATACATCCATGAATAAGTTGTTATATTATTGTCAGCGCTCATACATGGTCAATATTAGAACATATGTGTTTTATATCTTAATATCATGGAACATTTATAGAAAGTTTCTAATGGATTTTTAAAATATTCCTCTTGAGCTTCTAGGAAATACCTTTTGAATTTCTAGGACTTTCTAAGTTGAGTAGGATGACTTTAATATGAATCAATATATAGTTTATACTCTGCTTGTCTGTTTTTCTGTCCGTTTATATCCAATACACATTAAAACAGCTGAACTGATCTGGCCCAAATTTTGTGGAGGCATCACATGACCCAGGGAAGAATTATGGTTGGTAAGAATTACAAAAATCTGTGTCCAAAAGTTTTTATTTTTATAAATTTTGAAAATGGCGAAAAAATTGTCAAATCTACAAACTTTATTTTTCTTTTTCTTTTATATTGTATAAAAAGAAGATGCTCACAGTTTTAGCCACAATTAAAAGTAGAATGGCTGAAAAATGGCAGTTTAATTAAAAAATATGATATTCTTACCTACTCTTTGAGTTCTCTCTCTCCGTTCTGTCCTTGGTTCTTCATTCTTCCGTCCTAAGGGCCTTCTAGGTGAAGAACATCGACCTCGTCCTCTTCTTACCGCTCGTCCTCTTCCTCTAGACATATCTCCTTGTTCAGAATTAGATTCAATCTCCTCCTTATCTGCTAGAGTTCTCACTCTCTGTCTTGTCCTTGCTCCGTCATTTATTCTTCTAGATGAAGAACGTCGACCTCGTCCTCTTCCTGTAGACATATCTCTTTCAATCTCCTCCTCATCAGTGATCATGTTGAATATAATATTCTATATTTCTAAAAATATGCAAATTTTTATTTTATAATATATATATATATTACTTTTTATATAAGCTTAGAAAAATTTTCATTGTTCATTTTGAACAATTGTTGGACAGAGTGTTTCATGTCATTCTTCAGCAGCATGATTTTCATTAAAATAATTGTGGATTTTTTAACAAAAAGATTTGGTTTGAAAGTTACATATTCAAGGATGCAGTATTATAGAAAATATCACATTAATTCATAATTTCATAAATTTTATAGTTACAACTTACACGACATACATTTCACATTGATCATAGAAGTTGATACTATGAATTCTGTTCTGTGTCTAGAGTTATTCTTTTATTCCTTTCTTTTCTTCTGAAAGCAGTGTCAAAGTCTTTTCCAATACACACATTTCTTTATAAAGGGATTGTAAGCTGTAGAACGTACCACAATTGACAATTTAATTAAACATATTTAGATATATTATGTCACATTTCTGATTATCTTTCTAAAACCTCGGTCTTGCTCTGGAGGGAGAGACGGTTCGTCCCAGTCTCCAAATTCTCCTTCTCCTCCTCCATCTTGTTCCGGAGAAGGTATATTTCCTTGGTTAGATCATTCCTCTTTGTGAGAGTTATTTTCGTCTTTTTCTGTGGACGGACTATACTCTGACTTTTCTGTGGACGGACTATACTCTGACTTTTCTGTGGACGGACTATACTCTGACTTTTCTGTGGACGGACTATACTCGGACTTTTCAAAAATACAGTTTCCGCTTCATTTTCCAGGCAGGGGTGTTTATCAGATCATTTATGTCATTACTAGCAACTCAAAATTTTCAGATAAAAATAAATTGGAATCTAGTACTAGTAAAAATAGTTCATTACCCAAAAATCATCGACTTTTCTTCAAATCATTATTTATTTATTTAGAGATGAATATTTTTTTACATTCCTGGCTAACAGAGCAGTACCAGTATATACTTATACATTTTTTCAAGCGGAAACGATAACAAAAATGAGGAATCTTACATAAAAAAATGCTAGATGTTTTCCAAAACATTTGATTAATTACACCCCTCTTCTTCGGACTGAAACACTTACACCTTCCCAAGCCCCAGGTTTCTTTATCTCTTTTTCAAGCATTGTTGAAACACCGATCTAGGAAAAGACATGATTCACATAGTACACAATAGACATGGTACAAATGATAACATATTTTTACTTTAAAAAATTTGTCCATCATCATATATAAATGTTAAAATTTTACATCAAATTTACTTCATTGAACTAATAACTTCATGCATCTCAATCTTAAACTTTTTATTTGTATTGCCTATAACTATATATATCCACGCTGCTAGTAAATTATGAATTCAAGTGACATCATTTCAAAAATGTTAATTTTTTAAACAAAATTTTTACATCTAATTGTAATCGAAAACTCGTAGATTTTTACAAGAGAAGGAATCAAAAAAATATTCGAGATTTATTCTTTACTAAAAGTGTTTAATAAAAACATGGCAACCATCCTTAAAAAGAGGACCAAGGAGAGAAGGACAGAGTTTGTTTGTAATTTACAAGGCCGTCATTAAACAGCAGGAGCAGGAACTAGTTTTAATGTGAGCAGTTAACAATCAGAATGTATTATTTGTCATTCTCCCAGAATCCAAATATTGTTTACAATAAAACCGGTTTCTGAGCTGTCCGTACACGTCGTTGAAAATATTAACAACCCCTATTGAGTATCAGGCCACATTATCCTATTAACAGGTGTATATTTTTTTTAATTACCCCCCACCCTTAGGAGAGGGGGCAGGGAATGTTTTTTTAATGATTTGGGAGGAAAATGAAAATCAAAAGGCAACTTTTTTCAATCGTTTTAATACTTTTTATCCAAAATTTTTTTTTTTCCAATTTAGAGAATAGAACCATTTAAAAAATTTGCCACTCAGTGCAAGCATACATGAAATATGCCTTACTTCTGGAGAAAAAAATTTATTTTCAAAATTGGGAGGGGTGGAGAGGGCAAATTCTTTTTCGAGAAATATGCATCCCTGTTATCCTATTAATTATGACGATGATGCTGAGGATAATGTTCCGCTTCTTGTTTCTGATAATGTTGACGATGCTGAGAATGATCTTGAGAGTAATGATGCTCAGGTTGGGGAGGAATATACTCATCTTCATCCCCTTCACAACCTTCATAACATCAAATATTCATATCACTTCAAACTGAAGTAAATCTATATAATAAAGCCCTTTGCTCATATACAGGGCTACCCACAAAAGATGAGACTGTAAATACGACCCAAATCTCTAAAAATATGATGGTTTGTAGCTTGATTTTTGTCTTAAGCATTCAATTAATTATTTAGATGGTTTACTAAATGATAAAGCAAAGAAATAAGCCTATTTTAGCCTAAAAGGAACCCTATAAATGCAAAAAACGGATTCACCGACAAAGGGTCAAACAACACTTGGTCAAACGACAAAGGGTCAAACGACACTGGGTCAAACGACACAGGGTCAAACGACAAAGGGTCAAAAGTGCGACAAAGGGTCAAACGACAAAAGGTCAAAATGATAAAAATATTTTTTGATTTGAATTAACATTTTTTTCTCAACCCATTCTATTTAATTCCACGGGCAACGCCGGACACTTCAGCTAGTTGCATAAAAGATTGAAATCTTATATAACTCCTCTTCTAGAAGAGATTTTGAGAAGAACAAAAATATTTTGAATTTCTAATATATATAGATTTATAAATTTCAATTAAAGACTCTCAATAATATAAAATATTCAAGCAGACAAGGAAGGAAATTGCAAATTGAGAAGGCACATTGAGGACGCACTAGGCCGCAGTATTGAGGACGCACTAGGTCGCAGTATTGAGGACGCACAATTTTATTCTACACAGGGTTACCCACACAGGATGAGACTTCAGAGACGACTGTAAGAAATTGATCTTCTTGATTCCCATCTACTTTCAAATTGTTTCATTTCTGTCATGATCATTATCCAATCAGATACAAGGGTGTCTCAATAAATATGCGAATTAAATGACGACTTCTAAATCGTCTTTGTTCCATGCGGTATTATTATTTTAACAAAACAAAAATTATGTTAACACAAACTCAACCTTCAGATCGTTCAATTTAATTCTTTTGAGGTCGTTCTAGCAGACACATTCTTTATGGTAACCCTGTATTTTAATCTACTAGGCTTTTGTTGCGCTTCGGGCCCATCTTTTCAAATTTAAGTGTGGCTCAGTCAGTGATCATATTCTCTTTGTACAATGTGAAACAAAAACATACAACAATTTTGAACACTTAATAATGTTTTTTAGTGGATTTTCAAATTTTTACAAAAATCAAAAAATTTTGGAGACAACTTTATGAAATTCAAATAATCCCAAAACCTTCCCTGGGGTCACTTCGGCCCGATCGGTTCAGCCGTTTTGACGTTCATTGGATACTAACAGATCAAACAAACAAACAGATAAGTAAAGTATAAATATAGAAGGAAAATTATCTTACATATAAATCTGCAGCAATGTTTACTACAATAAAAACACTTGGCAGAACCCATCCAACAGCAACCACCAACTTCCTCTGCTTCAGCCCAACAGCAGTTACCACACTTCTTGCAGTTGGCGTAACAACAACTGCAACATCGTCCGGTTATCCTATAGCAGCGCTTGATACAAGGCCAGATCTTGATCATGATTGCAGTAAATATTAGTGAGGCTAAAGTGAGTCCAGCAATTTGTCTGAAACAAAAAGGAAAATTTAGTTAATTTGTCTCAGCTTTGCTTCATCTGCACAATCAGTATCTCGGAAACCCAGCTTTGCCAGAGTTCGAATTTTATGAATTTGAGTCACGTCTCAAATACGCCAAAAACCGGTTTCAACTGAGCACCTGCTTTAATCATAAAACATTGAATACAATTTTAAGTGGAACCAGCCATATTTGAGCCGCGTCTCAAATTTAAGACGCGGCTCAAATTCTTTAAATTCGGCAGCTCTGAAAACTTAAAGGAGGTGGTAGCTCTTTGGCCTGCACATTTTTTTGTAACTGTAATTTTTTATTTTCCCTAACTGTAGAATTGTATTTTAAATAAAACTTTTCATTTCATAAGTATCTCGGAAACCCAGATTTGCCTAGAAATTTTACCATAAAAGTCAACTTACTTTTTTTAGAATTTTAAAACTGAGTGGTTTTCCCGAGTTCCCCAGTCAAAATTTGAGACAAATCTGTCAAGGGGTTTTCTAATTTATGATCGGACAGACAAACAGACAAACAGAAATTACTACTTTAAGGTCATTGAACTAGTTGTACTTATTGTACTTTCATCACTTGGTTCATTGGGATAGAAGAACAACATTAGAGCTCAGCTGTTTACCCCTACCCCTATTGTACGGCCCCAAACTGTAAGGGAGGGGGTGTACAGACCGACAGGGTTAAGAAACTAAGGTTCAATTCTAAGGTTAAATTGTGCATTTGCGTCTATTTTTAAATTTTCACTTAATATCTATGGTTTTATTTCTATTGTTACAATTGGTACTTTATTTGTACTTCCATTACTTGATTCAATATATAGGATAAAAGAACAACTTAGAGCGCAGCTGTTACAACCCCCCCCCCCCCCCCTCCCAAGAGCTTTCTTGGTTACCAATGGGTATTATTGGTCCTCACAGGGTTAAGGAACTATGGTTAGATCTAGGGTTATGTTGAGAGCATCTGAGTCTATCTTGATCTTGATATTTTCTCTTGATAAATATGCTTGATATTAGTCTATTTACAATTCGTACTTTCATTACTTGATTTAATAGGATAAAAGAACAACATTAGAGCTCAGTATTCCCCCCGTCTTTATGCGCTATGGGCCCGCAGTGTGGGGGATGCCCAAACTTAAAGGGTTAAGGTCAGGCTGGTTCTAGGTTTGATAGTTTATATCTGTGATTCTAGGATATTTTCATTTGATTTTAAATACAAATTATTTCTACTTTCATCACTTGATCCCATAGTATAAAAGAAAAAATACTAGGTTTTCGGTCATGATAATTCTGATAATTATTAATTTATCAAGATATTCATAAATTAAATGCAAGGGTTATTGTCCTCTTTGTACTTGTTATACTTTTATCTCTTGAATCTTGAAGCAGTAAGATAAAAGAAATGATCACTAGAGCATGGTCCCCCTCCCTGTCGGTAATGAACCACCTGAACCACCACAATGATATTATTGTTGTGGCACTGTGAGAAGGGTAATAAATTAATGCCAAACTCATGGAGTTAAGGTTTTAGGTACAGCATATCTAATATCTTCGTTAATGATTACGTTACAAGAAAGCTAGACTACTAGGAAAAGCTCGTCAGACATCCAGCCTTTTTTTATTTACTTTTTTTGTCATACATTAAATATCAGAAATCAAAGACAACTTTCAAGTCGTCTCTCAATTTCAATGTTTATTGGGACACCCTGTCCCGCCTCAAGTTATATGCAGAGCGTTCCATATCATATTGGATTATCTACAAGCTTTAAAGCCAAATTACGCACAAAATACTCAAAAAACCTGGTATTTTCTGCAAGAAAATTTTTAAATTAGCCGAAACATTCTCTAAAATGATTTATCAATCTTATCAATTATAATGAGTAGTGGAATTTTGTGATCATAATAGGGTTGAAGGAACCGGGGTTAAATTTGCACCTGCCAGGGTTCAGCTAATTAACAAGGATTAACGGACAGGGTTAAAGAACAGATCCAGAGTCCTAGTGGATTTGAAGGGGGGGGGGCGGGGGGGGGGGTATCGTCACCTCTAGAATATAGCAATGGAATAGTCCGGTGTCGTTGCATCAGATCATCCCCCCTAGTGTGTTAACCATATAATTCTAAATATCTCCGGTAATATTGACAACTCAAAAAAGGCAGACCACATGTGGAAATGTGAGGACTTGGATAATTTTGTGATTTTGTTCTACGAATCATACATATGAAAGTAGGTTGACTACTGAATATCACAAATAAAGTCATAAAGAGAGACGACTTTCCCTTCGTCTTGCAACTGTTATGTTTCGTGGGACACCCTGTACTATAGAATAGGATCGAGAAACAGTCTTTTTCAAGCAACTGTAAACGATCCTGCAAAGATGTAAAGAGTAGCATGTATGACTGAAAACGGTATCTTTAAAGCTTTTCTGATCAATCGTGGAGGATATTAAAGTTTTTGTAGGTTGAAAACAGACAATTCTGACAATTTCGACCAATTTTTTCAGAAGTAGAAATGCACGAGTCAATATATATAATTTAGATAAATTTGTAGAGAAAAGATGAAGAATATTTATTGGATTTTGTTTTCAGAAAAAGCATTTAACATCAACCATTGTGGATCAGACATGACGTTTACTATCATTTTAATAAAGTAGCTTACATGTAGATGATGAGAGGAGAGATGAACTCCCACATCATCTCCTTGAATGAAGCCATGGCGTTGTTCAGCGGCGTAAAGAGAACTTCATCCATCAACCCACGATCTACGGGATCTTTAACAACCGATTAATTGAAATTTATTGAAATTTTTTCAGAGCTGGAAACTGTTGTTTTGTGGATATCGAGACCAATGCTTAATCTCGATAATTTGTTAATCTGCAGTTTAATCTAATCTTTATTAAATATCCCGCATGGTAATCGTACCCATCGTACCCAGAGATTAAGCATTGATACTCTAATTTAAAGGACCAACAGTGAATATCGAGATTAAGCGATTTTCTTTTTTTCTCAAAAAATCTTTTGTTCCTTTTATTGAGAAGATGCGAGAAGTTTCTGAGAAATTCATTTTTCTGAATACTGATCATAAGATGATATCTATACTGATCATGCCTTACTTCTGGAGANATGATATCTATACTGATCACAAGATGATATCTATACTGATCACAAAATGATTTTTATATTTATCATATTTAGTTCATTGATAATTCTGCTTTTTATAAGAATATTATAAAATATATTTTCAAACTGTTAATAACAAATCTTCAAGAAAATAAAGAGTTATTAATGGATACAAAATAATTTTGAAATTTTAATAAGTACATATAACAAAATATCATATATCATATAAAAATAAGGAATATAGGTATCTAATGATGATGCTTCTTTTTATGTTTATGCTTTCCATCATCTTCCTCACCTGAAAAAAAACACACGTTTATTTTTAAGAATCAAGATTTTCGAATATTTGGAGGAAAACGAAAAATTGGCCAACAGGCAACAACAGGCAACAACTGGCAAGTTTTTCCCTTCTTTAGATGCTTTTTGCCAAAAGTCATTTATTTCTCCCTGATTCTAAGTTTATCAAAAAAAAAACTACAACATTTGTTTCTCAAATTATCAAAAAAAAACCTTAAACAATTAAGCGCTCCGTGCTTAGGATCCGGGTGGGATCCAAGTGTCTAAATTTTGACTAAAAACCAATTTAAAATATACTTTTTAATCTCATCACACAATTATTGAATGTCTGAACTAATTATTGATAAATCAAGTTGCAGCGCAAAAATTTAGAAAGAGTACTTAGTATACTATGTAAAAATATTCCCAATCTGAATCCGGGTCCATTTCTTTACAGAACGGATCCCGGATCGGTTTGCGAATCCGCGAAAAAATGAAGAGACCTAAAGACGTAAAACCTTTCTAATTATTTCAAAACTAAGAACTTAAAAAACCTACAAGCTTCACAGTCGGGACAGCACATGCAGCAGCAGGTGTACGTGTTCTTACAGCACTTGGAACAGAAAGTCAATGTCATACAGCATTCTTTAAACATCGCTATAAAGTTCTTGATTAGAACAGCAGCCAGAGCTGCTATAATTATTCCGATGGCAATCAACCTAAATAACTTCAATTGTAATCTTGTATTTTAACGCCGCCTGCGCGTCACTCTTTTGGGCTTCTGCCTCAGGATTATTGTGAACAAAAACCCCTTAAATCTTGAAAAGACGACATCTAGTGTTCTATCTCTATTGTTAATTAATCTATGGATTCAAAATTTAAAGCATGATACGTTTACCAAATACAAAAAAAAAGTTTGAAGATCGGAACTTATGGTTTTTATTTCTTTTTAGAAAATTTTAATCCACTTAATTTTCAAGATTATGTAGTTTTTCATTCAAAAAACTAAGTTTCCGCTGTGGATTTCGAGTTTAACATTTATAAGTCCATATCCCAGAGGTCTAGTTAACCAACTTACATATAAGTTATGAACGGTCTGACATAATCCCACATTTGCTCTTTAATGGACTCGTACAAGCTCCCAAAAGGGCCGGTGAAGTGATAAAACCACTGCATCTTCACCCAATCAATAGCCTGCGCCTGTGCATTTGCAAAGTATGAATCAAAAATACCCCGGTCTCTTAAGCCTGATACAAATAATTTAATTTATTTTTATCTTTCTAGTTTTTTCTTTCATCCTTATCTTTTAATTAATTGTTTTTAATTAATTCTCGTTGTGGTTAGTTCTTGTAGATTGCAAAAAGTGAAATCTAATATTCTTTTTAATAAATGGTCAATTTCTCGTTGTGAAATCGGATTTCTAATGTTATGAAATGCAATTATTAGCGACATGTTCCGCAAAATTTCCGAAAAAGTTCCGCAAAAGTCCCGAAAAAGCAGCAACTCCTCAAACGGAAGTAAATTACACGTAATATTGAAATCTTATAGGTTTTAAATCATAACCTCTCTTGTTGTAGAGCTATTAAGAAGAACAAAATGTTTTCATATTCTAATGTGTAACCGGATAGATTTAACGTTCTCATACTTGTGTGTAAAATCAAAACTGGAGAAGCTACAAGTTCACAAGGTCGTTGCAGTTATGTCGCATGAATTTGCACTGGTCTAGGATTGTTAAATTATTTAATATTCCTTTGGTTGCGTTGGACAACGCTGTCAGATTTACCATTTTTTCTGAATAATAATAAATTGATTAGTATAATTCTTATCCGAATTTTGCTTTGACATAAATGCGATATGAAAAGATTTCCAGTCAAGATACGAAAAGAAAAAAATCCACAAAATCGTAACATATAACTTTCTTTTTGAAAGATATAATCAAAATTTGCGTATAAATAAATCAAACAGATAACATTTAGCAAAAAAAAATATCCATTTTACAAAATATGCAATGGAAGGTTTGGGTGCCGGGAGACAAGTTAGTGATGGTGATGATGATGATGTTGTTTATCATGTTTCTTTTTCTCATCTTCATTCTCTTCCTCATAGTCGTAATCATCATCATCGCCTAAAGATAAATGGTTTTTTTGTCCGTTTATAAAGGGAGCGTTTGCAAAACATGAAAGGGAGATACAAAATATGGAATGATCGTATCGGCATAAACTCCCTTTCAGTTTTCGCGAACAGTTTCCTTCTCCATTTCTGGTTCTTGAGTTTTAAGGTATCACAAATAATCAATGAAAGGAATTATGTCTTTGCCACAAACTCAAATTATCTATTCCCAATATATTTGAAACCTGATGGTGTAAACCTTTGATATTTCAAACTTATTATTTGATCCAACAGAAGTTTTGGTTTGAAATATCTACAATCTACATTGGGTTGCAAAGATATAAGAATTACAAAACAAAGTTTGTAGCAAAGACTCAATTCCTTTAGAATAGAAATCTTTTAAATTTTTTTAAATTCCGATATATTTAGAACTGAATGTCGTAAACCTTAGATATTATAAACTATGAATTCTGTAAGATCAAATATTTTCAGTTTGAAATATAAAAGGTTTACACCAGCAGGCTGCAAAGATAAAGTCCATCAATACGATTATTTGTTATGGAATTAATTTGTACAGATAAGTTAGCCAGCTATAGATAAAGTTTTGCGTAATTATTGTGCATATTTCGAATTGTACATCCTACTTGAAACGGCCTGAATATAAAATCAAGATTCTAATGTTTGAAGAAAAAATTAAAAACTTACAATCGCATTGTGGACAGAGAGTACAACATCCTCTATATACATTCTTGCAGCAGGTGGAACAAAACGTTAAGGTCATGCAACAATCCTTTCAGTGCTTAGGATTCGAATCCGCAAATATGTTACATCCGAATCCGTAAATATTAAAAGCATTGAATTTTGATAATTTTGATAATTCACATAATTGTTTCCTATGACCAGAATATTTCATTGATTATTTATGTGAAAGATGGATCTCATGTCAGGCTTCGACATCCGTCTTGTGTTTACATTACCGCACAGTGACAGTACTCTGCAGTACAAAAGATGCGTACACCTCAGAAAAAACTTTCCTTGCATTAAATTCTTGGGAGGATCCAGGCGCCAAAATATCTACCCAAATTAAACAACAAATGGTAGGTTAAGTTTTAGCATAAAAATTAGTAAAATCGGAAGACATATTTAATTTTTTTTTTGGGGGGGGGGGAAATTACAAAAAGTATTTAAACGCTGAATCATTTTTTCCGGAGGCCGAATTTAAAGAATTTAAACCGCTTCGCGCTGAACCGCCAAAAACCGGTTCCAATTGAGCGCTGACACATCTCGAAACACTGAAACAACTAACGTGGAAAAAAACCATGTCTGAGTCGCGTCTCAAAGTAATTGAGTCTTTGCCACAAACTACAATTTATTAATTAATTAATAAACAGGTCGGTTGTGTACATCTGAGCTAAGCTTCACCTCTTCGTTTTATTACTCTATGGTTGCAGAGATATGATTAGAACATCAGAGTTTGTTGCAAAGACTCAATTCCTTAGAAACGCGGCTTAAATTCTTTAAATTCAGCTTCAGGACGGATCTCGGAACTGGATCTAGATCCGCATAAAAATGGCATGAATCTCAAGCACTGCCTTGAAGGTGCTAATAAACAAACTGATCAACCAGACACCAACTGCAGCCGCCGCAATTCCCAAGGCTATCATTCTAAAACGATACTTTTTTAAGTTTAAAGGGACTGTCTACGTAAGTTTGAGTACCCTTTAACAAAAAAGTTACATGCCAGATTCACAGAGATACCCTTTAAACTTTGGACGGGCTAAGATTATTGAGTAATCCATGTTTCTAGTTAAATTTAGATAATCTCTGTTTACGGTTTCTTGCAAATTTATTTGTTCTGAATCTGGCATGAGACTCCTTAAACAAATAATTTTTGTATCAGATTTTTATATTTTTATATTTGGGAAATATAAAAATAAATTTAAATATAATTTGGTAATTATTTACTTACGAAAACATGAACACTGGTTTTAACACTTCATACATGGAAGTCTTGATGGAACTAAAAATTCCTCGCTCCGTCAAATCACGGTTCATGAGAACATGCTCAAAAAAGAATGCCCTTAGAAGATCTAAAACTTTTATAATTTGTATTCTTTACTTAGAAAGGAAGAAATAAAACATCAAAAATATGCAACATCAGGATTGTATGACTATAAAATTCGAGTTTTAGGCGCGTCACCAGTTTCTTTTCTTTTTTTAGTCATTTTATCCCAAGGTTGTATAATAAGGTTGTGTGCTCTCGATGTGCTTCAATGTACGGAAAATGTCGTCTCCTCCGCATAGATAGACAGAATCCGAATATGACGTCACTATATTTCTCTAACTATGTTAAAGAGACAATATTTTCCGTACATTTGAGCGCATCGATAGTAAGCAACCTTACACAACCTTGTTATACCCTAATGTTGCAGACCTTTGACCGTCATATAAATAACACTTTTCAGTTTAAGATAAATAATTTCTTAAATCCTTAAAATACAAATTATTACAATGTTTCCTTTAGCTATAAACGGGGGCGTAACTGTCAAATTCATTTTTCTGAATAAAGAAAACGTTATACATTAAAAATGTTAATTAATCAATATTTTTGTCACAAACCCTGATTTGTCATTTACTAACTAATGTATTAAAATTTTATTCATAACAAATAATTTGAAAATCTATTCTCATAAAATATTAAACTTTTTGGTTTTTTTTTCTCGCTAAAAAAATGTTTTGAGATTAGGAAAAGGGTTAAATTAAATATATGCATTTCTTAAAGAAAACCCCAATTTTTAGAAGATTTAGGACAAATACTTTTCATTGACAATATTTAATTTAGAACTAGAACAAAAAACAAGACTTGCTAAAGAATATTTAACTAATGTAAACATGAAACAAGAAAACAATAGGAAAACAGTTAAAGAGACTGTAGACGTAGTTTCAAGTGACATTTTGTTTGAAGTGGGAAATCCCCGATTCAAGCAACCTTTAATTATAAAAATGTTCTTGCTTCTCTTTACAGAAAATTTATCGTTTCTATAAAACTAAAATGACTTGCGGATTTTGTGCAGCAGACAAACAACATATTTTACAGAATTCAACACTTTTCAAAGTAGAAAAACAACTAAATCAAAAGTTAAAGGGTATACGCATTTAAAACAACGAAGTTTATGCAGCTTGTATCGGAATAAAGTCAGTTATGCTTTGATCTCCCTTTCCAAATCAGTTGAAAATAGCATAATTCAGACCTTCTATTCTTAAATAGTTGAAATAAATAGCAAAGTAAACGAATAAAATAGCAAATACCAAAAATCTTCATTCAATAGGTGAAAAGGGGTTTTAAAGTTAACCAGAGTCCGAAATTGTAGAATTTGAGCCGCGGCTCAAATATGGTTGGTTCCACTTAAAATTGTATTTGATGTTTCAAGATTTAAGCCGGCGCTAAATTGAAACTGGTTTTGGGCGGATTTTAAACGCTTCTCAAATTCATTAAATTCGGACTCTGGTCCTCTAATTTACCGTGACCGAAGTGAATCGGACATGCGCCTTTTTTTAAATCGTGGGTCCCTTGAAAATACGCCTACAGTCCCTTTATAAAACATAAGCTTGACGTGTATTTTCAATCCTGTCAGAACAGGACTGATATTATTTCTCTACTCTTTATCTTTGTAAACTGAAAACTGTAGGGTGACACGGAGCTTCTCAGATTCTTTAGATTTCAGTTTAGAAGGACTAATTCCAATAATCGCCTGGCCCTGTTCCCTACAATCAAGATTTATCGAATTTGAACAAAAATGTCGAGAACATTCTCATTACTTCAAATAGATTTGAAGTTTGAAATTTAAAAGTTTAAGATGTTAAATATACGGATAAGAAAATATTAGGGGTTAAGACAAGTAACCCTAGTTCCGGTTTCAAAACAAAAACAAGGAACTTTAAGCGTCAGCTCCATGTAAAGATGGAAATGCCTGATTTAAAGCGGTTCCCGTGACACCTTTCTTTGACCAAAATTGTGGAAGATACCCTCGCTTTTTCAAGAATCGAAAAGTGTAAGTTTTTCCATCGCCATCTTTGCATTAGAAATTACGCCAACACTATGATAATAAAATCTATTCGATAAAAAAAAACATAACTTCATTATAAAATATTTTAGATCACAACATTTATTACAATTTGATAAATCCTTTTCCTAATTCTCTTTCTCAGCTTGTTTGCGAGTATCTGAGGTTTAGTGTACCCAATTCTGAGATAATATTTTCAAATTTTAAATCTTAATTTTAGAAAAAACAATGAAGATATCTATGTATTTCATTGTAAACCATCTACCCTCTACAAATACAGTTATGTCAAATAATTGTCACATCAATTTAGAAAAAACGCAATTGATTTTTTTGCCACAAACTCTGATTTTCTAATCCCTATATTTTTGCAACCCAATGTCGTAGACCTTAGATATTTTAATCTATGAATTATGCTAGATTCAATAATCAAAGTTTGATCCATTAAAGGGTTTACTCTATCAGGTTCCAAAGATATAGGCAGCGTTTCGGATCCGGATCCGGATCCGGATCCGGATCCGGTCGGATCCGTATCATTTGGTCGGATCCGGATCCGGATCCGTATCAGGAAACGTTGATATGGATCCGGGTAGCGCCAAAAATTAACCAAAACCATGGAATAAATAAATCAAAATGGTTCGTAAATGTATTATTTACATGACGAAAATTTTTCAAAATTATCTTTAATAATTTAATGTTTACATTTATATAATAGTAATGACGACATTTTTAACTTTAGGATTACTCAGCGGAATATATAATAAATATAGTTTATAAATTATAACCTTGCATAACATTTAATAGGGAAAATCCGATTCACAGAATCAAAAGTTACCTCGGATCCGGATCCGGATCCGTATCAGAGTCAGGATCCGGATCCGCATCAAAATGATACGGATCCGAAACACTGGATATAGGGATAAGAAAATTTGAGTTTTTCTAAGAGAGAAATTGAAGATGAATTGTGGGGTGATAAAACAAATGAGAAATAATTATGCAATTTTTTGTTTGACTCATCGAAAATTACCAAAATGCAGTTCTTAAGAAATATTTATTTAACAGGATCTTAAAACTTTGCTGAAATCTCACAAAAAAATGATCATTAAAAAATATGCGACTCCTTTCCTAAGCTTAATCTCCAACGGAGATTTCCCTGCTTTAAGAATCTGTGAGAGATGGACTTCTCCTTTCCACTCTCTTCTCCCAACCTCGTCCCGTCTATCCAGCAGATCATGCACTATAATCCACACCCTTACAGTGTTCAAGCCATTTGTCATAGAGTAGACACTTTTATAGAGTGGAATTAACTCCGAAAAAGTGGAAAATCTGTGAATTCTTTCTAATTCAGTTGATATAAAAATAGATATTTCGCTAAAATTCTCACTCTAGCATCAAATTCTGACTCTAGCGTTGGTCAAACCATTTGTCATAGAGTAGAGATATTAATAGAATGGAATCAATCAATTGATATAAAAATAGATATCTTGCTAAAATTCTCTTTCTGGCATATAATTCTCACTCTAGCGTTGTTCAAACCATTTTTTTATAGAGTAGAGACATTAATAGAGTGGAATTAACTCCAACAAGTGGAAAATCAATGTATTCTATCTAATTCAGTTGATATAAAAATAGATGTCTTGCTATTACTCTCACAATGATATATAATTCTCACAGTAGTATGGACACTAATAAAGTGGAATTAACTCCAAAAAATTGAAAAAATTCTATTTAAATCTTTGCTCTGTGGAAGCATTTCTATATGAATCCGGATTCCGTATTAATTAAATTTATATAAAAATAGATATCTTTCTACAATTCTTACTCTAGCATATAATTCTCCCTCTAGCGTTGTTTCAACCATTTGTCAAAGAGTTGAGATTTTAATCGAATGGTATTATCTCTCTCGCTAGAAATCTCATTTTGGCATATAATTCTCACATTGTTACATTTGTCATAGAGTAGAGATATTAATAGAAATTAACAAAATGAAATTAACACCGAAAAAGTGGAAAATCTAAAAACATTCTATTTAAATCTCTACTCTGTGGATTCAGTATTTTGGACCAATTCAATTTTGATATAAATCTGGATATGACAAAAAAAGTAGATCGTGCACAATAATCCGTACCTTTACATTGTTCAAATCATTTGTCATAGAGTAGAGACATTAATAGAGGTGAAAGTGGAAACTGGATGTATTCTATTTAAATCTATACTCTATGGAAGTAATGCTTGGACTCAATTTCATATTGATATGGATCCGTATTCCGTATGCTGAATCAGCCAATTAATATTAAAAAAATCTATCGCTACAAAAACTCAAGCATGGTTCAAAATTTTTTCATAGAGTAGAGATACTAATAGAGTGAAAACTACTCCGAAAAATTGAAAGCAATGCTTAGGATCAATTTCATTGTGATTTCTATACGGATGCTAAATCCGTCAACAAATTATCGATATAATTATCTCACTAGTACAACACAATTCTCACTCTTTATTGAATTCCATATTGATGGTTGAACACACCTAGAATCTCCGGGTAACAATCGCATTTTTCCCCCCTACAACAAAAATTTAGTTTCACTCCAAAATGATTAAGCTGTATGGATTGAATGGAATTCATGAATTGAATGCAATAACATTAAGTAATAATACCAGGGGATATTTTTTCTTAAACAATTTTTTTAAACAAATGAATTTAATGATTTTCAATAATAAGAAAAAATGGAAAACCGTACTACTTAATGTCCAATATTAAGTGTTTTCCCTACCCTGGGGATTCTTTAGCATTTATACATTTAAATGTTACAACAACGTTTTGAATTTTATAAATGCGTTTTTAATAATATAGGCTTTTAGGGCGCTTCGCGCCCATCTTGTATTTCAACTTTTAACTGTGTGGGCATCTTCTCTTTGTACAGTATAAAACAAAAACAAAAAAGTTTGCGGATTTCATAATGTATTTTCGCAGATTTTTAAAATTTTACAAAAAAAAAAAACTTTTTAACACAAACTTTTTAGATTTTTATCATTTATAAACCTTCCCCGGGGTCACGCGACATCCCACAAAAATTTGGGCCTGATCGGTTCAGCCATTTGGACGTTTATTGGATACAGACAGACAAGCTAAATTTTTATATAGATTATTCAGAAATTTCTTTAAATTACCTGAAGGAGAAAAAGGTCCCAATTTTCCCGATCTAAAGGACAAATCCTGAACTCCTCCAGGGTCTAAACATTAACACTTTGGACAATTCTTATTTAAGGGCTGTCCATGTAATTTCAAGAGACTTCCATTTAATGATTTACATTCCTAAAGATATCCTTGTTTTTCTCCAGGAAAATTTACAATATTCATTTGCGGTTTATTTTTAAAAATGATGCGCAAATTTCTACATGAAAAACAAGGAAGATATTGACAGAATTCTTTTCTTTTCAAGCCCAAAAAAATACAAAATGCTCCTCATTGTTACTCGATCAGAGAAAGGTCACTATAGTTTCAGTAGAAGTAAATATTTTCATTTAATGATAGCGCCGATTGACGGATACATAACTCTAATTGGATAATAAGATAGATAGAAAGATAGATGTTACTGCCATACTATTTCTATTAAATCAGAATAGACAACAAACACAAGACTGAACCATGATTGGATCAGGCGCTAATGGACTCGGCATACAGGAGTGAGAAGGTTAGAGGATACCGTTGTAAATCTGACATCTTATACTTGAAATGAAATTACTTCGACCGACGCTGTTATATTAATTATTATAGTTTATTGTGAGAACATTATCTCACAAGATATCGAAAAACGAATATTAAACATTCTTTACCTTAAAAGCTGTGATAGCATCCCATGATCTTTCTATCAGATGTTCTCCGATCTCAGGTGTATAATCATCCAACTAGAACATTATTAATTTATGTTAAGGATGAAACGATTACCTTTGTTAAGGGATCACAAAATTCACGTAAATACAAGAAAACTGAGTTTGCAGGGAAATAATACAAGAAAAACGGATTAAATGCAAGAATACTTACCTCCCAAGGATCCTGAAACGTGGGATTTGAACTTTTAGTTTTAGTAATGTAAATTTTTATCCTTTCAAAACAATCCGCGCACTTAGATTTTGTTGAAATGTCAAAGGAATTGAGTCCTTGCCACAAACTCGAATTTTCTAATTCCTAAGTCTTTGCAATCTGATGGTGAAAACCTTTAAATTTTAAACTTAAATTTTATAATATAAAAGAGATCATAGTTTGAAATATCGAAGGTCTCCAACATCGGGTTGCAAAAATATAAGGATTAACAAATTTGAGTTTGTGGCAAAGGCTCAATTCCTTAATGACCTTTAAACTACAAAAACTTTCTAATGATTTAGGAAATAAAAAGTTCAACATCCTTTCATCAAATTTTTAAAAGTTCAATCCTTCGATAAAAAAATTTTGAGGTTGTTACCCAAAAATTCATTTATTTCCTCTAAAAATAATTCATGTGCCCTAATAAAAGTTTGCAATCCGTTCAACGTTACGTAACTTTTGGGGAAAAATTAGATTTTAAAGGGAGTGTTCGCGAAAAATGAAAGGGGTATAGGCTTAATGCGATAAAAAAGCGCTTTTGATCGCCACTAATCTTACTTCTATCTGTTGCGTCTATAAGGAGAAAATTGTTAAAAACGACTAATACCGAATAACTTAGCGCCCATACAAATTGAGAAAATTTCAACATACGACTTAGACTGTAAAAAAATCAATTTGATTTCAAACAAATCATTCAGATAATACAACCTATAGTCATCGATTATCTTTCGCCACATTTGTATACAGTTTATATTTTATGATAATTTTTAATTAATTTGTTTTGAATTTCTCTTGCGGCTTGCGCAACTATCTAAGAATGCCGCGGACCACTCACATTTTTCGAAATCAGTTAAAACGTTTTCTAAAAAAATAAAATATTATAAAATATAGACTATATACAAATGTGGCGAAAGATAATCGATGACTATAGGTTGTACTATCTGAATGATTTGGTTGAAATTTAATGTATTTTTTACGGTCTAAGTCGTATGTTGCAATTTTCTGAATTTGTATGGGCGCTAAGTTATTCGGTATGAGACGTCTTTAACAAGTTTCTCCTTATAGACGCAACAGATAGAAGTAAGATTATTAGCGATCAAAAGCGCTTTTTCATCGCATTAAGCCTATACCCACTTTCATTTTTCGCGAACACTCCCTTTAAGAAAACTATACCCCTGGGTCAAAGCTAGGGGTCAAACGGTCTGGTTCAATCCTTGGGATTATATCTGGGCCGAGCGCTGCGGCTTGGATGGGCTTGGGGGCTAAGCGCTGCACTGCGGCAAAGTTTGCGATAATTTTCAGGATCATTACTTCAGGATTAATCTTTGTTCCCCTATTACAATCTTCCCATGTTATCTTTATAGGTGGGTTAGGTCTCTTATTCAGAGGGGTGGTCGAGGTTTCGGGATTTAAAAAAAAAAAAATTTTCAGACATCCGAGGTTTTTGGGCCAAAATTGGAGCTAAGATCTTACCACAACCCCTACAGTCAGAAATTACCAAGTGTCTACTCTATACCTTTAAAGTAAGTTTAGGCTTAATCAAGGAAGTTCCTCTAAGTCTAACACAAGAGAAGGCTAGCACTCCACTACCGCTCCAAGTTTCATCTTGACACATTAAAAAATCAAAATTTTATACTTTCCCTGAAATGTTTCTATAAATAAATAAACAAGTAAATATTTGTTTTCGTTGAAAGGGGTGGGTTCTTAATTATAATACTTGGGTCTTCTTTACGGGATTATCTATATAATTTTAAGAGTCCGATGGCCGAATTTAAAGAATTTGAGCGGCGGTTTAAATTTAACCGCGGTTTAAATATGGTTGGTTCCACTTAAAATTGTATAAAATGTTTCAAGATTTAAGCCGGCGCTTAATTTAAACTGGGTTTTGGCGGATTTAAACCGCGTCTCAAATCACTCAACAACCGGTTTCAATTCAGCGCCGGCTTAAATCTTGAAAAATGTAATACAATTTTAAGTGGAACCAACCAGATTTGAGCCGGGTCTCAAATTAAAGCCGCGGCTCAAATTCTTTAAATTACAGTTTAACAAGAAAAATTCCAATTAATAACCAAAGATAATATATATATAGATATGCAGGCAGGTATAAATTTTGAGGTCTTGAGAAAAGGTGCAAACAGCACCATCTCTGTCGTACGCATGGCATTTTATTCTCTGGATTGTTGCTAATTTATCACTTTGTTTATGCGTGATAACACTAAATGCGTACTATAGTATCAACAATGTATACTGCATATTGTACTTAATGAAACAAATTAATCAATGCAAATAAAACTGAGGTAGGAATTTGACTAGACAAAGTTTAAATGCAAGTTGTACTGAATGGCATACGTAAATTAACGCAATTTAAATAAAAATTATGACTAAAAAGTACATCGAATCTAGGACAAAGTCCTAATAGCGGACAGGATCCGGTCGAACAATACATCCCATTCAACACTACTATGGTCGGTTGCTCCTGGCTCTTCATGGCTCACAACTGGCTCATCACCCCCTTAACCCCAAAAACTCAAAAAAACTCCATTACTTTCCTAAAATGATCATCCTAGGTTTGGTGCGCTCAAAACTTCAATTTGATTGGTATATAAAAAAGAAATGAGCCAGCCCCAGTCCATTATCCCCTTTGATAGCCTTAGTTAATTTTTTTAAATAATTCAAATTTGCCATGAAATTACCCAAATAAGTAAACCGTCCCTTTAAACTTCTGTTTTTTAAACTTTCCAAATTCATAGAAAATTCTGCAAACAAATGCAGGAAGGAACTGTTAATCTTTTCTTTGTTATTATGCAATAAAGTTAGCCCAATTCTGGCGGGGGGGGGGGGGTTTAGGTTACCACCCTCCCCCTGACATTTTTGGAGACTATAAAAGTATTGGTCTGAGGCTCTTCAATCTTTTTGAGTTTTCTAACTAACACATGCCCATCACTTTTGGCTCAAAGTGGGGATTTTATACCTACTGCCTGAGTCTTCAGGCATATTGCCTTACCTTTACCCGACTAAATCTACCTCCGGTCATTGGATTTTGACTTCTTACAACTCTTTGGAAAGCCTTTTACAAAAGAAAGCCGATTTCACAAAAAAATGTTGCAATTTATTTGCCTTGTTTACTAGAATTCATGTATAAAAAACAGTAATTTTAATAATTCTTTAAACCATCAACCCCAACATCTTAATTGCATATTGTGGTACCAATTAAAAAATCTAATTTAATTTAAATATCTCATAAAAACCGTTTAATTAAATAGATATCACTTATTTAACAAATATAAAATAATTTCCAAAGGTTTGTCAATATTTCTGTTTGTCTACTATATCTTTACTAAGTACAACTGATCATAACATAATCAAAACGCGTTCTGTATGTTTGTGTTACCTTGAAATTTAATTTTATTGGTCAAACAGGTCCAGATAGCAACACTTATACTATACAGGATGCAATACACGTACTGTATGTTTATATAACACAAATGCGTATTTCCTACAGATGGCAGCAAGGGGAGAAAGGAATTTAGAAAGTAATTAATTTGCTATAGATGTCTCTCCTTGCACCTTCTCTCAGAGGTTCAAAAATTAGTTGTCTGCTACAAGCAATTTAGGAAGGAGGTTTCTACCTGCCTGCATATCTATATATATATATTATCTTTGTTGATAACCTAATCCTTTTCCTGAATTTCAATTAGGAAATCGTCGTCGTTTTCTACCATGAACAGACAACAAGTCTGCAAACTTACTGGCTTGTCTCTACTGCATAAAACTGCAGGTCTTATTTAAAAGAAACCGCAGATAAAAATGTTCAGAAGAGGTAGAAAAATATGGAAATCTTCGTCATTTTTCTCCGAGAAAAGATTACAGAGTAACGTTGTGAGTGAATTGTACGTAAAAATTTAAAATTATACCGACAATCGCCTGAAAGGGGTACAAGAAACTTTTTTACATGTAATGTAAAATTGTATATATACATGTTTAGACCTACATAAAGTATAAGTGATTGAGTAATGAAAAACCAAGTACAGTTGTGACATTTCAAAGTCGGCCCGGTCTAATATATTACTGCATAATCTGTCTGGATCTTTGTATATTTTACCAAGATGAAATGACTGAGATATCCACTGAGCACTAGAGAATATTTTACAAGGATTCCGTCCTAATAAACCATTCCATCTCAACGCCTGCTCACCTAAATTAGAATCATGGCCGTATTTGCAACTTCAATAAAAACTGTTTAATATATTACAGGGGATAAAAGTTCCAGACCGTATTTATGGTCTAAACCTGACTATTATTGTCAGTTCTGGGCTAAATCACGGTCTGGAACTTTCTGAAACCTGCTTTACCTTCACAACAGTGTTCAATAAACTCCAGTTTTTCAACAAATCTTCCAATTTCCTGATCCGTCCCCAGATCATCATCCATCAGATATATCTCAACCTTCATGTCCGTCGTGATGTCAACAGGGATCTCACAGAGGACATTGAACTCGGGTCTGCTCGTTCGTGTCTTCGTCTTGGATCGAAACTCGGCGGAACCGACCCGGATAAGCAAGTAGGGATCCCGGGTTTTCAGGAGAAGGTACTCGCGGGGGGAGTCGAAGATAACGTTCTTTATTTTGATTCTACACCACAGGAGAATATGCTTTGTTGAAAAATAATTTTTCGTCCACCTTTAAAAGTTATTTTAATTTCTAATATATATTAAGACAACAGTTTTTGTAACTTCTTTTTTTTAAAAAAATTTGGAGGTAAAGGGTTTTAACGGTATAATATATAAATTAATAAAAGGGGAAAACATCAAATTTTCCCCTTCCGGATCTCGGAAAAAAAAACAATATATTCCCCTGCCTGACAACTCCTCTGGGATGAGGGATCACCATCCTAAAGCAAGGATCATATCCATCCTTGAGTCCAAGCTTCTGTTTCAGCAAGGGATCAAGAGGGATCATTGCCACAGGAAAACATAGCTTTTTGGGGTAAACTAAATATAAATTAAATTAAAACGTACTTTATCCCCACCACTCCCTCATTATTACACAATGAAAAAAATATCTTAAAATCAGTAAATATTCAGAAACGACATAAATGCAGAGATAGCCAATGAATAGCTAATGTAGTTAAACTTGGTATGCCTAATTAAACTTCTTCTCATATAGCCTACTAGGCCATAAAATTGCTGAGAAGTTTTTAACTTTAAAGGTCAGATCTTTCCATGGGACCAAGACCACAAAGATTGCAAATTAAAACTATGCCTAGGGATGTCAGCAATAAAAAATTATATTTTTTATGCTCTATTCACCTAAGAACTGTTTTTTATCATTCACAAATTTCTACTTATTGCAAATGAAATTTTTTCTCTTTATAATATACTACCTAACATCTTGACGTTATCTCGTATGAGTTGTTTAATAGTTCTGTCAAGACCCGCAATCTTGCTCATGTTAGAACCTAGAACCTTCAAGCACCATTCTATCTCAGGATAGTTCTTACAACTCACTTCAAACCCTGGAGATTTGTCAAAAATTAAAATATGTTTTGAATTCGAAATTTAATGTTAAAATATTTTATCTTGAGTTCACAATTAATAAACATATAGAGGTTTTAGATAAGTGGTTCAATTTGATCTCTGAAGTAAAAGAAGTAGTTGAACTACAGTCGCCATCGCATATCTCAATACAATTAAGACGGCTTTTAATTTCAATTTTGATTTCTAGCAAGCCTTTAAACAGCTGAAACACTAAAACATTTAAACAGAGAGCAGTTATCAATTAACAGCTTTTCTTGTAAATTTGTAATTTGAAAATTGCTTATTAGGTATTAAATAGTCGTTTTAATTGTATTGATATAGACGTCGACCATTGTACATGCATGCAACATCTACTTACAAAACAAGGTTCAGAATTTATATACAAGAGAGAAGTATAGTTAAATCAGCAATTGCCAGTTCATCTACATATTTCTCTTTATAAAGGAATTGAGTCTTTGTCACAAACTCAAATTTTCTAATTTCTGTATCTTTGAAGCCTGATAGCGTAATAGAATCTTTAGTTTGAAATATCTAAAAAAAAGTTCTACGACATTGGGTTGCAAAGCTCTGGTCATCAGAAAGTCATAGTTTGAGGCAAAGACTCAATTCCTTTAAACTCATGGCGGATATTATACCTTGAATAAATGGAGGGTGAGAAGATACATTCCGTATTGTAATTCTTATACTTAGAGTTAGAAGAATAGAGGATATCTCAGCAGTCATTTTAGGTATCACATCAGTTTTAATCTTCACCTAAAATATCCAATTTAGATAGGGCCAAGGTTGTTTTCAACCTATGTTGGTTGTCAGTTTTCTAGAAAATCGAAATTTTTTAAATTCTGATCAATTTAATGCAACTTTGGTGTTATGTTTAGTCCCACAAAAAAAATTGACTGAACGACTTAGCTATTTTGGCAAATTTTCTTATCCCTATAACTTTGCAACCAGATGGTGTAAACTTTTGATATTTCATATTTAGATCATTTGATCTAACAGAAGTCATACTTTGAAATATATAAGGTCTATGACGTTGGGTATAAAGATATAGGAATTAAAATATCTGAGTTTGAGACAAAAATTAATTTCCTTGATATATAAATACTGGGTTGTGAACCCAGCTTCGCCTTAAAACAAAGTTTTATTGTATAAATAATTCACTAAGAAAAATTTTCTTTTTTAGAGTCGACCTATTTAACTAAGACCTTTTAAACTTAGCTAAACACACTCCTGTGGTTCTTCAGAGTTTCCCAATTAAAATTTGAGGCAAATCGGTTAAAAGGTTCCTGAGTTGTAATCGGACTCGGAAATTCAAACAAAAAAAAAACAAATACTACTTTACATTTAGATAGAATATAACCAAGCTTACTTGCATAGCAGCTTCACTGGGATAGCTGAGAGCTAAGTCCAAGACTATAGAATCCTCAATCTCCTTTAGAACCTTAATCTCATCAAAGGTTGGAGCTACCATACCTTCAAATTAATACATTATATGCCATATATTAAGTTAAACATTCGTAATTTGGTAGAAGAGGTAAGGTTTGTCAGACGTGCAGGTAATAGGAAATAACTTGGTTGGTTCCCGAGAGGGTCAGGTTTTTAGGCCATAAACTACAGTTCCATAAAAATAAGATGCCAAAATTTCAAAACTGTAATTAGTGGTTGTATTCGAAACAATGCAAAAACGGTATCCTTAAAAAATAGAAGGAAAATACTAACATAAGCAAGTGTAATGATAGCAATGTTTTTAGAAAATACAATTCTGAAAGGAGTTGAGTCTTTGCCACAACCTTCAATTTTCTAATCCCTATATCTCTGCAACTTGATGGCTTACACCTTTGATATTTCAAACTTAGATTATTTGATCTACCAGAATTCAGAGTTTGAAATAAGTAAGGTCTACGACAATTGGTTGCAGAGATATTGAGATTAGAAAATCAAAGTTTGTGGCAACGACTCAATTTCTTTGTTAAACTTTTCAGATTTTTGTGGAATCTTCTGAACCAATAGCCAAAGAAACCTTAAAATTAAGAATTTGTACACGTCTTTTCTCCCAGGGTTTAAATTTTATAATTTGAAGGAAAGCAAATGTTTAGTTTTAATTTGAAAAGGTTCATGTGGAACCTTTAGTAAGTCCCAAAACCTTTAGTTATTGGACATCACTATATAATTCTTAAACTGATTCAGCACATTCGTTAGAGGTCGAATTTGTTTCGTAATAATTATATTCAAATAACATTATCTGGTCAAGGTTGTTTTTATTATTTTCTTCTCTTACACAAAGAAGACTATTTCATAGAATAAGTTTTTAAGTTTTTGGTTTAAGAATGGCCCAGTTGTTCTTACAGTTTGAAAGTTTAGGAAAAAAAATTTCAAAATCAAAATTTGTTAAGAAAGAAACTGCGTTTTTTGCCACAATTTCTAATTTTTTAAACCTTTTTTTTTCTTTCTAATTTTTTAAATGTCGTAAACCTTTGATATTTCAAACTATGCATTCTGTTAAATCATTAGTCTAAGTTTAAAATATCAAAGGTTTAAGCAATCAAAGGTTGCAAAGATATAGGGATCATAAAATTGATTGTGTGGCAGAAACTGAGTTGTAGAAATTTACCTAAACTGAGAGTGTAAAGTTCGATCTCCAGGTTGATGGGAAGATCCTGCAATTGTTTCCAGACCTGGGGCCAGATAATGTTCAAGATTATGTCCTCCATCCCTGCCCTCATGTTCCGGAACAGGTGCTGGAGGGTCAGGTTCAACCAGTCAGACTTCTCCAGGTGCTCCTCCTTGAACTTCTCACCGAGGGAGATGCAGGTCTTGTCCGAGATGGTCTTGACAAAGTCCACCACCTTGCTGGGGTTCACGCAGTGCCATGACTGGTCAATCTCTATAAATATTTTAAAAAGTTCTTAAAGGTGTAATTTTAAGTGAACCTCCACTCAAAGATGTCATTGCCCGATTTACAACGGTACCCTTGAAACCCTCATCTGATCAAAAATGTGGAAGATAACTCCGTTTTTCCGACTCAAAAAGTGTATCTTTCTGTGTATTTCTCATTACTTCTTAAAATCAAGAAATGCGCAAGTAACTTTTCCCCAGAAACCAAAAATGAAAATGAACAGTTTAATAAAACAAAACATACATGTTTCATTCGTGCTTGATCAGACAAAGCTTTTAAGGGTACGGTTGTGAATCGGGCAGCTATGCATCGAGGGTAACTTGAAATTACGCTTTAACATCCTTTACGTTTATTCAAGGGATTTCCTTCCATCTCTTACATAAACCAGTTAATATTGAAAACAATCCCAATCAAAAATGATCTTTCTTCAAATACAAAACCATGGTACAGGATGTCTCACGAAACATGACAGTTGGTAAATAGTTTAGAATGTCTTCTTCCATAATTTGTTATGTTGTTTAATACCAAAGACAATAATAAAAATATTATTTAGGAGTCATATTATAGAAAAATTATCTTCAAAGTAAAATATATTTGAGCAAAAGATTTTTTAAACGAAATAAACTGCAAACAGCCTTTAATATCTAATATAGTGGATGGAAGACGACATTCAAAACTATTCGCCAACTGTCATATTTCGTGGGACACCCTGTATCTCCTTTAAAGTTTAAAACCGAATCGTACACGTAGTTCTTAAAATATAGGTTCACTTGAAATTGCGTCTTTTGTTCCATTAATCAATTCAAGGAATTATGTTGTACAAATTCTGCAATTTTTTTTAACAAATATTTTCTTTTTTTGAATAAAAACAATTTATTTCTGTGAGAGAGTCACAAAGTAAATAATAATACTTTTTAAATATAAAGTTGCTTGAATACAAAGCTATAAACAATTTAAAGTGGTAATAAAGGACAACTCTTGGACAACTTCATCTTAGATGGTTAAAAAGTGTGAAGGGTGCAGATGTGAATGTAGGGTCACTTGAAATAAATCCTTTAAGATATAACTAATTAACATTTCCCCAATAAACGTAAAAATTAATTTACCTTGCTTGTCGGATTTTGGAGACATAGCTAGTACGATGGCGGGTCTCTCCTCCGCCTCTTGTTTCTCCGGGTCTGTGGCGGAGCCAGCCAGGATCTTAATCTTCAACGCCTTGGCCGCAAACACCAGGAACCCCACGGAAAACAGTCCAAACACTTGACCAGGGATTTTTAAATTCAGTTTTAATTTTTAATTAATTGTTTATATGTTACCTCTAGCTGGCCAAACGGCTGGACAAAATTGGTTAACATTTTTTGAGGGAACCCATGGGTACCCGGGGGTAACATAGGCTATTAAAAAAATTCGATTTTTTTCACGGGCAACTCCGGGCACTTCAGCTAGTTCACTTAAAATAGAATATCGAATTTTATCTGGAACCCGAGGTGGTGGGGGGTGCGAGGGCGGTGTTTTGACAAGACATAAAAAGGAACCTCTAATAAATGCTAGAAAAAAAATCATCAAAACTTTAATAATAAATAATTTCAATTCAGGTTTTTGATTTTTTTTTAGCTCGGAGCGACCGTTCCCAGGAATATTCTTAATTGAAAGGTTTCAAATTTTTTATCAAGACGCGGGGGGATTTTTTCCTGGTCATAACAAGAGCCCAAATTAACATTGTATCAGTTTAGACATAAGAATTAAGATAAAAATCAAAGATTGTCTTTAATTTTCGATGATTTATGAAAGACCTGAAGCCAATGAATAACATGGGAATTGACAACAGTAACCCCTTCTTATGATACACGATAAATGGCGTAATACAAGTTTGAAAACATAAAAATTGACCGAAATTAAAGATTTTGAGTCGCGTTTGAAATTTTAGACGCGGCTCAAACTTGGTTGGTTCCACTTAAAATTGTATTTAGTGTTTCCAGATTTAAACGACATGCGGATTCGCTATTCAAACACTAGACTACCAGATTTTCTAGGCAGACCGAGCCTCCGACATGCAGTAAGAGCCTCTGCTGTACAGTAAACGAGCCTCTGCTATTTTTGCATTTTTTTCGAAGTAATGGCATAAAAAGTTTAATAAAGACCAGAAGTATTATTTATTAATTAATAGGGCCTGATCATGACTAACAAGTGGTTTGCAAAACTTGAAACATTTTTTTTTTCCAAAAAAGACAAATAATCTGAATCTTAACAAAGGGGGGGGGGGGCCTAAAAACGTATTACTCTCCGGAAAATTTAAACAGTGGTTAAACATAACTTAGAATTGTCGTAGGAGGCTGATTTTTGCATGCAAACTCAGAATTATGTATATTACATGCATTTTTTGGTTTTGAAGGAATCTGAGCAAAAGTCATATATATGTTCCATATAGCCGGCAAAACGGCTGGACCAAATGGGCTGAATTTTTTAAAGTAAACTCATAGGTAGCCCGGGGGTGACATAAGCTAAAAAATTCGAATTTTATTTTGAAATCAAATTTTTTTCTTCAAAAAACCAGATTTTTTTTATAAAATTTGATTTTAAAATTTTGGTATAATTTTGACACAGTATTATATCAATTTCTCGAGACAGGAAATCAGATAGATGTCTTACATGTAACTTTTAGCGTCTCAGATTCTCAGGTTTTAATCTTTAGTAAAATTCTTGTGGCACTATGTCAAAATTATTAAAATTCTTTATTACATGTAAAACTTAAGAGTTATAAAAAAGCTGTTCTGTTTTAAAGTGGAGGCTCGTACTGCATGGCAAATCAGGGAGGCTTGTGTCTGCACGATGGAGGCTCATGGTGGTCGGGGATTCCCTTCCTCTTTGACCCGGTGCTCAATTGGAACCGATTTTTGACGGGTTCAGCGACATGGTTCAAATTCCTTATATTAGGCCTCAGATTTTAATTCAGAAGACAAGACATGGACTGTCTCAAAATCTAATACTTAACACTTTTTAATCTGAATTTAAATTAATCACCCTGTAGATACCAAGGTAGGAAGGAAACTAGCCAAGTCAAGGTGACAGTTGATATAATCACGAATCGAATCCAGAAAGCAGAAAGGGCCGAGGTTGGAATCTTTTTCAGCTCGTCCACTACTTCGTCGAGCATCTTTTTCTTTTATTAATGTACGAGAAAACAGGTGGAATAGGTTAGGTTAGGTTAGGTTAATTATTCTATTAATTCACGAGAACAGATAAATAAATATATACCCATGAATATGGGGAACAGTTTTAAAGAACTCCATATAATCATTTAATTAAAAAACTTGTATCTCCAAGATTCCATTATCAGAAAGTTAAGAATACGACATTTGATGAATTCTTTTAATGTATGGCTTATTTAGGGTTTAACTGTAATATAAAAATTATAGAATTTTTATCAAGTTATTTGTTAAATAGCAAACATTCAAAACTATGAATTGTAAACCTCGATTTAAAACTTTGATATATCAATACATACATATTCTTATATAGTTGACCCAATTTATATCAGAAACGGAGCTTCGTTTAAAAAAAGTTGGTCAAATTAATCCTAAAAGTTATTCACTAAGGCAAAAATTAATTGATATAATGCAAAACTAGAACACAAAATTCCTTGTCACTACGTTTTCTTAGTTACATATTTTCAGTCAAATGCGTCGTCAAGACGGCTTCACGTGAAAACAACAATTGTAGAAACTTTGTCAAGTTTTTAACGCTTTAAGCAAACTTTGATTCTAATCTCTAACAATTAAATAACAATTACGATCGTCATCACAAGATACAAAATTGATATTCTTTATAAAATAACGTAATGTCAATCAAATATTACATCAACATTTTCAGACTAATTAGCCATATATAAAATTATCATGAAGATATTCAAAAGTAGTAGTTAAGAGCTTCTGAGCGATCCTGTAAATTCAGTGTTAAACTTTTGATCAGGGCAACCAGTAGTGATCTTCAAAAGTTGTAGTTAAGAGCTTCTGAGCGATCCTGTAAATTCAATGTTAAACTTTTGATCAGGGCAACCAGTAGTGATCTTCAAAAGTTGTAGTTAAGAGCTTCTGAGCGATCCTGTAAATTCAATGTTAAACTTTTGATCAGGGCAACCAGTAGTGATCTTCAAAATGATCTTACGTGACATCGTAGTTATCAGCTTCTCATGGATCTTTTGTGAAATCAAATCTAGCATTAGTGAAATCAAGGCTATGAGTTGAACCCCGATCTTACGAGACTTCAATGTTGAGCTTCATGATATTTTGTTCAATAATTTTGAACTTCTGTAAAATCTTCAGAAGCGATTATTTGTGAGAGCATAGTGTTAAACTTCTGCAAACGAAGAAGGAATACCCGGAAAGAATTTGTCCATCCAAATTAAACATTTTTCATGGTACATCTTGTTCAGCGCATACTAATCCACTTTTTCGCCATTAAACATTTTTTTCTAGAACTTTTAAAAAATAACATTCTAATACAAATGGTGGATATTTTCAAGTATATTAATTATTGACAAAAAACAAAACGAATAAAAAAATCACAATTGTAACGGAATCGACAAAAAAATACATTGTAAGATAACTGTTAACAGGAGGTTGAACGTAGAAAATGTTATACATTTTACTCATAGCTTTCCATTTTTAATATCTCTTTTTGAGATTACTAGGACTTCAGATTTGGGCTTAACACAGAGGTTGAGTCAACTAGAGGCATAGGATACCCCGGTCCTTCCTCAGTAGAATTAGTAGATTAGATATCTGACTCCGACAGTATAGGATCCAACTCCGGGTCTACCATGAGCCTGATCGGTCCTAACATAGATTGACATCCGTCCTTTAACTTCTCTGGAACCATCATATCCTCCACAAATACCTAGTCAAATTACTGTGTTATACAATTATGAATTATTAAATAAAAGTTTCAAATAATTTGGAAGTAAGTCGATGGATATTTTTTAAGAAGTCTCCTATTCGTCAAATAAATGATTATCCTAACTACAATTCAACACCTTCCAATATCAAGTCCAATGTTTTCACAAAACTGAAAAAATCCACAAAATTAAGATTTTCTGTCACAACATGCGATAATTGTATTCACCGAAAGAATTAGTTGCACCTAAATAGGCATCTTTCAACGGTCAGATTAAGAATTAGTTGCCCTTGAATAGGCATCTTTCAACGGTCAGATTAAGAATTAGTTGCCCCTGAATAGGCATCTTTCAACGGTCAGATTAAGAATTAATTTAGGCAGAAATCAAGGTTTTACTTGTAAACTGTATATTCCTAATTTGTTCAACCTAATTTGAATCAACTTATATATCAATTCACAACAATACTTAACAGTTTATTGTAGAACGAAGCAACCAAATACATTTTTCTCATCTTTCTTACAGAATTTTTTTAAGTAAAACATCTTCACCAACATTTCTCGGAAACAGGGTTAAAAGAAAATTGTTAAATGGCGCTTTTTTAGGTTTTGTAATAAGGTTTCAATGAATAATATTGCTAAAAATAAATAATTACTAGAACTATTGATCCGCGGATTTGAGGAGTAAAATATATTTTAAAAAATAAATTGACCTCAAAACCAAATTCTTGCCTCAATGGTAGTTAAATTCAATTGATCTCTCACTGCCCAGTTTCAGCGAAAACAAAAAAGATAAAAAGGAAAAATGTTTGTGAAAATAATTATGTCAAACTTTAGCGGGAGTATTTCTAAGCTGATCCGGATCTATTTTTACTGAACGGATCCGGGATCCGGATCTATTTTTTACTGAACGGATCCGGGATCCGGATCTATTTTTTACTGAACGGATCCGGGATCCGGATCCGCGTCAAAATGATATGGATGTAAAATTTACTGTTATCTTTAATACCTGGGTAGCACTATATGGGCCTGCACTAGTAATAAAAGGATGCAAGCCTTCACCTAAATCATTAACATTTGCTATTTTGTCATGAATACGGGGGGAGGGGGCGTATTACTTTCGCCAGAAAGTTTAGTCCTATTGATTAAAAATAAAAATAAAAACTAATTGATTTTAACTGGAAAGACTACAATAAACTTCCTGTTGAATTAACTACAGTGGTCGGCGATTATATCAATATAATAAATATGATTTTTATTTAATAATGCTTTGATCACTAACGAGCATTTTTCAAATTTTTAATTTACAGTTTACAGAGAGAAGCTGATAATTGACAACTTCGTTATTGGTTTTAACGGGTAACACTTCGAAAAATGATCCGAGGCAGAATTTCTTCTGGGGTAATTACTCGCTTCAGCCTTCCTAGCTATGTACATCCTTAAAATCATCTCTGGATCGTTCTTTTTGTGTCTCTGCTGTTTAGAAAGATAAGAATAAATCAAAATTGAAATAGAAAGTCGTCTTCATGGTAACAAAATATACGAAAACGACTGTATATAAGTGTATATGACATATATGATCTACACAATCCTGATAAATAAACCAGTCTCAACAAAGGAATTAAGTCCTTGCCACAAACTCTGATTTTCAACCCAATGTAGACCTTGGATATTTCAAATTATAAATTCTGTTATATAACCATCAGGTTGCAAAGATGTAGGGATTAGAAAATAGAGTTTGTGGCAAAGACCCAATTCCTTTACCTGTTACTGTTAGAGGATCTTCTTCATTCATCCCAGAAGCATTCTCAGCGGACGAACATTTATAAAGGACATCAGGAGATCTCTCAGTTAATCCTGGTTTCAGAGTAACAGGAGATCTCTCAGTTAATCCTGGTTTCAAAGTATCAGGAGATCTCTCAGTTAATCCTGGTTTCAGTGTATCAGGAGATTTCTCAGTTAATCCTGGTTTCAGAGTATCAGGAGATCTCTCAGTTAATCCTGGTTTCAGAGTATCAGGAGATCTCTCAGTTAATCCTGGTTTCAGTGTATCAGGAGATCTCTCAGTTAATCCTGGTTTCAGTGTATCAGGAGATTTCTCAGTTAGTTCTGGTTTCAGTTTATCTTGAGATTTCTCAGTTGATCCTGGTTTCAGTGTATCAGGAGATTTCTCAGTTAATCCTGGTTTCAGTGTATCATAAGATTTCTCAGTTAATCCTGGTTTCACTTTATCAGGAGATTTCTCAGTTAATCCTGGTTTCAGTGTATCAGGAGATTTCTCGGTTAATCCTGGTTTCAGTGTATCAGGAGATTTCTCAGTTAATTCTGGTTTCAATGTATCAGGAGATTTCTCAGTTAGTTCTGGTTTCAGTTTATCAGGAGATTTCTCAGTTGATCCTGGTTTCAGTGTATCAGGAGATTTCTCAGTTGATCCTGGTTTCAGTGTATCAGGAGATTTCTCAGGCGAGGATCCATCAGCAAGTAATTCTGGAGCTTTCGCACTACAAGATGATTCTTTTTCAAGAATTAATGAAAATTTTTCCTGGGCTTTCTCGGATAATGATCCTTGCTCCAGTATCTCTGGAGCTTTTTCAGTGAAGGATTCTTTATCCAGTATCTCTTGAGCTTTCTCAGTGAAGGTTCCTTTATCCAGTATCTCTGGAGCTTTATCAGTGAAGGATCCTTTATCCAGTATCTCTGGAGCTTTATCAGTGAAGGATTCTTTATCAAGTATCTCTGGAGCTTTATCAGTGAAGGATTCTTTATCAAGTATCTCTGGAGCTTTCTCAGTGAAGGATTCTTTATCCAGTATCTCAGGAGCTTTCTCAGTAAAGAATTCTTTATCTAGTATCTCTGGAGCTTTCTTATCAGGGGATCCTTTCTCCAGTATCTCAGGAGCTTTCTTAGTAGAGGATCCTTTCTCCAGGATCTCTGAAGCTTTCTTATCATGGGATTCCTTATACAGTAAATCTGGAGCTTTCTTAGTAAGGGATCCTGTATCCGGTATCTCAGGAGCTTTCTTAGTAAAGGATCCAGTATCCGGTATCTCAGGAGCTTTCTTAGTAGAGGATCCTTTCTTCAGTATCTCTGAAGCTTTCTTAATAGAGGTTCCTTTATCCAGTATCTCAGGAGCTTTCTTAGTAGAGGATCCTTCATCCAGTATCTCTGGAGCTTTCTTAGTAAGGGATCCTGTATCCGGTATCTCAGAAGCTTTATTAGTAGAGGATCCTTTCTCCAGTATCTCAGGAGCTTTCTTAGTAGAGGATCCTTTCTCCAGGATCTCTGAAGCTTTCTTATCAGGGGATTCCTTATCCAGTAAATCTGGAGCTTTCTTAGTAAGGGATCCAGTATCCGGTATCTTAGGAGCTTTCTTAGTAGAGGATCCTTTCTTCAGTATCTCTGAGGTAATACTTGTGGAAGAACTTTGATCCAGTAACTGAGAAGCATTTCTTTTCAACTTATGGTGCTGTGGAACAAGAGGTGGATCTCTCAGAGCTCCAATAGATGAAGAAGCTGAGACGTCAAACCTTGGAGAAATAACAAGTGCAGATGCCGCGTAGTTTGAGAACTCAACATTTATCTTAGGAGAGGCTTTAGTGTGATTTCCTGTTCTTTGAGATTGAGTTTTAGGTGGAAGAGATCTATCCGGAATCTTATTCTGTGCAAGTTCAGTCTTCTCATTCGCTCTCCTAAACGTTTTGCGAAACATTATTTCTGATGAAAATATCAATTATCATCGCTATTTTGGGCAAATTTGATGTTTTATATGATCTCGAAATGATTTTTAGTGAATTGTGGGGAAAAAATGAAAAATTGAACATCAACATTTAAAAGGCAAGTTTATTATCCTTTTCTTTTTAAATATACACCTCTCTGGAATCAATTCAAGAACACTAATTGTTAAATAAAATGTGTTTACCTGGGTCCTGTAATTTTGGTCCTCGGCTTTTTGTTGACACTCTGTTCTAATAATTCTGAAGGCCTGCTGCTACGTTCTCTCATTTTCTTACTTGCAGTGCCTCGGTTTCCTTGTCCCAGGTTGCTTGCAGTCATTATTTTTGATATGCTAGAACTTCCTACTTCAGATTCCTTTGCTCCAAGTCCAGTTGGTTGAATATTTTTAGACATCAAGCTTGCTTTGCTTTTCTCTACATCTATGGAAGATCTTTGTGAACTAACTTCTCTAGATCTTTTTACGGTTAGAACCTTTGTTATGGGCTTGGTAAAAGGTTCCTTTTCCTTCCCTGTGTTTTTCATCCTTTGAACTTTCACACCAAGGCGTCCAAGGCCAGAACCTGTTTTGGACCTGGATTCAGATTTTCCTTTCATGCACTTAGTTGCATTCATTGGTTCATGAGTATGCGCAGTTGGTTCTGTCAGACTAAGACCATGTCGGGAATCTGAGTTGCTCCTGGTTCGTTTTAGTGCACCAGAATTCCTTTGATTCAAACTTTTCACTGAGGGGCATCTCATTTCCCTGGTAAAAGTAGTGGTTATGTTTCCTAAAGGTTCGTAAGTTTCCTGTCTTATCCTAGCAGCAGATCTAGTTGTATATCCTGAACCACCATGGCTTTCAACACATTTTGGAAGTTCCAGATTGTCTCCATCACTTATTACCTTTGGTTTACTTAGATCATTCAGTACAGGAGAGGAGTTACAAGTAATAACCTTCTCATCAAATGGTTCATGGGCTTTGGAGAGTTTTGAAAGATCCCTCATCTTGATTGAATGAGTGGAAGTTTTTGGAAGAACCTTCTTCAGGGATGGTTTATTATCTTCTGGAAGCTCAACTATTTGCTCGTTAGATCTGGAAATTTCTGGAAGAACCTTCTTCAGGGATGGTTTATTATCTTCTGGAAGCTCAACTATTTGCTTGTTAGATCTGGAAGTTTCTGGAAGAACCTTCTTCAGGGATGGTTTATTATCTTTTGGAGCCTCAATTATTTGCTCGTTAGATCTGGAAATTGTAGTACATTCATTCAGAGCTTCAAAAGCAGTGATCTTCTCAACAGATTTGTTAGAGTTATGACTCAACTTCTGAACCTTAACCTTGAGAAACAAGAAATTAGAAATCAGCATCTAATGATCTACATTCTACATTATTACAACTAATTCCATTTATATCTTAAAGAAAATTATTCTCCCGGAGACTTGAATTTAATGAATTCGAGCTTCATTGCTGAACTATCTACTGTCGGTTCAAATTTAAACCAAAACTTTAAAGTTAAAGATTGAGAAAAGATTTGAATTTGTGATTCAAATTTGATTCGACGGTGGTAGGTTGTTCAAATTCATTAAATTCGGTCCCGCCCAAACCCATCCTTTCTTGCAATTAAATGAATAGTACTACAGACTAGCAATGCAATAAAAAAAACCTATGGGCCTTCAATCTAAATTTTGTTGATTGTCATGGACAATTAACAAGGACAACTTAAATTTTAAAAAGTTTAAATAGGATTTTAAATAGTTTTTACTTAAGAAATTTTTTAAAAACAACTTAGACATTTCTAGCAGGTAAATCTGTATAACCATAATGAAAAGGCCTTTTAAAATCCCATTTGAACCAGATGATAAAAACTTTACCTTATGAACATCCAAGATGTGTCTTGGAACACTCTTCCTTTGCATTTTCTTGAGGCAGACTGGACATGTTGTTAATGAGTATCTATGCTTCACATTTTCCTGAACTGGGTTGATCTTCTGTTTAGTCTGCCTTACTTTGCATGATCTTTCAGTAATTAGTTTAGAATCATCTTTCCCTGGAAGCTCTGATTGAGTACCATTGCAGGAATTAGGCTCATCAGAACATTGGATAATATCAGGCACAGGTTCAATTATAGTTACAGGTTTAGGAGGAGGTGTTACTTCCATATTACTTTCAGGGTTCTCTTCATGTTCAACAACTTTCTTCGTTTCGACCGATTTCTTTACTCTAGATTTGAGTTTTATTCTTTGACCCTTATCTGTTTTTCTAATTGCTCCGTTCGTTAGTCTGGGGAAAGATTTCTGTATGCTTCTATCATTTCTGCCTTTCTTGCATTCCATTAATCCATTTTGACCGGGGTTGTGGTGGTTATTCTGATTATCCTTACAGTCTGTGTTTATATTTTCATCCTGGTGGATTTTATCCATTGGTTCAAGGGCAATGTCTTCAACCCACTTCCTTTATAACACAAATTAAATTCAATACATGTATGTATATTGTATATCTTATATATTTTTCTTTTTATTTTATTTTTTGTTTTATCTGATTAACATTAACAAAACTATCCATTCAGGCACAACAAAATGGTAAAGAAAGAGTAAAATCTGCAAAATCTTGAATTGGGTAAGTTTAAAAATGTACTTCAATGGGAAAAAATGGCCAGATATGAAAAACTATGAGTGCAAAAGGTCGCTAAATCAAAAAATAACAAATTTTGAGAAGTCTTAAACAAATATTTTATTTACCTTTCCAAAGTTTGAATGATATTGAGTAGATGCTGAGCATTTCTAAATTAATTAAAGGTCTCAATTACTTATTTATAATTATTGGCATAAAAAGTCATTAACATAATTTCTTTCTGCAACTGTTTTACAATTCTAATTAATCATTGTTACCTAGTGAGTGAATGTTGTGCTCCGAATCTGTTGAGACAGTTTGTCTGTATAAACTGGAAACCATCTTTAAAATCTACCATGGAACCAAACTCATTTCGGAGCAACCGGTCACCAACTTAACAAGACTTTTGTAAATCGAGACTTTTGGTTAGAATGGCGCTCAAAGTCAAGACTAAACTCAATATCCACAATGTAAACTCTTTAATTAAAAGATTTTAATTTAATTCTGGGGATCCTCAAAAAATATTTGGAGAAATAATTAAAATGTAAGTTAAAGAAAGTGATGATTGAACCAGATTTATAATAAATGTCTATTGTCCAGTGTAATTTTATATAGAAAAGGCATCACATATTAGGGTAATATCAATTCTATGAGGAAAGAAACTTCACAAAAAAATACAGCGCTAAATTCAGTAGGAATTTCCACTAAAATTGAAGCATCCCAGCATCTGGAATCTATTTTCCAGTGGCCGAATTTAAAGAATTTGAGCGGCGGTTTAAATTTAAGCCGCGGCTTAAAGATGGTTGGTTCCATTTAAAATGGTATAAAATGATTCAAGATTTAAGCCAGCACTTAATTTAAACCGGGTTTTGGCAGATTTAAACTGCGGCTCAAATTCTTTAAATTCCATCTCAGGACAGTTAAAAAGTAAATGGATTATGCACTGAATGTAACAAAGAGGCCTCTTTTTTTCATAGTAAAATAAAAAATGAAACTTACTCTCACTGATGTCCAAAAAATTGGCAGGCTCTGAATAGTATAGTGATTCCTTCCAGTTCGTATCATCACTCCTATAAAAACAAATAAATTGAGTTTATAAATTCAGTCTTAAATATTTCTTTTATAATGTACACTACACAATTTGTTAGAAGAACTGTAGCTAAAATTGATCCATCAAGAAATGTTGCACGTAAGACTTTCCAATCTTGACTAGAAACCCCAAATGTTTTTGAAGTTTCAACAAAGTGGCTGAAAGAATGTATTAGCAAATAATTAAAAAATAAATAAAAACATAAACAAAGAAAAAGAGTTTTTGATCCAAATACAAACCTTTTAGTATATTAAAAGTTGTCTATTCAGTATTAAGTTTTTATAAATTTAATTATACCATTTAATTTTTGTTCAGAGATTGAAAATAAAAACAAAACCTTTTGGCAGAATATTTTGAACAAGATGTTTTTTAAATTATTTGACATTTTTCATCTTATAAAGTTCTTCTGGACCCCCCCCCCCCTTTTAATGTTTTTTTATTTGAAGTTTCAATATGGTTTACCTAAAGTGGGTTGCAGCCTTACTACTCTCCACCATCTCATACATCAAGGATAGTCTCTTACTGAACAAAAAAGACCAACATTAAAATACTAGAATTCGATATCTTTACAAAGTTAAGAATAAAGATTAAACCAATTTGCTCTGGGACTTTCAGGTTGAAAATGTTAACCATTGAAAAAAAGAAGTAAGAAAACTCTTATTTAGGCTTCTTTAAGTCCCCTAAAGGCAAATCATAACAAATTTAGAAGAAATAAACAACAACAAAAAATGTTGTTTGATGGGTTTTAATGGGTTTTAGTTCGAATTTTGCAAGGTTTTTTACCCAGAAAATTGCAAGTTATTACATCTTTGCCCTAATCCACCCTGAAGCCTAATCTCCAACAGGCAAAGTATTCACTGATCAAATCTATAATCTATGGATAAATTTAGCTTGTCTGTCTATTTGTTAGTATCCAATAAACGTCAGAACGGCTGAACCGATCAGGCCAAAATTTTGTGTGAGACCTGACATGGCCCCAAGGAAGGTTTATGAATGATCAAAATGTTAAATATTTGTCTCCATCAAAATTTGATTTTCATTAAATTTTTGAACATTTTAAAAATCCACAAAATTTGTGTTCAAATCCGCGAGAACTTTTTTTGTTTAGTTTTACAATGTACACAAAGAGAACATGTTCACAATTAAAATAGAAGATGGGCACGAAGCGCCCTAAAAGGCTAGTACTATTAAAATTCTATTACACAAACAAACAACATTGGAATAAAACAGGGTTACCCCACCCTGGGTCAATTAAAAGGAACTGTAATGTTAACCACAAATGTCCAAAATTCTGAACCTGAGAGTTGAGTTCTTCCATCCCCTGGAAATCCTGTCTGAATGTCTCTTCTTATCCCTAGAAGGAGAACCAAACCTACGAGTAGGAGGTATGTATTTTCTTTAGTACTTAGGATCCCGATCTGGCTCAATAGGATCTTCAACATTTTGGCTTCCTGGATTCTGGATCCTGAATCCGGATTAAGATCCATTGTCAAGGGTAGATCCAGGATCCGCATTCGCATCAAAATAAAATGGATCATAAGCACTGGTTTCCTTTAAGTAACATTTCCTTCCAAATTCTCAAACCCTTATTTGGGCAAGATAAATAATTACAAAGAATAAAAATACATATCATGATCGAAACAGACAGGAAACTTGCCATTTTAAGTCCAATTTCCCCCCCAACAATCTTTTGAAACAATTTTTACCCTGCAGAGAAATTACTTAAAAATATATACCCCTGAAAAACAAGAAAATAATGTTAAGTTTAAATATTATTTGTCTACCTGACATTGTTTAATTGTTGGATCTCTTTCACCATCCACTCCTCCTGTACTCCAACTTCATTTAGCTTAGATACTTCAGATCCCTTCCACTCCTCCTGTACTCCAACTTCATTTAGCTTAGATACTCCAGATCCCTTCCACTCCTCCTGTACTCCATCTCCACCTAGATTGGATTTTCCTGATCCCTTCCACTCCTCTTGTACTCCATCTCCACCTAGATTAGATCCTCTGGATACCATCAACTCATCCTGTACTCCATCTAAACCTAGCTTGGATCCTCCAGATCCTATCAACTCCTCCTGTACTCCATCTACACCTAGATTTGATCCTCCAGATCCCATTAACTCCTCTTTTACTCCATCTACACCTAGATTGGATCCTCCAGATTCTATCAACTCCTCTTGAACTCCATATACACCCAACTTGAATCCTCCATACCCCATCAACTCCTCCTGTACTCTATCTACACCTAGCCTAGATCCTCCAGATCCATTCCATTCCTCTTTTAGTCCGTCTCCACCTAGTTTAGATTTTCCAGATCCAATCATCTTCTCCTGTACTCCATCTTTACCTAGCTTTGATTTCCCAGATCCCTTCCACTCCTCCTTTACTTTGTCTTTACCTAGATTAGACTTCCAAAATCCTATTCTTTCCTCATGTACCACTTCTTTATCTAGCTTAGATACTCCAAATTCCATCAGTCCATTGATTTTGGATCTATACCCACCTTTAGAGTTTATCATGTCAAGAGCAGTGAACAGACTAATCCCTTGTCTTGGAACTACTGGGCCTAAAGCAAATATAATAAATGGCATGGTGGTTCTCAAATCATAACCGTAAAAATTCTTTCTCGCAAAATTGGTAGGGAAGACAAGGTCAGGAAAAGGAGAAAACGAAATAAAACTGATTTACTTTGAAAAACATTTTACCTGTATTTTCTAAATCCAAGTTGGGCACTTCAGATGGAACTTGTTGCTCACTAAAACAAATAATATGTTAGGAATTATTTTAATTCTCATAAAATTAGAAAAAGCGGTTAAGTGCATGATTGATATGCAGACATATAAATAATGCATGAGAAATAAACCTTAGACTATTTTATCTATTAATTGGACTGGAAAATTTTTCTAAGTTAACAACAAAATTTTAGATGACAACTTGGTCCAAACGTATCAGGCAAACTTATTTGTAGATATGATAATAAAACATTTAAAATTAAAATTTAGTCAACAATCTATCAAGCCACAAAGAAAAGGGTGTAACTTGAAATTATTTTGAATTAAGTAGCCTTAATTTAAAATAATTTCAATTGTGAATGTAACAAAAAAAGAATTATTTGACTTAATTTTAGCACTGACCTAAGTTTAAGCTTCTTAACCCCTTGCACCTCTCTTGGTACATCCTTTCTTCTTCTATTTCTTTCTTTCAAGTTTCTTAGATTGGATCCAACTTTGTTCTCTTCCAGCTCTCTGGCTTTAAATGTTGGTTTCTTTATACGCTTTGATCTTACAGATTTATTACAATCTTTGGGGTCCACCAGTTTGACATTGCAATCCATTCTTTCTTGCCACTGATTCCCTTCAGCCTTGCCTTCAATATCTGCTCTATCTTTGGGTGTAATGTTAACTTTTCTAGTTTGCCCCAGCAATCTGGGATCCTTAGTTTTCTGTAGAAGTCTTGTGGATACATCACTTGATGTATTGCAGCTACTAGAATGATAAAAAAATAAAAAATGAATATTCTTAAAAGGACTATTTAGGTAATTTCGAGTGATCCTCTTTTTAACAGATTACACCTTGATTCACAATAATTTAGTACCCATTAAAATCAATCCTAAATCTAAGTAACCATTATGTGAATTTCCTTTCTAACTTTCACAAGAGAAAAAAAGGACAATCATTTTTACGGAGACAGAAGATTAAAGTTGCCTTGTGAATTAGGCATGTTCTTCATGTAATCGTAGGTCATTTCAGTCAGGTGAAACTACAATTTGTAGAAGAAAAAATGTTGAGAAATGTAAATGCTAAGAGGTAAAAAAATAAACCTTGTGTCACTTTCTTGATAAGCCGCATAATCACTTGTTGACTCGGTTGAGAAGGATTCATCACATACATCTTTTTGTTCCCTGTCATCATGTACTACTGGAGACTGGAACAGGTTCCTGGTTACACTTCTCACTTTACTACCATAATCAATTAACCTACTTGATGATGATGCTTCAGGAGTACTGAACTTTTTCAACTCGCCGCATGAAGTTGGAACATGCATCTCTTGATATTCCTCTACTGGTATGTGGGCAAGCTGGTCAATGATATCGACATGTGGATCATGATGAGGAATATGTTCTTGATTAGGTTCAGGGTTTTTGACAGAAGGATATGGATCGGGAAGTTGATTATCTAAAATAATCTGATGTGTTACCATATTACCTTACCAAATAAGTTGTTTCATATCATATGATTACCCAATACAACAACAAAACTGTGAGAAATTTGTGTGTACAACACCCTTATTCATATGTGAATAAAAAGATTGTTTTATATTTTTAGTACCTGAATTACCATATTCTGTGTGTTCAGAACCAATCAAGAGTAGATCATCAAAACCTTGATCTAACAATGGGCCCATCATACTTGAAAAACTACTCAATGGATTTTCAATCTGATATAAAAAAATAGACCAAATTATTTTATAAAATCAAAATAATTTTTATCTTTCCACAAGGAGTAGGAAGCTGGAAAATGTGTTGAAATAGAAGGGGAAAAAAGAAACTTCTTAAATCTTTTTGACATTTTGTCCAGAGGTATTACTTTCCACAAATATTTGATTATTTTGAAAATGCTATTTCTCCCTGATTTTATTTATTACCCAAATATGTATTGCTTAAGTAATGGAAAACATAATGTTGAGAATTCAGGAGGATTGTGGAAGTTTATTTAAAGAAATATTTTCAATCTGAAATTTCACTAGTTATATTGTACCTCTGTTTCTTTTGAAGAAGTGGAAGTAGATTCAAGAGGTATCTCTTTAGGCATATAGAAATCTACATACGGATCATTCCTAAATATTTAATCAATATTAACATTTAACATTTAGTATGAGAATTAAAATCTTAATAATATCCATAAGGGATTTTTCTCAAAAATAAGATCCACGAAAAATAGTTTCTTAAAAAATTGACTAATAAAGATACCTAATAGTTTCTGCAATACTTGGATCTAATATGGCAAACACTGAATCTGAGTTCTTCATGAAGAAGTAGGATTCGACTGGTTCAAGACTCCAAGATGTCTGGGTGCCTATGCTTGTAACTTCATTTCTCCTGTTGGAGCTGGGGTTTAAAGGAACATTTCCAGCACTCTTTAGTCCCACTCTATTTTGGATCATTTCTCTGGATTTTAAATTATTACCAGGTTTTGTCTGTACTTGCCTTTCTCGTTGCTGCAAAATCCTGGAAAATTATTTCAAGATTTTAGCAAGAAGGCAGGTGCTAACAATTTCTAAGCCTAGTTGCATATTACTCTCACACAAAACACCCAAAGCAGATATGAATTGTGTACACACTAATTTCTTATATAGTCACCAAATAAATCCTTTTCAGGCAGAAACCTTGTGTTTTTTTTTATCTTTAAGAAAATTCTTTCCGTCTCAGTTTAAAAATGCACATTTGTTTTATAAAATTAAGCTCACCATACTTGGGTTCCTATATACTATCTTTGAACCATAAAAAGTATTTTTGTAATCCTCTTTGCAAGGTATCTGCTGGATAACTCAAATATTCCAAAAATCTCTTTTAGTTGCTATACAGAAGGCTTTTACTCAATGCCTTACTTTGTAAAATCTTATTTAAAGTGTCAAGACAAAAAATCCCAAAACTTTTTATCACCTGACTTCTGGGAGTTGCTGAAGGGTATTTTTCACAGGATGAATAGTAGTTCTTAGGTCACTTCTTCCACAAGCAGTAAACCCCTAAAAATATTGACTAAAAAAAAGGCAACCTAGAAAACAAAAGATTTATATATACTCTGGATTTTGCTTCACTTTTAATTTTGAAATATAATAACCTGCATTTCCTTAGAAGATCTGCTCTTGGAATTAGTCTGTCTCTCACTGGCATAACTGGCCAAATTTGGAGGCCTTTGCTGAGAAGGCTGTGTCATAATAGCTGCAAGTGACACAGTACGATGGATTTGTGTGTGTGTCAAAGAACTTTTTTGATCAGAAGGTTTCTTCATTTGAGGGACAAATGTAGGAGGCCTGTAAGGTTGACATTCTTTTGGTTGATACGGGTTTGACGTTGATGGTAAACTTGTCTGCTGTCTTCTTGAACCCCACCCGTGATTATGATTTGAGGAATAGTTCATAATCTGGGGAAGCAGCCATGAAGAAATAGGTGGAAAGGATTTGCAAATTGGATTCTGGTTTTGTGGTCTTTGGTTGCTAGTGTGGTCTGCAACAAAATCAGGCTGGAGTGGTTTACATGTGACCTGAAATTTGGAATCCTGATGTGTGGAGGGTATAGGAAGCTGATGTGAATTTAGTTGTGAACTGAACTGGTTCAAGGTTTGGTTTCGCTCTGTAAGTGTGGATTTCTGGGACACTTGATGATGATGAATTGAGGTTTGTGGTTGAGAAATTAAGGCTGGTTGTTGTAGAATGAGTTCTGTAGGCTTGTAATTTGTTTTGGAAGGATTAAGACTCCTAAAGGAAGGTTTAGCCTGAATTACTGAGCACTGATTAGCAGAATATTGCTGACGACTGATCTGAGGCTGACTTAGCAGAGGCTCAGTCTTGTTTTGAGTAGGCTGGGTCTGACATGGCTGGAGCTGACCACCTTGCACATGATTCTGATTGACCTGAGGTTGTTGCTGAATAAACTGAAGTTTATTTTGACTATAAATGGCCTGGTGCTGGCGAAATTGAGACATATTTGATATATTTGGATGCCTGACTAATTCTCTTGGACGAATGTTGGATTGAAAATGATGTTGGCCTGATAGGAGCTGAGGTTGGTGAACATATTGATGATTGGGTAGAGGATGTTGAACAGAACCTGGAGAATACTCATTTTCCTTCTTCTGGGTATTATAAGTGTATCCTGTACTGTTCCCTAAATCTTACAAATAAAGCCATCTATTCATACATTTTGCTTGTCTATAAATCTGTTGGTTTGTATCCAATATAAAAGTAATAACTGCTGAACTGATCAAGCCCAATATTTATGAGGCAACTCACATGACCCCAGAGAAGGTTTATAGCTCGTAGAAGTTGAAAAATGTCAAAATTTATCATTGTTGAAAATGCACCAATTCAAAGATAAAAATTCGCAAAGATTTGTGATCAATTAAAAATAACGACGAAAGTTCAAAGCTAAAATTGATAAGAAAGGGCGCGTGAAAGCCAAGTGAACAGAAAAAGCACTATGAACTGAAAGTTATTTTGCCTGGATTTGAGTTAAATCTGAAGGAACCAAGATCATCTATCCTCAAATTAGGACCAGTCAGGAGGTTCTCAACAATTTCCTTAAATGGGATACAAAATAACTGAACTAAATATTAGTACTTCTTACATCTGCATCGGTGAGATGAGATATGAAATAAAGCCCACATAAAATCTTATTGATGGTTAATTCCCTTCACTAAACTACTGGTAGGTAGAAAACTAAATACTTGAAAAGATTATTGAAAAACAAAACGAAAGGGACTTGTAAAAAAGGAAACATTTTGGACATTTAAAATTTAAATCTAGTGAATCCAGGGACCAAATTTAATGATTTGGAGACGTAACTGAACTACCTATAGCCAGTTTGACACCTGAATCACCGATTCAAATCCTCACAAATCTTCAATTAATTAAATAGTTAAAGATTTGAACTGGTAGAGGTAGTTCAACGACCTAGCTCTATTTCAATAATTTTTGTCCTTGATCATCAAAACCATCAAAATATTTTGGATGCTTACAGGTTCACTGCCTTTAGATTCTGATCCATCTTCTGCATCTAATAACATTGAGATTTCATACTTTAACATCTTTTAAACTATTTTGACTTGAAATCTGATAAAAATAATGGGCGCTATCCATATTTCGCGATTTTAATAAAAAGTTAAAACATACATGTATGGTTTGGTATGAGTACTGCTCCGGTTTTTGAGTTATTTAAGAATTTGTGAAATTTCTGAAGGGTAAAAATGACCAACAGTTAACATTTTCGTTTAATTTGTTTTGTGTTTTGGTCATATTCTCAGAAAAATTTTATTATCTATATAAAAGTCCTTAATCAATATAATTTATATAGCTCTGTTGTACTTCAGAAACATTTTTTAAAATTCAAGTGAAAAATTAACATAATTATGCTCCTTTCAAAAAAATAGCAACAGTTTACAAGAACTTTTGAAAAATTACAAAAGTACAAAACTTAATGTCCTATATTATTGTTTCTAGAAGAGCTTTCAACACAATTTTTTTCGGTTCTTAATCGGCCTATAATTCACTTATCTGCAACAAGAGTTTTAAGCAAATCTATTTTTCTATGATCACAGTGCAGAGGACCACCATCAAAATATTTTAAATGTTGACAGGTTTACTACCTTCTGTTTCTGATCCATCTTCTGCACTTTGTGACATTGAGAGTTTAGAGGAGGATTCCAATCTAATTGAAGCGTCACTTACATAACAAAATCTTACATTTATCTGAAATGATTGTTATTCATCAAATCCAGGAACCTGAATACAAATTATACAATTTAGGGAACATGTAACAGATATGTAGCTAGAATAAATTTTGAAACATGTAAATATTTGAATGAAAAATACAATCATAGCTGTATATCAGTTTCACATAAAATCTTGTAAATCATAATGGTCTATTTACAATAATTAATTTATAGTTTGCTCCTTCATAAACAATGCAGACGAACATTCAGTCATCAATTCCGATACACATTATTATTGATCATCAGTGCCTAATTGTAATAAACTTAATAAGCATTGATAGTGTACAAATATTACAAAAGATTGCATAATATTCACTGGAAGTTCAACAATTATAAATACAAAACCATCAAACACAAAGTCTCCAATCTCCAAAATTCTGGGAAAGTCACCGTCTATTAAAAACAACTGACGCTTTTGTCTTTCCAGATGTTACAATCGTTGTCATCTTCCTGATATGAGTTAGAAGTTTTCAATTGTAAATTTTTACTTTAAATAACTGTTAAATCATCATATTTATGAACAATCATAAATGTAAAATGCAAGTATTGGCAATAGGCAAATCTGAGCTGAAAAGAAACTATGTTTTATTGGTTAAAGTTGTATCTTTTAATAAGTTATGGAGTATTAACTTCATATTCCTTAAATCAAATTTTCTTTCCAATGAATATGCCACTTCTGATCTTCCTGAGGGTTTACACTGTTTCAGTAGCGTACTTCCATATCTAATCATTTATCCCTATTGAGATAAGCTTTTGTGTGGAGTATCTTGAACGCTTTCTCATGATATTCAATGTAGGCACTTTTAAATTTAAGGATCAATGCTTGATCCCTACATTAAAGTTATCCCTGAAAGGTATGACGAACACAGAGAAGCAAAGAGGAATTTACCTAATCTGTGTCTGTGATTCTACCTGAGATAAAGATCAATGCTTGATCCAAGATTCACAACACAAAGGTCATGACTTCAGTGCTGAGCACTTTTGAATGGTGGATATCGGGATTAATGCTTGATCCACTCTTTTTCTTAATCACAAGATCAAATAAGGCTTGTTCTCAATATGTTATTAATCTCTATATTAATTAACCGATCGGGATTAATGATATCCCATTCTAAAGTTTTCAGCTCAGATCATTTTTTGTCTGGGCTATAATTTTTTGACAAAATTGACAATATGATTAAAAAAGGTGCTAAATTTGAGATATTTTCAATTTCCACTTGGGGTAGATAAAAAACCGGCCTCTATACCAAGTCCAGGGTCTAGGAAGATAATTTGCTAACAAAAACACCAGAATTATTTAGACACAAGGTTAAGATTATTTGAACCTCTGGAACAACTTGAAGCAGGGAGAGTTTGAGTTCCTAATCCCAAAAACTGCAGTACAATGTTACAAATAAATGAACAATCCCTTTAAGATTCAAAATTGTCAAGTAATTAATTCGGAATGAGGAAGAAATAAAGTAGTGAATGTGAAAATAAAAATAAAGTACAAATTTCAGCATAAATTTGTAATACCTGTACCAGATGCATGTAAATGTTCCAGAATCATTAAAACTAGATTCCTCAAACAAAATTCCAGGCCTGAGTATTTTTAAACAGTTTACAAGACAAAAGGATTTCTGAGGATCAAACTTGGACAAATAAAATAAGTTAAAACACAGTTTTAACTTAGTAAACTTTCCTTATCTCTGAATGGTAAATCAAGTTTCACAATAAAAAGAGAAGTTTAAATAATTGAGAATGTTATCAGATTCAAATTTGCTCTGGATCCAGATCCGGATCCTTTCTTAACTGGACAGATCAAGGATTCAAATTATATCCGCAACAGAATAGAATAGGTTTAAAACTTATATTTTTGTTAGGAGAAATCATTCCAAAAACGTACAGGCCAAGAATTTCATCCATAAGCATTTGGAAATTTTAAAATTAATTCTTTCTCTCTTGAATATTATGTGGAAACTGCACCTGATATTTTCAACACAGGATACATGACCGGGGCAGGTTCCAAAACTGAGAACAACTCTTCCACTTCCATCTGTAGTATCCTCAACATGCACCTAACCATTAACCAGAGCTTAGGATCCAAATCCATTGGATCCGCAACATTTTTATCCGCCAAAAAGCGCATCCATGGATCATGATCCAAGGTGCAAATTATCAACCAAAAACTGTAAAAAAAAATCATGCTCATAAGATCTAAATCTTAACTGTTGAAAAAAGAAAGATAATTAAAATTTCTTTATTTCTAAATAGTTCATCAAATTCTAGCATAAAAATAAACAAAAAATAAAAAAAAATGTTTGCAAATTCTTCTTTTGTTAAAAAAAATTAGTAAATCTTAAGAAAATGTTCAGATCCAGGATCTGGATCCGCATCAAGATGAATCGAAGCACTGCATATGACTTATTAATCTACACTTTAGTGTAGGGATTAAAAACGTAATTTCAAGTGACTCTCCATTTAGAATGTTTATTTCACTACAGAACCCTTAAAAGCATTGTCTGATTATGGTTGTTTTATTGGTTTCTCTATCTATTCGACAGGCGCATTTCTGCTTTAGGAAAAATGAAGGAAATGGATAGAACAACAACGATGTTATAATAGGTAAAGATTTTAGGGGTGCCGTGGAGAAGCACTTAAAATTACAACAGTCCTTTTATTGATTTCTTATAAGTATTCCCACTAATCTATGCTAACATAGGTCACAATTTATCATTACTTCCACAGATATAAAATTGCTTTAATTTCGGTTCCTGATCCGCTGTCTATTGTCAAATCATAATTCTATGTCAGAAGTCAGACTTATTGGACCATAAGACTAATTTTAAGTGGCCCTCCATGTAAAGAGAACAATGCCTGATTTACAACAGTTCAGTTGAATCTTACCAAATATTTAACGAAAATAAACTCACATGTTTAAGCTTGGTGTTCTGTTCAATGAGCTCATCTGACATTCCCAGTTCAGCCATTAACCTGCAAAATTTCATCTAAATTCTATGACAAACTAAAAAAAATATTTGAAAGTAAGATTAGGCCTTAGGATGCAGTGAAGGCTGTAAATGGGCTAGGGGTGACAAGAATAGGCCAGTTTTCCTCCTAGATTATATTATAAGCAGCACACTGTAAAAAGAAAAATTCATGGTTTTGTACTTTCAGAAGTAAAGTCTAGATTTAGGAGTTGAGTCTTGATTTAGGAGTTAGGTCTTGATTTCAGAGTTAAGTCTAGTTTTAGGAGTTAAGTCTAGATTTAGAAATTTGTTATTTCACAGTTTGCATTTAAAGAGTCTCAGTTTGGCATTGCCCAATTTTCTACCACTTGACGTTGAGGGGGGGGGGGAAGGGAATGATTAAACTGGAGGGGGAAAAAACAAGTTTTCTTATCCTTTTCATACTTTTCACCCAAAGGGTTTTTAAAAGAGGGGGAAAACGATTTTTCAGAAATATAAATTCCTATTCTTCAACAAAAGCGTTTTATATTTTTAAAAAACCTACTTTCTATACTTTTTGAAATCTGATGGTTGATTTCTGAGTTCAAAAAAGTAATCACCGGTCATACTCATTTTTTCTAAAACACAATTAAACAATAAAAACTATCAAAAGAATGTGAGCAGTTCTTAGGTGGGCATTTGACAGGTTATCACGGGTTATTTTACAATTTTAGTTATTATTTTATATGTGAAAATGCAGAAATCAGGGAACTGAAATGAGTAAAAGAGCTGAAATGGGAAAGTGTAGTACTTTCAAGAAGCAGTTCAATCATAACACAAAAAAAATATAAAAAGGTAAGAATGAAAACTTGAGATTAACTACGATAAAAAAAAATTAAGAAATTAATTCAATTTCTATTTTGGGGGAGGAATGGATTTGGGTTTTTTTTTACGATAGTATATAACCCTGGTTCTTGGCTATGCCTGAGTATTTAAAAATTTAAAAACAGTTTATTTAAACATTAAACATTTAGCTGTCCTGACCCATATCCTGCATCAGCACTTCCTTGAGAACCAACTCTATCTCTGCTCTCTCCTTCCTGCATGTAAATTGTAAATAGATTAATGGGGGAGATAATCGTATACAAGGGATTTTTATCTTAGGCATTACGAGGGGGGGGGAGGGGTGTTAATTTACCAAGTTTTTTTAGGGTCACGTGAAATTACACTTAAAGTCTCTTTAAAGAAAAATAAAGGAACAAACAAATTCAGGAATGAAATAAAGCGGAAGTACGACCAGGGGCGTACGAGGGGCCGCGCCCCCCCCCCCCCCC